ACTAGCCCTGACATGTATAGGTGTAAATGTGCAATGTTTCCAGAAGTGGATTTGAGTCATTGTGACTTGGACTTTGGTCAACTGGAGTTACTATTTTGACGACTTGCAACTTGACTTGACTTGAATTGAGACACGACTTGGACTTGACTGTCACTTGACTTGACATGATGACTCATATGACATTTTGGGATTTCAGTTTAAATATTAAATATAAACTTAAAAAAAATGTGCTGGTCAAAAAGTGATCAATGTATTTTACTGTTTAAAAGTGATGGGGAGGAATTTTTTCTATGTTGCCTCAAACAGGATTTATGTTTGTATAACTTGAAATGTCTTGTTGGTATCACTAAAAAACTTGAAAAAATTACTAAATTTACTAAAATGTAAAGTCGATGGGACTATTTTGTCAGCTTCCTGTTTGTCACCCCAACTATTTATTTTAAGCTGAAGGAACTCAGATAACACCGATCAGCCATAACATTCTGAGCACTAACTGTTGAAGTGAATAACACTGATTATCTGGTTATCATGGCACCTGTCAGTAGGTGGGATGTATTAGGCAGCAAGTTTGAAGCAGAAAAATGGGCAGTGTGAGGATCTGAGAGACTTTGACAAGGGCCAGATTGTGATGGCTAGACGACTGGGTCAGAGCATCTTCAAAACTGCAGCTCTTGTGGGCTGTTCCCGGTCTGCAGAGGTCAGTGCCTACCAAAAGTGGTTCAAGGAAGGAAAAGTGGTGAACTGGAGACAGGGTCATGGGGGGGCCAAGGCTCATTGATGCACGTGAGGAGTGAAGGCAGACGAGCTACTGTAGCTCAGATTGCTGAAACAGTTAATGCTGGTTCTGATAGAAAGGGGTCAGAACACACAGTGAATCACAGTCTGTTGGTATGGGACTGCAGAACATTATGAGCACCAGGGTGCCCAGGTGCTGGAGAATGTTATGGCAGAGCGGTGTATGTTCAAACAACTGAAATTTTTTTGTTTGCCTAACTCAACATTTTAAGGCAGCCAGGTTACATATTATTTAAATTGGAACCAGCTTGTTCATTTTTATAGTGAGGGATGTTTTTTGATTGCGAAGAAATAATTAAATAAATAAGCTTTTATTGTTTTTTGTTTGATTGCATTTATTTAACTGAATATCAACAATTGTGACACAAATTAAATTAATAATTATTATTTTTAATAAATACAGGTGCTAATTCCTTGTCTTGACCAGATACTGCAAAGTGGGGGGGCTTGGACCAAATGACTTGCCATGTCTGCATAGCACTACATACTACTAAAACCACTGATTGGTGACAAATTAAAGGAAAAACTAATATAAGGCATGTTGGTGTTGTTCCACCATGAATCTCCAGAGCAGTTTCAGTGCTCCCTTTCACAGATTCTTCAACTGTGTGAAACTCTGCCGGAGGAATGAACAGCATTTTCCCAAAAGATATTTCCTCATTCGATGTTTTGATGATGTTTGTGGAGAGTGCTGTCTCAAATGTGGCTCCAACAGCTCTCACAAGTTCAGTTGGGGAGAAATGTCATCAATGTATTGTTATCAGTAACGGAGCCCTTTTTCCTTGTATGGAAGATCTATATTCATTATCTTCATTCATTTATTCAGTTTATTTATTTATATATATATACCACCTATCTTTACTACTAGCTTGTTTCTGTTACTACAGTACCACTTCCCCTACAGGTACGTTATGATTTATTGTTTCATTCTTGCGAAAAAAACACAGCTAAGGAATAAACCAGCAGTAAAATTGTTTTAACTTTGTTTCAAATCATATGGAGGTTTTAATTGTTGGAAAACAGGATTGTGTAATCAGGGTCAATCAATATTCATGGGATGTCCAGGGAGTGTCATGGAGACTTTAAGGCGTAGCAGAAATATATGCTGAGATAATCACAAACAATCACTTACATCAATATAATATAGAATAGAATAGAAATATTTATAAGAGATATTATAACTCAATGAATATACATTATAGCTTATACACTTTTTATTTTTAGCTGGATATGATACAGATATGATACAGAGAGACTATTTAAAATATTACATAATGACAATGTCGGCAGATTTATTAAGATATGGCAACCAGTCTTGGGCACAGGGTCCTCTGCTCTGGACAATGGTCTATGACTCCCCTTGTGTCAGGCCTCAGTATATATTTGCTCGCAGCACCATCATGTGGTAACATTGGCTGCCAACAGATCTATCTCTTAATGGGGCTCCAAAACATGACACTTAAAAAAAGCAAAGCAAAACAAAAAGATACTTGTAGCATCCCCAGCTGAATGATGGTCTACTCTTTAACAGATGGTTCACAATGTATTTATTGATGAGCAAACTTGACGACACTGTAGCTCCCTTAAACCTAAAAAAACCTAAAGAGCTGCAGATAGAAACAAAAGGTGAAATATCAATCTTCTTTTATATCCTGAAGACAAACTTATTGTACTATAGCCTTACAATACTTACTTATGAGCTTAATTAACTAACTAATTGAAAATCACGTCATTTTAACTTCTGATAAAAAATCAATTAATATTCAAATGATTAAATATCACTTTTTTAACACCCTTTTAAGCTCAGTAACAATCTTTCATAGAGTGCTATAAGTAAATACAGTTAACATAAAATGAGTTTTTAAACTGTAAACACACAAATGCTACATTTATTTATACCGTATAAGAAAGCAAACTCCATCGTGATAATGGCTCCTAAAGACCGAAAGAGTTGCTTCAAATGTCTTGCTAGCATAAAGGTTTAATGTACAGTCACAGCTCAACTTTTCAGTTTGTATAACGACAGAATTCAAAGTGGCCAACTTTGACCTCACGCCACACAACTTTTAATCAGCACCATTTTTTTACTGTACTGACCAATTTTGAAGCAGATCCGATAAATTCCCTAGGAGGAGTTCGTTCAAATACAAGGCGAAAAATTCACCAAAAATGCGCACGGAATTCACTATGGCCGACTTTGAGGGCATGCCACGGACACGCCCTTCAACGTACATACACAAATAGCACAACTTTTAATCAGAACCATTTTTTGACTGTACTCACAAATTTTTAAGCATATCTGATAAATTCCCTAGGAGGAGTTCGTTCAAATACAACGCGAAAAGTTCGCAGAAAGTGAAACTTTAAATCAAAATGGCCGACTTCCTGTGGGGTTTCGGGTATGGGTCCAAGAGGCTTTTTTGTATGTCCCGGCACGTTACACGTGCCTACCGAGTTTCGTACATATCGGTGAAACGTGGCGCCGGGGCTCCTGTTTTTTGGTATGTGAGCTTCAGGCACTACTCTACACGTACCCTGTGAATTTCATATTCATAACTATTACGGTCTCCGCACAGTGATTTATCATGCCAAAAGAGCGCCACCTAGTGGCGTATTTTTTTTTGTCCTTTTTAAGGGAGCCTCAGGGAGCCATGGGGAAGCATCGTATCAAGTTTCATCTTAATCACACATACTGTTGTAAAGATATAAACTTCTTCATTTTAAAGAGCGCCACCTAGTGGCAATGGCCTGAGATTGTGCACGATGCCTAAGAAAGACATGAGGAACTATGGACCCAAGTTTGGTGTCAATTGGACATACCAATGTGGAGAAATGGTCCACTTCCTTTTTTGACGAAAAATCCACAGGAAGTGCTAATTTTATAACGTGCTGGTTTTTTGAAATATCAAAATTCTGTTAATCACTTTTTTATTATGAGGGTCCTCAGATGCTACGTGAAAAATTTTGTGCGAATCGGACAAAGCGCATGGGGGGAACACGGAAAAGTAGTTTATCGACATTTCGCGCTCTAGCGGAGAAAAATTATAGGCGGAAGTGGGCGTGGCCTATATGGGGAGATTGAGCTCCATTCACCGAACGCGTGGATACAAGGTTTTTGAATGTGCGACAAACTATGCAGAAGTTATTAGCATAAACGCATTTGTCATGATACTAGCGCCACCTAGTGGCCAACCCGAAAGCGACGCATAGAATATCCCCATTTTCACCAGGCCTGACAACTATGCCAAATAAAATTGACTTTTCGTATAGGTTCAGGGGGGCAAAAACGCAGTCAAAGGGGGCTAAAAATAATAATAGTTAAGAAGAAGAAGAAATCAAGCAAAAACAATAGGGACCTTGCCGGTCGCTGGCTCGGTCCCTAAAAATTGAGTTAGTTATTTTCAATGTAATCGGTAATATTTTTGTATCACGTTACAGTGGGGTTGGCTTAAAGGGTTGCAGCCCCGAATGTTTACTCAAAGACACTGAATCTTTTAGGCTTTTATAATAACTTTGTGTCATTTCCCCTCAGTCACTCTGATTGGACCGGATAATCTATGGAGCAAACGTTCTATTATTGGGGGAAATGTAGCCATCTATTAAGGCCCGAATAGACTCCCAAATGGATGCGTACACAGACAGCTGTGGACACCATGGCCAGATAGTAGTTCTGTTTATACAACATTCTGGAGTCAGCTTAGGGGTCATGTTCCACACAGTTTTGGGACCATGTGGAGAAATCAACAGAAAAGAGAATGTGAGTGACGTCTGGTGAACATGCCCCAGACTCCCTACCACCTTTCTAAACAGGCCAATGACATTTGTTAGGTAGTACAAGCTAATAAAAGTCATGAAAACACTTAATACTTTTTGGACAGAGATGATGAGGAGGGTGTATTATTATTATTATTATTATTATTATTATTAATAATATATTAATATTATTATTAGTAGTAGTATTGCTGCCTTTGTAAATCTTCCTGCTCTGCATTCATTTTTACCGTAAAACCACAACAAAATGCTCCCTGACAATTGTGATACACTTAAATTAGGAAATAAAAGTTGTCTTACGGTGAACTAATTGACGAACATGTGTTCACCTTTTTGTTTTACTCTTTTCAGACATTTACAGCTGTGTTAATTGATTCTAATTGACAGATGTTAACTCTGTGTTTATACGCCAATGTCTTTTACGCACATTACGGTTTATGTTGCCGGGGAGTGACCCGCAGCTATAGAGACACAATGGAGCTGCAGTGACAATGTAAATAGCAGGTGCCTGTTCTTGTAGTTCACGCAGAGCGTTACTTAGTGTCATTCAAACGGTGTCAATGTAATGGTGGTTTGCTGTTGTCTTCGGGCTGCTACAAGCTATCTAACTGTTGTTTTTGCGTTAACGAATCAGCTTTGTGTGTGAGATAGCTAACAGCCCTGTTAGCTAACCTAGCAAGCTCGCTAAGCACCTGCTTAATATCTGCCTCTGGGATTGGCTGTATTTCCTCTGTTACATATTATAACTGCCCAGCTAATCTGTCTAAGAGCTATCATGGAGTTTCCTTTTGACATTAACACGTTATTCTCCGAGAGGGTCTCCATCTTGGACCAGACCCTTGTTGCAGGTCGTAAATCAGCAGGAAGGTAAGTTTAAGGATCTCTTTGTTAGCGTGTTACAGTGTAACGTTACCTTCCAACGTAACGTTAGAGTACCTAATCTATTTCTTCTCTGTTGAGATAATGTATACCCAGACTCCATTCAAAATGACCTAACGTTACTGCAGCTGTGAATTCTGTCCAAATGTTGTTTTGATACCATTTAAATTCAATTCAGATGTTATTTGTATAGCGCCAAATGATAACAGAAGTTATCTCAGGACACTTTTCAAATAGAACATGTCTAGACTGTACTCCATAAAAAATATTAAGAGAGAGACACAACAATTTTGATGAAACCTTTGCTTTGGTGTCACTTTTTTGTAAAAGATAATAGGACAATATTATACACTGGGGGCTGCTCTAGCAGTCACTGAGAAGAAGGCATGGAAATACCCTGGTCAGTCCTTGCTTAAAACCAGGGTTCACACCCAGGAGCCATCTAGAGTCCTGCATGTAGTTGCACTCTACATCCAGAGGGAACTGACAAACATAGAACAGACTTTCTCCTTAATGTTTGATAATAGTGCGTCATTCCATCACTGGTTATTTAAGCATATTCTACTCTATTGTGTTCATCTTTTAGGCCAGATCTTCAAGCCCACATAGCCACGGTTATTGATGAACTTGGGAGAGCCTCAGCAAAGGTGAGTCTCTGTAGGTGTGGAAGGACTTTATGATTTTATGTGCTTTATAGTCGGTCGTTGTTAGTTAGTTGTTTGTGTCAGAATGTATGTTTAAAGTTCTCCTCCAGACATGCATAACACATACAGTCTGCTTGGAGCAAAGAAGTCATCTACTCCTTCTACCTCATTAAAATTCCAGGATCTCTGAATATGTAAATGTTGTTAATTTCTAAAGTTTCCTGCTGGACACAAGATGTCTCCTTCTTCACTGTAAAGTGCATTCTCAGTGGATGTGCACTGTTGGCTTCAAGTTTCTACATCACACTGTACAAGTTGCATACTGGACCAGGATTTGACAGATTTACTTTTGCCCCTATTCTGTTTGCAAGCAGTGTTTCTTATGGTGTTTGGAGCAGGCAACCAGTCACTAATCTTTCTTTAGCCAACCACTAAAACCCAGTCCCACATTTACTCTTGTTTGGTGGCTTCTCTCTCATAAACTCTTCTTAGCTTTCTCCATCAGCATCTTCTTTCTCTTTGCCTCTGCAATTAGTTATGTCCTGGTTACATTGCCCGCTCACCTGGCTCCAATTCTGGCACAACGCCGGCATCACTCTCCGTCAGCATTACCCAATGTTGGTCTGAGGTTGAGCAGCTGGAGGACATAAGAGGAAAAAACAGTAGTACATGAGACAGATAATCTGTGAAAAAAAACAGCTCCTTTTGGCTCATCCTAGTGCTCCTAATGACATTCGCAGTCCACCAACCAATCAGAGCCAAGAAGGATAAATGATTATTGACTCTCATTCCTAGGGCTTCAAATACAGATGCTTTGGGACCCTGGGAATGAGACTCAGTAATCAACTATCTTCAAGCTTCCAACACAAAACATCTTTCAGCAAATATGACAAAAATGTATTTTTATAACAGTTACCTATTGCAGCTTTAATGTTAACATTTAACAGTGTTCATGCTCGCTCTCCACAGGCCCAACAGCTCACAGCACCTATAACAAGTGCTTCCAAGCTGCAGTCCCAGAGGCACCAGCTCTACCTGCTGAAGGACGCAGAGAGCAACGGGTACATCTCACATCCTTCCCTCAGCTCGCACTCATTATACACACACATTTTCCTTGCTTTGTCTCTGGTCTAACTGAGCTGGTCCTGCTCAGCTCACCAGCAGTCACACTGAGTCATATTGTGGTCACAATGCATGTGCTGTAGTGCTGAGACGTACAAGACACTGTGTTTAATGTTCATGGCAGCAGCTCACCTCAAATCACCAAAATGAGAAACTAGGTTGAGAGTCTTACTCATTGCACTTCACTCTACACCCCCCTCCACTCCAACCAAACTCCCTGCCCCTCCTTTCCCCTACATACAGAGGACGTGGTGTGGTCGTGGGATTTCTCAAGGTCGGCTACAAGAAGTTATTTCTGCTTGTGAGTAAAATATTCTTTAATTCTCTTTTTTTTTTTTTTTTTTTTTTTTTTCAGGCCAGCTGTGATCAGAATCAGAATGATTCCACATGCTTCACTGATTTCATGTCTATTTGAACTTTTTTGTATCAGCTGTACAAACATACGTGTTGTATTTCTCTTTAGGACCTACAGGGTGTGCACATAGAGACAGAGCCACTATGTGTTTTGGATTTCTACATAGCAGAGAACTTGCAGCGACATGGCTACGGGCAGGAGCTGTTTGATTTCATGTTGCAGGTAAGTCATTCCTCTCTGGGGCAGATTAGTAGAAACCACACTCAGTGTAATGGAGGGTGTTCTTTATCACCTCTCCAGGCTGTTGACTTCAAAACAAGAGTTTTCTGTGGGCTTGATTGCTTGCCAAGACAAATCTTATGATGAAACACAAAGGAATGTTGTTGTGACTGCACAGACCTTTCGCCTGATAGACTTGCAAATGGAGGCTGGTTCCAGAAGTATTTCCCCTCACTGGAATTCTGCAAGTGAAAGCATTTTTTGATTATATCCTCGTTATAACCCAACCAATACTGGATTACCAAAACCAATATAAATATTAAACATTTAAACTGGTGCTCTTTAGTTAGGCAGGTAAAAGTATACAAAAACAGAAATCAGGAAATCTTTTTAATGTCATGTGGTGCAGATAACCATGGAAAAAAACTAATAATAATCAGTTTTTTCCTTGAGCATAGGCAATAAAACATAACAGAAGTTATCTCAGGACACTTTTCAAATAGAGCAGGTCTAGACCGTACTCTCTCTCTCTCTCTCTCTCTCTCTACATATATATATATATATGAGAGAGACAAAGGTGCACAGCAGCAACAGTAGCAACAACACTAATAGTAGTGACTGATGATGATGATGAAGAAGATAATGACAACGACGACAATGAGCAGTGACTAGTTATAATAGTAACGGTAGTAATAATAATAATGATAATAATCACAACAATAATATCAGTAATATTAGCAGTGGGAGTCAAGCAGGACCATGGCAGGAGGCTCCACCAGGATCCATGAGAACCTGCGAGACGAGAAAGCACAAGAAGTCCGGGGAAGGAGTGAAGTTAGTAACATGCATTAATTGAACATGAATGAGTGCAGAAAGAGAGAGAGAGAGAGAGGAAGAGAGGAGCTCAGTGCATCATGGGAAATCCCATAAGCTTAAGGCTCTGGCTCCTGTTCTACTTTTAGAGACTATAGGAACCACAAGTAGCTCTGCATTCAGAGAGTGCAGTGTTCTAGTGGGGTAAGAGGGTGCTATGAGGTCTTTAAGATATGAAGGGGCCTGACCATGAAGAGCTTTATAGGTGAGGAGGAGGATTTTAAATTCTATTCTACATTTTACAGGGAGCCAGTGCAGAGAAGCTAGTACATATAGTTCCTGTCAGTACTCGTGCTGCAGCATTCTGAATTAATTGGAGCGTCTTAATGGACTTATTTGGGCAGCCCGATAATAAAGAGTTGCAGTAATCCAGCCTAGAAGTAACAAATGCATGGATTAGTTTTTCTGCATCCGTCTGTGACAGGATGTGTCTGATTTTTGCATTGTTACGTAAATGAAAGAAGGCAGTCCTAGAGGTCTGCTTTATGCAGGAGTTTAAGGACATGTCCTGATCGAAGATAACTCCAAGATTCCTGATAGTGGTGCTGGAGGCCAAGGTAATACCGTCTAGAGTAACTATATCTTTATACAGTGAGCCTCAGAGGTGTTTGAGGCCAAGTACAAGAACTTCATTTTTTTCTGAGTTTAGCATCAGAAAATTGCAGCTCATCCAGGTTTTTATATCTTTAAGACATGCTTGTAATTTAGATAACTGATTCATTTTATCGGGCTTGATTGATACATATAACTGGGTTATAACTGGGTATCATCTGCATAACTGCACAAGTAATAAAGTTAATAGTGATTCCTAACAATGTTGCCTAAGGGAAGCATATATAAAGTGAATAGTATTGGTCCAAGCACAGAACCTTGTGGAATTCAATGACTAAATTCAGTGTTTACGGAGGATTCATCATTAACATGTACAAACTGAGATCGATCTGATAAATAGGATTTAAACAAGCTTAGTGCGATTCCTTTAATGCCAATTAAATGCTCAAGTCTCTGTAATAGGATATCATGGTCAATGGTGTCAAATGCCTCACTAAGATCTAATAATACAAGTACAGAGACAAGTCCATTGTCTGAAGCAATCAGAAGGTCATTATTAACTTTAACCAGAGCTGTCTCTGCGCTATGATGAACTCTAAATCCTGACTGAAGTTCCTCAAATAAACTATTGTTATGTAGAAAGTCACACAACTGTTTGGCGACTACTTTCTCAAGAGTTTTAGAGAGGAAGGCGAGGTCAAGAGTGGGCTTTTTAAGAAGGGGTTTACTTACAGCTACTTTAAAGGACTGTGGTACATATCCTGACAATGAAGAAAGATTGATCATGTACAGTAAAGAAGTGCCAATTAAGGGTAAGACTTAAAGCAGCCTAGTTGGGATGGGGTCTAACAGACAGGTTGATGGCTTCAATGTAGAAATTATTGAAGTTAGTTGATGCAGCTCAATAGCAGAAAAACAGTCTAAATATATATCTGATGTTCAGACATTATCTGTCCAGCTCTGTTCCTCATAATTAGAGCATCCAGTCACCTGGATGAAATTTATGTAATGCCGGTAATCTGCTACAATGCAGATGATGCCCACAGTTCATTGCTATGTGCTGTTTATCAGTGACTGGATGTTTTCTCTCCCTCTTTATTGCAGCACAAGAATTTAGAGCCAGTTCTGATGGCTTACGACAGGCCCTCGCCAAAATTCCTGTCTTTCCTGGCAAAGCATTACTGCCTGACACGAAGTGTTCCTCAGGTACAGTCTGTACTTTACTATCACATCATCAGTGTATGTTAACAATTTGTTCCCTCCTATCTCTTGTACACTGTACTCAAATCTGTCTGACTTCCAGGTCTACAAATGAGATCTCTCAAAAATGTTAGCTTTCCTCAGGAAATTACTTCTGCTTTAATCTGACAGTGTGAAAATATTTTCTTTCATATGACTTTCAATGTGATTGCTCCGCTTATGTTTATATTTAGACACTGCCTCCTTCCTATCTCTCCTCCACATTTGCTATTTTCTTAAGTCTTCATCATTTGGTGTTCTGCATGAAAACACTGGTTTGGGAGTAATTCACATTAAAGTACATATTAGACAAGGATAAATAAATATAAGGCAACTCATAAAGAGGTTCAGAGCAACGCAATTCACATAAATAAAAATCCTTAACGGAAAAAAACAAAGCAGCTCATGATATACTGTGTATATATACTAAAACTGCAAACATTCACTTGACACTTAACATTGAAAACTTCCCTTAGTGGAAAAATAGCAGCAATGAAGTATCACATTAGAAAAGTTTGATGGAATCCTCAAAATAAAAATGCTCACTTGAGGTGGTTTTTTTTTTTAAAGTTAATACACTAAATGGGAGATGGAAAGTATGGATTTCCCACTCAGATCTCAAAGATCAGTATCGGGCCGATCAAGGCTATTTTTAACTGATTAGTATCAGGCCAAAAAATAGGCATTATTAACAGATTACCCGCTGTGCAGCCATTGTCATCTCTCTGCTGTCTGTCTCTCCTCCACCCGCTCAGCTGAGCCTTACTTGAAGGGGAGAGACGGACAGCGGTGTGGTGGAGAACCGACAACAAAAAGCCAGCAATTTATTCATGTCATCCATGCAAAAGATGTACAGACAGGCCACACTGACGCACCATACACTGGAGAGAGAAACTTCCCAAGACAGTGTCAAGGCCACTCGGTTTGTTATTTTATATTTTGTTGTTTTGCAAAAAATAAAAACACAATAAGGACTAGCTTCAATGAAATGCATTTCCTTTCTTAATGCATTGCAGAGCTATTTAATTGTTTGATTGATTTTAATAATATGAATGTACTTGAGGTGTGCACTGTGCAAATATCAGATTCAATATTAAATGACTTGGATCTGACATAGGGACATCCCTAAATGAAACACACAAATTAAGTACTGATGTAGCAGACGTGACTGATGAGCTGTTTCCACTCCAACACTCACTGCATCGCTCCCATGGCTCTATTATACATCCATTATCACTCCACACATATCTGATTAAACCTTCCTCACTATAATGTATGAAACAAACACAAATGTCATATTTTCATCCTGTTCTCTGCATTTCTTTTTTCACTGTTTGAGGTTCAACTGGCACTCCTATCATTACGTCATCTCTTCTTCAGCTGCAATTTCAATGTGTCAGATACATATTTAGTTGGGCTGCTATTGGCAGGAGTCTGGCAATACGATATTTATCACGATACAGGGTTATGATTCAATATATTGTGATTCACTGCTATATAGCGGTTGGGGGTTTAAACACAAAAAAAGATTTTTTTAATTTGAGAATTAATACAATATCACAAAACACAATATTCCAATACGATATTTTTCGATATTTTCTTACACCCCTAATTTAGTAAACATTTAGGAAAATATAAGAATCGGACTAGACTCTGTATTAGCAGCTTCCCAATATTAAAGGAATCGGATCATGACCAAAACCAGGACATCCCCAATAAAAACACAGTGTCCGCCCGGCTTATTGGAGTGACACTGAAATGCTTCTGGTGGGCCACCATTGAGTTAGCCTTGGTCTCAAATTGGGGGATGGGATTCTGATCATCCACTCCTTCAACATGTTGGCCCGGAGTTCCAACCACTTCTTACACTTGATAAAACCTGAGTAAGTTCTACTTTCTGAATAAATACCGCAAGGTGCCATTGAAAGATCTAAAAGCTAGGAGCTTTGAGCTTAGATTGTTTTTGGTTACATATGCCAAAGATCAAGATTGAGTTTCCATGCTCAAGTCCTTAACAATCAGATACGGAAACTAGCAAGAACCCAGTGCCTATTTCTTGGTTGCCTACTGTGATCATGTCGATCCTGCTGCATGTCAAAGTATCCTTGAGCAAGATACTGAATCCCGAATTGCTGTGAATGTGTATGAATGACTTAGTTTCTGTTCGATGGACTTTGCCATCACTGTGTGAGTGGTCGGAAGACTAGAAAGGTGCTATACAAGTACAGGTCCATTTACCACTTACAAAAAAACTTTACTGACAGCAACATTTCATCTTGAGCAAGTTTAGTTATCTTTTATTTCTTTATAATATCTCCAGGTCAATAACTTCGTGGTGTTTGAGGGCTTCTTCCTCAACAGATCAGGTAACTTTTTCTACTACTCATTATTTTGGATTTGCTGTTGTGAAAATGGTTATGTAATTGACCCTTCCTAAGTCCCACCCCTTTTTGCTCTGTGCTCTTTCAGCACTTTCTCCTTTCCTGTACTTAGATATGGTATGTGAAAAGACAACCACAATAAAGGTAAAATATGTGACAAACAGTATCACAATAAAGTACTGTAGTGCTGAAAAGATTCCCTGGCCTGCATAATTTAGTTTGGCACAGACAACAAAACTATCATCAACAAATCATCATGATAATACTAATCTTTTCAGTGAAAATTTCATTTGTGATTCAAACATGATAATTCCTGCACTAATCGTGAATCACATTGCAGTCACAATACCTGTCAAAATAATAATAGTAATCGAAACTATGATGTTTTTATCATTACACCTTAAAAAATTCTAGTTAACCAGCTAGCTAACTTCAACATCAATCATTAGTTAGCTAACGTTTTGCTAAGATGTGACTGTCACTTTTATCTCTTAACCATCTTCAAAATGTGGTTGTCTTTTCATCATAGAGAGCCTAGCACATAGCAGTACAGGAAAGGAGGAAGTTGACTGACTAAGGCTTTCTTAGCTGTTATTGGGGCACAGAGCAAAAAGCGGCAGGACTTAGGAAGGGTCAATTGTTTTTCCTCTCTGTACTAATAAGAGCTAGTGGTTGGCTTCAAACACGGCATCCTTACCAGTTGAACCCGTTCTTGGTTCTTGGTTAGTGAAAACATCAAGTTCAGTTATGTAGTGACCTCTTGCTTTTGGCATCACAACAAATTCATCTTTTTTGTTGCACATGTCTATGTAGAAGAAAAGACTCTCCCTCATTAGAGAGATGTACACTACCGGTCAAAAGTTTTAGAACACCCTAATTATTCCAGTTTTTTATTGAAATTCAAGCAGTTCAAGTTCAATGAGTAGCTTAAAATGGTACAAAGGTAAGTGGTGAACTGCCAGAGGTTAAAAAAAAAGGTAAGGTTACCCAAAACTGAAAAATAATTTCAGAATTATACAAAAATGCCCTTTTCAGGCAACAAGAAATGGGTTAACAACTTAAAGCTGTTCTGCAGCAATGGAGGTTGATCAAGCCTTGAAAGTTGGTGCTACCAACTCCCACAGGTGTCCCAACTTGTCTTGATAACTTACAACCCCCTCTGTCTTCATAAAAGTAGTGTTGGAACACACTGTGGTACCATACCATGTGAACATTATTTGGACAGTATTGTACTGCAGAGTACAACTACTACAAAGTAGTGTGTTGCTATGAAAATGGCGAGTCTTTCCTACTGAGAAATGGCAAAGAAAGTCAAGGTGTCAGTGAATACAGTCTCCTTTGCCATCTAAAGGCACTCAGAAACTGGGGAAAACTCTGACAGGAAGAGGTCTGGCAGACCCAAAGCCACAACAGAATCAGAAGACAAGTTTCTGAGAGTCAACAGCTTGTGTGATAGGCGGCTCACAGGACAATGTCTGAGTTTCAACTGTAAAGAGAAGACATCGAGCTGTAGATTTGACAGGTCGAGTTGCTGCAAGAAAGCAATTGCTAAGACGTCAGAATGAGAAAAAGAGGCCTGCCTGGGCCATGAAACACCACCAAACACCACTGAAGACTGGAAGAAGGTGGTATGGACTGATGAATCAAAATTGAAATCTTTAGTTTATTTGTTCCATGCTCTCATTTGAGCGTACAATGAGACATGAACTGCATGAATTTCAATGAAAACCTGAAAATATTGAAGTGTTATAAAACTTTTGACCGGTAGTGTAAGTGTGAAAAAAGGGCACTCAATCCAAGAGTGCTAATATGCTTTTATTTCAGTTCCAAAATCTCTTCTTTCACCAAACTCTCCCAGGCTTGCCCTCCACTCCTCTGACGGATCAGGGGATGTACGGCTTTTTGTAAGGACTTCTTTATCTCTTTCTTTTCCCATACGCCCCCAGCATCTTGTCCCACCTCCTTTGTCCCATAATGGTCCATATTATATGCATGATGCTCTCACTTATTTTCTTATAATTTCTCAGCCAGTTTCACTTCCTGTTTCCCATCACTTATATTTACAGTAGCTACCTTTATGGGTACAATATATGTCATGTATAATGTATCATGTCATATATTGAACCTGATGTCCTCGATGTATGTAGAGTATTACAGTATCCACAGTGAGCCACAACCTGTAGACTACCTCAAACCCCCACAAACCACCTGACTCACAGGAGTATACCTGCCTGTTTCCTAACCCTGCAATGTCTCTAAATGTCTATCAGTTTGTCAAAAGCCAATTAAAGGTACTTTGTGTGACACTCTGCCAACAATAAATGACATTAAAGCTGCAGTAGGTACATTTTATAAAAATTCCCTTTTATAATATTTGTATTTATTTATATAGCACCTTTCATACAAACATTCAGCCCAAAATGCTTCATATAGCAAACTGAAATGTAGAAAAACAAAATGAACAACCATGAATAAAATTGTGTAATGCAAAAAATGAATACAATAATACATAATCATAAAAATGACTAAATTAAAACCTAACATTTCTTCAAAGTAAAAGCCAGATTAAAAAGAGAAGAATGATAGTTGATCATTGAGTCTCATTCCTGTGTCATCAAATACAAACACCACGAATGAGACTCAGTGATCAACTATCTTCAAGCCACCAACCTAAAGCATCTTTCTTGGCCCTGATTGGTTGTTTTCATTCAGGCCCGGTGGATTCTTGCAAATGCTACTAGCAGTGCTAGGAGGACCCAGAGGAACCAGATATTTTCACAGATTATCTGTCTCACGTACTACTGTCAGGATATAGTGAAAGTTTCAGCAAATATGACAAAAAGTTATTTTATAAGTTACCTACTACAGTTTTAATTTATTCACTGTAAATAATAAGACCATTGTTAAAAAGATAGGTAGCCTCTGTACTGGCTTCTACATTGCATTTTGTAATGTATGCTGAAGGGTTGGATTGCTTTATAGCACAAAACTGGAAGAAGTGCCATTCTGTCAGCAAAAGGTACTGAGGGGTCTATCTGTGGCTTGCTCTTAAGGACAGGCACACCTACAGTTTTAAAGATGTATAAATGCTGGAATAGAAGCTTATTTATAAAGCAGAAAATACAACAGGCAGTGGAACAGCATAGAAAAGGTAGTTTGAGCTGAAGAGAGCTAACAGCACTTTGGCTGCTGTTCCATTAGCTCCTGTAAGGGGCCAATCACACAGAAACGCACAGCTAGAAACATGCCTCCTGAAAAACCATTGTTTTTCTTAAAAGCGGTGTTAAAAGTTGAACAGATTTAAACTTGAAGCGCTCTGAGTGCTGCGCTAAAAGTCTTTTCGAAACTAAACCATTTCAGTGCCAGAGAGGTAGACCCACGTCTCGGCACTAAATTATCTGAAGTACCGGTAGCTTGAGGGACTGGAGGTGCTTGCATTTTCTCTCTACCATCACAACGCGCTGCTAAACTGTTGCAAGGAGGATGCTTGCGAAAGGTCACGTGATCACGTCATGTGATCACGTAGGCCCACTAATTGTGTGATTGAATCCTGCCATGCTGTAGAGAGCGTTGCTGCACCGTGTATTAAGTGGATGTGAGGAGTTCACGCATGCGTTTCAATATTTTTGGCGAAATAATTTAAATACTCGATAATGGAAATTTGCACATCGTCAAAACAACAATGACGATATATATCCCCCACCTCTACTGTTGTCCTGTTATTGTCATGGCCATTTCTGGACTGGCCTCTTTTGTTGAACTGGTCACATTTTAACCCGCTAAAGGCTTGTAGGAAATGATTCATTAATGTTCATTAAATACGGATGAACTATTCATGACGACTGATGTGCTTACATACCTTTTGTGCCATTTTAGGTTATGTGGGTGGGCTGTTCAGCACACATGGACATGTTTTGTAGTGACTTTGTAGCCAAAGCTTTTATAAATGCAGTGGCAGATGGTGGAAAAGGTAACCTGTTGCTCAACAAAGATAAGGTGACAGGAAGCAAGTGAATGTCTGTCTGTCTGATACATGTTGCAGATTTAAGAAATACTGGTACAAATAGGGCGTCAGTACCAATCATTTTAGGTTTCATTAATTGGTGTCTTTACTGGTGTTCATTTAAAGGAGCCTCAGTGAATTTGATAAATATAAATAAAACAGCAACTTTAGGCTACAAAATCTACTTCAAAACAGAATTTGAATATTGGGCTCTGTTGGACATTTCCCATGGCTGAATAAAAGACTGCAATTTGTTTAGTCAATGTCAGGAATTGATGGCTCTTAGTCCAGTCTCAGTGTCAGGTTTCGGGAGAAAATTTAAGATCTTTTTAAGGTGGACCCTCCCTTTAATATTTCACAACCTTTATTCCAGCCTTAACCACTAGATTATTCGACGGTACTGGTAGAGGAAATACTGTTAAAATGTAGCTTGTAAAGGACATGTGTAGGGCTGTATTGCAGGGAGAGTGAGGGAGATCCCATCATGTTCTGTTTTAGGCCCCGCTCTGAGTGTGCTCTCTTCTACAGCAGCCCAGCTGAGAAAGGTTCCCCTAAAAAAGCTGGACGGCGAGATCAAACCCTACTCTTTAATGGAGAGAGAAGGTAAACAGTCTTTTGGTCTGTGCTTCTATTATGCAATAGATAAGAGTATATTTTTATATCCCGCATTACGGTGTCATACATGATTTAACAGCATATATATCTCTCAAAGAATGAAGTTTGTATGAAAGATGATGGGCTGATTTTTTGTCTGAAGGAAATAAAAAGGGAAATGGAACAAATACAAGTGAAATTACAGTTACTTGGCACTGAATATCTCATATTTCAAAAGTACATTCAAAATTATTCATATATTATTAAGATTATAATTAATTTATCCTTTCTAGTCCCCGTCCATTTTTGCTCAGAGTTCCAACAACAGTTGAGCAAGCCTCTATATCTAGCTTAGATATGCAATGTGAAAGACTCATCTATGTTGAAAAGACACACACATTTTAAAGATGGTTAAAAGATAAAGTGCAGGCCAACTAGCTAGCTAACCTACATGGATTGTTAGCTTGCTATTTTGCTAGCTAGTTAGCTAGTGTTTTGTTTTGCTGCAGAGCAAAACACTAGCTAACCATTTAGCTAATTTAGAGCAATCATTAGTTAGCTAGTTACATCAGATAGCTTATGTTGAAAAAAGAAAAAATGGACGGGACATAGGACGGGTCAGTAGTTGACTGACAGGACGGTCGCTTTTACTAAAGATACGATAGCTATCCATGATTGACATTTGGGCGGCTGTGGCTCAGAGGAAGAGCGGGGTCATCCTCTAATCGGAAGGTTGTTGGATCGATCCCCAGCTCCTCCTGCCACATGTCGAAGTATCCTTGAGCAAGATACTGAACCCCACATTGCTCCTGATGCCGTGCATCGGTGTGTGAATGTGTATGAATTTGTAAGTTTCTGTTCGATGGACTTTGCCATCAAACAGAAACTTTGACAAATTTGAGTGAACATGTGTGAAAAGGGTGAATGTGGCGCATAATGCCCATTTATGTCCATTTACCATTGCGCCTTTGGTAATAAAGGGGCACTCCACCAATTATAAATATTCACTCCTCTGTGGCTCTGAGGAGATTTCCAAAGTCTGAACAAAGTAACCCTCATGATGTCATCATGGTGGATCTGATAAAAGACGCTGTTGAAATGCGTTATGGGATGTGTAGGATCCAGTGTTTTCAGAGTTTGACCCATATGAGGGACTAAAGTAAACATCGAAGCCTCTTCTGCTTCAGTTTTGAGCCATCCCTTTCTTATGTACCTCTTACAAGTCCTCCAAATTTATAGACTACACTACTGAACTGCTGAAGTAAGCTTTAATACGTCAGCAGTCTGTGTACTTTTAATGGGTGAGTTACTAGAAAACCATGGCACTTTTCTCATCAGCTGAGATACAACAGTTCTTCAAAGTTTGCCTATAAATAAAGTCACTATATAGAAATATATTCTGCGCAGTGGTACGTCAGGAGCAGAGGGTTCTTCCTTGGCCGTTTGCGCCTCCTCACTCCCCCCAGCGGTTGGTATCCTCCCAGTACTCCCACTCCCTCAGCGTGGGATCCTCCCCCAGCAGGGCACCCCCTCGAGTCGCCCCAGTGTCTGCCCCTGGGGGCAACAGGGATCAGAGTCCACAGTCCCCTCTCATCGATCGCTGCAGGGCAAGACGCACCAGGTAAGAAACAACACACCTCCAGCACTTCTGATGTGTATTATGTTCTTAAAGAAAAAATAACTAATTATTACCATTATTAGGATTATTAGACATGTTATGAATAATGAGTAAAAAGTAGAGATGGGATGAAAAGGAGCCGTACACTTGTACTTGTACAGTAATGATTGGGGGCTTATTACTGTGGGGATTGCTGTCACATACTTTTTAATGGACTCAATGAACTGACAAAGTTCAGAGTAGGATACAAGCACAGCACTTTTAACAACTTTGAGCTGTTAATCAGAAAAAATATCACATGCTGACATGCATATGTTTTCCCAAATAATATACATGTCTTATACAGATTAAAGCTGCAGTAGGTAACTTTTATAAAAAATAGCTTTTTGTCATATTTACTGAAACTTTGTCTGTGTTCTGACAGTAGTACATCAGACGGATAATCTGGGAAAAAAGTAGTGTTCCTAATGGCATTTGCAAGAATGTACTGGGCCTGGACGTAGACAACCAATCAGAGCCCAGAAAGATATCAAAACACTTTGGGTCGGAAGCTTGAAGGTAGTTGATTGTTGACTTTCATTCCTAGGGCCTCAAAGCATGTTTGTTTGACACCCTGCAAATGAGAGTCAACAATCAACTATGATACAAATTAAATTCTGCAGCTTTAATAATCAATTATTAATATTGCTTCCTAAAGAGATTTCACCACCAGCAGATGGATTTATTAGTAGTTTAGCTTTGTGCTGAAATCTGTGGTGTCTTTGCTTTCACACCCTTTCTTGGTGATCTTGTCCTGCTTGTGTTATCGTGCATTTGAGTGTGTTTGCTTGCTGCATATATCATATAACCAAATGAAGAACTCAAAAACATTATTGTGGCACATTAGTAAAGCACTGAATGCAATACATTGTTTTATTTACAAATCATCAGATATCTTTCCAAATGTGTGTTCTTTTCATTCAACTTAAGCCTATCACTGAGTCTAAAATGTGGCCATTACAGATCATTTAATTAATTTCCATTTTTAAGATGTATGTTTAAAATTAATCCTAATGAATGTGTTAAATTTGACACCAAACTGGTGTAGCAGCTGGGGTGGCCAGGCATTGGCAGGTGCCACCCCATGTCACCACTCTTGATCTGCCCCTGAGTGTTGTGCCTAGAAGCCTGCGTGATACCTTACAGTGTGCAGGAGGCCCATGTCAGTGCCAGTTTTGCTCAGCTTGGCAGAGGAATGTTGCATTCCTGTCATTAGTCACTTACTTACATACTGTGTCTAGCACAGGGAGGCAGCCCTCATTCTCTTCTACATTTGTTCTGCTCAGCCACGGCTTTCTAAACACTGTCTCTTTCTCTTGCTTTCCCTTCCTCTTCATTGTTCTGTTCCCCCATTCCACTCCATTTATGTTCTTTTACCCCTTCTTCTCTTCTCACTGTTGCCATCGTCTGGTAATACTTAAATAGTTCCCTTAATAGGTCTCAGCTGGGTTTCGACTGACCAGCTTTTGACTGGCACCATTGCCTCTTCCCTTTAAAGGAATGGCTGTGGTGTCTTAGCTTGATAGATTTGCCTGTTTCTGTGACATGGAGAAGGGGAGCCTGCTGTTGTTAGAATGATTATTTGACTCAAACAAGGAGAGAATGACATGCTCTCTTTTTTTTAAACTTAGTTATCTACCCAGCAGAGGGAACAACTCTCTCAGCTCTGTCTAATCTGCTTGCCTTTTTGTAGAACTTAACATTAAACTATCTGCCACAAAACTGCACGTGAGATTGCCTTTTGTTGTACGACACACACGAATGGACCCTTCCTAAGCCCCGCCCCATTTTGCTCTGTGCCCCAGAGCGAGATTTGGTCAGAACCTGTCAACTTTCTCATTTACTGTACTTAGATATGCTATGTGCTAGGCTAATACATGTTGAAAATACAACCACATTTTGAAGACTGTTCTGAATAGAGTTAAGTTAGCTAATGTTAGCAAAATGCTAGTTAACAGACGATTGATGTAAAATAGTTAGCCAGCATTTTGCTAACATTAGCTTTCAGATGTAACTGGCTAGCAAACGATTGATGTAGATTAGCTAGTTAGTTAGCTATCAATTTCCGAATATTAGGTAGCTCCGTTGTGACTGATGTGACTATATATGTGTGTCTTTTGTCTTTTAACCATTTTCAAAATGTGGTTGTCTTTTCAACATAGATGACCCTAGGACATAGCACATCTAAGTACAGGAAGCCATTTTTTTGCCCAGGGTGGTGAAGTCATGACCTGACTTACTCTGCCTCTGATTGGCTTACCCTGACAGCCTTAACCTAACTCAAACCAATCTCACTCCTCCTAATGTTAGCTAGCTAGTCTTGCTAACATTAGCTTTCAGAGGTTGTGATTGATGTTGATTTGCTAGCTTGTTAGCTCGCATTTTTCCGCAACATTAGCTAACTTAAGATGTGACTAAGTATAGGAGAGGACTGAAGCTTGCTCAACTCTAATTGGAGCACAGAGCCAAAAGGGGCAGGACTTAAGAAGGGTCAATTAGTACCAAAGAAACACTGGTTGGTATTAGAGATGTTCCGATACATTTTTTCCCTCCCGATACCGATTCCGATACTCATGCTGTGGGTATCGGCCGATACCGAGTACCGATACCAGTACTAGTGTGTTAAAAAAAAAAAAGAAAAAATCATGCTACGCCTGCATGACTGTGATACAGTAGCGGACTGGGACAATAATTCAGGCTGGGAATTTGATACCATCCCAGGCCACCACTACCACCCGATTAACGCAAAACACCAAGGGTGAGTTAGGTTGGGCGCCTACTGATGTAAGAGTGTAAAATAATAAAGCAAAGGCTCCACATGCGCCCACACACAGCTTTTTCTGTTTCTTTCCCCTACAAAATAAATGTTTCTGTTGTGCTGCAATAACCTGTACTCAAATAACACAATTTCTATTCTATTTCATTTACTACTACACTTTTAATGTGCAGGCTGCACATTTAATAGTGTAGTAGTCGATTAAATAAAGATGCAGATGTGTAGGTTTATTCTCTGTTACATTAAACAAGGAAACACACACAGAAAGAAATTTGCAATATCCTTTGTTACAACTTAAAACATTACTTTTATTAAGTCAGTTTTAGCCCCATCAGCTTCCACAAAGTGGAACTAACCTCCTCATTAAGCTAATGGTGCTGGATAGGCTATGGTTGTGCCAAACACGTCAGTTATGTTACAGCACTTCGCTGCATCTGTGGTCAGTGCTTTTAGCTTTTTAAGCCTCTCCCTCTCTGCTCCATCTTTCCTCTTGGGCTTCGATCTCGCTCCATTTTTCAAGCATGTAGAACTAAAGGTGAGGGAGGAGGGAGAGAGGAGGGGGACGGGGGCGCGACTTGGTGTGTGTGTGCGTGTGTCTGCAGTGCTGTGACAGAGAGCCTCAGATAAAGAGAGGAGGGGGTGTGTTTGTGCCTAACGTTGCTGCTCAGTCTGTGTGAGCTTCAGCAAGGCAGATACCCTAATGAGCCGCACAACGGATTGTTTATTTCAAAATCAAGCGCGACCCGAACCGAGCCTTTGGTCCAGACCATCGGCAATCGCAGAGCGGGCCAGTTCGGCGGACTGGCCACCGGGAAATGTCCTGGTGCTCCCGATGGCCAGTCCGCCACTGCTGTGATATGATTATCACGTCTTCAAATGTTTGATTAAGTTGCTGGTGTTTAAATTTGCAACACTCGTGCCACCCCTTGAAACTGCTTCTTTGCATATGTTGCATGTCGCCGTCTTACTGGTGGGAACATCCACTGTAAAGTACTGCCAAACCGCCGACATGATGCGCTAATGTTAGCTCCTTTTAACAGGTGTCAGGTGATCAATTCTTCTTTGCCCCTCTAAAACAGCAGCTGCCGATGTCAGCACAGCGCAACTGTTTTAAGAGCGGCGAAGAAGAAGTTTGTCAGAGCTAATGGAGCTAACCAATAAATAGATTCATATTTCTGATAAATTCCGTGGTATCGGATCGGTGCCTGGACTCCAGTACTCGCCGATACCGATGCCAGCATTTTTGGCAGTATCGGAGGTATTCCCGACACCGGTATCGGAATCGGAACAACTCTAGTTGGTATAAGAATGCTACACCTTCTATTCCAAAGTCTTATTTCCATTCTGTTGCTTTTTATTTTATATGCATTTGATTTTATTGATACATCACATATGCATTGTTATCCTCATTTCTGTTTTGTTGTATTTTGTTTTACTTCATTTGATTTAATTATGTCCCTTTTTTTCTTTTGATCCCCCTTTTTTCCTGTTCTTTCCTTTGGCTTGCACTTCCATCCCCTCTTGTGATCTTGTCCTCTCTCTCTCTCTCTTTCCTGCTCTGTACATTTTCGGTTTTCTTCCATTTCTACCATTTCTCTGGTAGCCAACAGGGTCTAGTTGCCAGATGCAGCCTGTACAGTCGGCACCTGGACTGCAGAGCTGTTGGACTGCAGGACAGACACTTGCCAGGTAGGCTTTAGTGAGGATGTTAATGGCAGTTAAAAACTTTGTTAGACACATATGTGCCCATATCAGTCATATTGGAAAAGATGTTTAATTACTGTGTTATACTGGTAATCATGTTGTAATATTACGTGGTTACAAAGCCTATTCAGTGGCCCAGATTAAAAAAAATACAGAATCATTGTAATTATTTGGTATGAAGTTGGTTTTAAATATAGATGTATTTGTGTGAAGTAGGGATGAGCAAGAACACTATTTGTCTGTATCTTTTGTGGCAATTAAATTATCTGCATTTGTGTCTGTACTCTGAATGGATGGGGCTTAAACTGTGTGTGGACGGGACTAAACAGAAGTTGTTCATCAGCCTGAAATTGATATAGGTTTAAAAAGTTTTTCAATAAATATGTGTAATAAATAAAAAACAATTTATAGAACAGCCTCAACCACTCGGAAAAAGTACATGTACTGGATACTGCTCAACCCTAGTGTGAGGAAACCAAAGAGTCCCTCACACCGTTGATCGCCTTCACACTTTATTTATTAATTGTATGTCCTCGAATCTTCTTCAGATGGTATAGACTATTTGAATTTTACCAGAATGTTGTTAACCCTTACGTCCTAACTAAGAACAAAGCAAAACTATACTAGCACTACATGGCAAAAGTCAGCAAATATGAAAAATCATACTTATACATTCATCAAATATATAATAGAATGCATCAAATATATGATACTAACACCGCTGAATGTTTTTTATTATGTTTTTTATTTCATGAAAATTGTAAGTCTTAGCATCACTGCCTTTATCAGTAAAGTAACTGTTTGGTCAAGCATATTTGTAAACAGTAAATATCATATATAACAGACTGTCATGAAATGTATTTACAACTATGAAAGATGAGAAGGTTTTTATTTTGTAGCAAATAATCAATTTTGATGCATTAGCTAGCTTCACTACTTTTACCATAAAATGACAAACAACAGATTGGTAGAGCATGTTTCTAGACAAATATTTAACCCTTATTAGACTCTTTCATAGTATCAAGTTACATAATTATGTACAGTAAGAACCTATAATATGTAAATCTAAATAAAATAAATTATAATCTTACCTTTGAAAATTCCACCAAACTCATATCTGAACTGACTGTTATCTTTCCAACTTCCTGTAAGTAGGTGAACTGAAGGGGGTGTACTCCTTAAAGACACAGCAACATCTAGTGGATTCTTTTATCACGGCAGACCTAAACTGAGTAAAAAGAGCTTGGTTAGGTTGATTTAAGTTCACCACATTTTTCAGTAAAATGTCCTCTACCAAACAGTTAAATAGTGAATTAGGAATGTACAGATGACGGACAGTGTGTAGGATTCTTTGGTTTGTTCAAGATTGTCACAGCCTACGCACCTCTTCATAAGACACAATGGTATGTCTAAGAACTTTGTCATTACCTGTTGAGATGTATTTAAGCAACAAAATAATCTTGACTCGAGGACTCTGTCAGAGCTCAACAGCATCTCACAGTCCTCATCCATTGTTATCACTCGTGGAGCAGAATGTTGCACAATGAAAACCACCCAGTCAAGTGCAGTACAGCCAGGCAGGTCTGCTGTTCTTGCTCATGTGTTAGTACCTTGTGCCTCCTTAGGTCTGAGACCAGTGGGGGATCAGTCATACGCAGTGGGATACACAGGCACACACAGGTTGGCCAGTATTCACACGCCACAAAGCAGGTATTTATACCACTGCACTAGACACCTGGATATTTAACTGTTCATTTTCAAGGAGCTTAACAAGCATGAACAAAGAAAGTGAGGAAGTTTAGGGGCTCTCCCTGTGTGCAGACATTTGTGGCTAAAATGCCCTGTAAAGTGACGACTCCATTGGTCGTTTGGTGTTGTCGGTAACAATGAACATAACAATCTAATGGAAGTTCCTGTGGGAAGGGGCTTTGATCTGAAAAGAAAAATGTGTGTATGTTCAGTACAAGTATGAAAGAATCAGCCACATGAATGTTTCTGACTGACGCCTTTGCACATTACCTCTGTGTCTAGCCTGCACGTTCCAGCCACATGACATATGTTCACATTTCTCACACAAGCTACCAAAAAGTAAAGCAGGGAAGGGGTTTGCTCGTCCGCAACATTTCTGTGACGTAGATCCATAGAAGCTCAAAACATTCTTCACGTACAACCGTAAACACAAAGAAGTCAAATAAGAATGATGTTTGACTTTATTTTAGTGGACCTATAACTGTGGTCCTCAGGTTCTGTAGAATGAATCACACCTGTCTTGACAATACCACTGCCATCAACTCTCTGTCTGCCCATGACTTGTTCACTTTGACTCTGGTTTGCCTGCTTGGTTCTGTCAGGTGACGTCACCCATAGGTTTCTGAAGAGCTGTTGTGAAGCTAAGTATGCTGTCGCCATCTTGGCAGCTCCCAGCTATTTCAAAAATGAGTAAAGAGGTGGAGTGTGAGTAGAGCTGAGGCGGGCGGAATGAAGCCTGGTTAAGAAAAAAACACCCACCTGTCATAGAAAGTGGCCACGCCCTTAATTAAACATAAATTTAAAGGGGAACTTCGGCAGATTTTTACCCTAGTCTTGATCACTAGAGGTCACCGAGTACTGTCGATAGGAAAAAGAACGACCAAAACCGGTGCTAGCAAACTGGAGATCCTGCAGCTAATGGCCAGAGCTCCCAGTTAGTTATAATACACTTCTTGGGGGCATAAACTAAAGAGTGCCTTTTGCTCCTCTTAACAGACACAAAATGCAATTAAAATGTCTGTGCAACATGATCAGGGCCCTTACGTGACAACAACATGCCTTTTCAACTCATACGTTGTGCAGAAACCGTACAAATAGTATTGTCACCTACCTGTTTTTACAGCACTCCCTTCACCGAAAGCCCAGAATAATTGATCACGGAGATAATGTTCCCCTTTAAGTCTAATATAATTTAAACAGGTGAGTTATATAAAAATGCACCCCCTGTACACACATGCATATGTAACAAAAAGTAATTTTTATAATAGTTACCTACTGCATCTTTTATCTTAGAGGTGGCAGATCAGAATAAAAACAAAATAATTTCCATGTGGTCATATGGTCCTTTTTAGAAGGCGGTAACCACTTGTGTTGTTATGTGTGACTTTTTGGGTTTTGCATTTCAGTCATATATGTCTGCACATAGGGTTATTATGCAGTAAATATTTATCTCAGTTTTTCTCCAACATGTTTGCCCTCCGCCTTCATCCCTCCTCTTCCTTCCACTGACCATGTACTGTAATGCCCCTTCACCAAGGTCCCGGCCTCTCTCGCTTCCACCTCTGTCTACATCCAAGAAAAGTGTTGTCTGCAGCCAGAGCTCCCTAGACGGCACAGAGACACACCCGGATACAGACGCTGAAGCCTGCGGTGCTGTAGAGGAGATCATGGGGATGGGCGGTCTACAGCGTCCAGCAGGAGACCTGCAGGGACATCTGTCAGAGAAGGAGAGCGACAGAAGCAGTCAAGGCTGGTCGTGGACTGTAGGAGAGAACTGCTACACCGCCCAGTGGGTCAAGCAGAAGCAGGAATACAGGAGCACCCGTCCCTGGTGATCGGGAGCTAAATCTGAGATGATTGCCATCATTTATATTGTTCAACGACCAGTCAATGCTTTAGGACAAACAAGTGCTGAAGTAGAAATTCAGAGGTTTTATATAGCATTGATGCTGCCAAACTTCTGGAAAAAAATCACTCCCAGGCTTTGTGGTTTAAACAGGGCTGTTGTAATGTTGGTTGGTCTCCAAGATGAGTGATTGAACTGTACACCAGTTTATCTTAAGTAGTTGACCAAACTGGTGCTAGAAGCCAAATATGGTTTCAGTCCAAGAGCAGTCGGACACCAGCCAACATCCAAACCCATTAGAAAGCGTCCGTCTAAAGCTGCATTAAAGCAGAGGAGGAAATTGATAACTGGGAGCATTAGCTTCAGCACTCAGTTGTGGTGGTTGCTGCTTATGTTTAAAGGTTTCAGTATGCTTCAAACAGAATGCTTGTCAGATTGTCTAACAGCATCTGAAATCAGAGGGCTGCGTCCATTCATTTTTGTCAGATGAAGCCAGTCAGAGGTATAAGTTAGAGCTGCAGAGTTCAGAATTCTTCATTGTAGCGTTTGGGGACAAATTCTGTGCAATAGCTGCTGAATTCTAAAAACATCTATATTAAAGGTTATTTTTTACATCATACCCAATTTCTTTTCTCTTGAAAACAAACTACAAAGAATATGTATCACCCTTCTGTACGGGATATTATGGGAAAATTATTCTACATGTTCTATGTAGTAGGGTTCCCATGTGTCCTGGAAAACCTGGAAATTTAGAGACTAGTTTTCCAATCATGAAAACACCTGGCAATTGATAAAATTGCCCAAATATCCTGGAAATAATCTTGGTTGTTTCACTTTCTCTTTCTAGAAGATGGATTTTCTGTAAAATAAAACAAATTCTACTTAAATTGAACTGTAACTAACTAATGGGCCATGGCCACATTAGTGTTATTAGTGTTAGAGGAAAACTGTAGTAAACTGTTTTCAATTTACCAGAGACCGCTGTGGAAAAATCTGCTGTGGTCACAATGGCCAAGTTTGCCACATAAGCGGTTAGGTGCTTTTATCTGTATATCATGCTAAACACTGAAGGGAGGGTGGCAAAGTACTCAGGTCATGTGACTTCATGCCAGCATTCAAAAATATTCTTATCAGTGTGAAAATTCAAAATGGCAGTGTACATGAACAACAACACTGGTGGTAAAAGTCAGGTAAAAGTAAGTTTCATGTTTATTATTATTTATGGACTAATATAATATTGTTTTTTTAATGATGATTTTATATGTTCTTGATGAAAAATAATGGATTAAATTTTCACAACTTTGAAGCTGCACTAGGTATTTTTACTACTGTCAGAACACAGTGAAAATGTCATTAGTAATGAAACAGGGATAATCACTCACAGTTTTATGCTGTTTTGAGGCCTCTACAGATAATCAACCATATAAATGTACAAAATATTGTTTATATTATTTTTTTACTCTTCATTTTTTATTATTAATTAATTCAGCAGTGTACACATGCTCTCTCCCTATCTCTCTTACACACAAACACACACCCACACAATCCAAGTTTTTGTAAAATTAGTCACATTTGGCACATTCAGAACTTATGTGAATAACTATTGGGCTTTTTTTTTTCTTGCTTTTTTTAAACCTATGTATACAAAACATGAAAGAAGTATTCATTGTTTATAAAATGTTTTAAAGGTTGGCATATAAACTATTTATAAAGCGGAAAATCTATCTCAGGAGATTCAGCCTGTACATTGGAAAATAAAGACCATATTTTGAAAAAAAAATCATGTCATCATGTAATTGTGTCATTTTAGCCTAAATACATTAGAAAATACCAATTAATTAATTTTCCAAAATATTTGTGCTTGTCCATTTAAGCCATGGAGCCCTTGTCTATCATTGAGTAAACTAAGTGACATATTTTACGGATATTTCATATTATATTCAACGCATAACAATAACAGTTGGGAACAACTGATAAACTACAATGAACCCAAACAGTGAACACAATGACTACAGTGAGCCATTTGGATGAATTTATTAAATCAAATTCACAGTTTTCTTCTCACTGTTATATTAGCTCATTGGTTGTTTTGTTTTTTGTTTTCTTCACAGAAATGAAGGAAATGCTGAGATATAGGCCTACTGTGTACGAAGGGCTTGTGAATCAAAGATTACTCTAAAGTTTTTTTTACTTGTTGACAGGGGTTTAAAGATGCAGTAGGTAATTTTTATAAAAATAATATTTTTGTCATATTTACTGAAACTTTCACTATATCCTTACAGTAGAACATGAGACGGATAATCTGTGAAACAATCAGCTTCGTCTTGCCCCTAATGGCATTTGTAAGAAACCGCCAGGCCTGAACGAAAATAACTAATCAGCTGAGAAAGAAAGCTAATTGTTGAGTCTCATTCCAAGATATTTGATGCACTGAGACTCAACAATCACAGTCTCTTGGTGTCTGCCCTCTGGCAGGCTCATGTTAGATAAGACATGCCCTCCTGGAGCTGTCAACCTGTGACCACTTTCTACCACAGACAATTCAACAATCACAAACACTGTGTGTATAGAGGTATGACCGTAGGCAGGGTTTAAGCTTCTCTTTTCAGCTCTCTTTTTACGCCTCCAGAGACATTGTGCCATTCTTGTGAATGTGATATCTTAAGAACACCTCGAGGGAACTTCCAATTTGGCACTAATGTCAGCTCAGACTCAGCGATGAACTGGTTAGAATTTGGTAAAATTAAAGATCACTGTGACCTCACAAAACACGATTTTGGCTATAACTCAAGAACTGATGACCTGATGATTTGGTTGGACATTGAAGTGATGAAACTTTTGACTCAAAGGTCGCTGTGAGCTCAAAATGACCTTGAGAAACTTGTTTTTGGTCATAACCATAATTGATACCATAAATCCTTTTTTCCCAAGTCTTTACCACATATATGAGCCTACACTGTAAGAAAGAAATATTTTTAAAAAAACCTGCAACCCGAATTCTTTAGATTTACAGTATATCCTTTGAACCTTTCACAGACACTTCTGTTAATCCTAAAATGGAAATTCCCTACCTTTATGGTATATCCTCTGGACCTTTCACGGACATGTCCATCAATGTTAAAGCAGACATTTCTGTAAAATTCCAGCATTTCCTCAGTACAATTTGCCTAAATTGTCTTCACTACTGAATACTTCTAATCAAGTCTTACAATTTCTATGGACAGTTTGTCCGGCTGAAGTGTAAAATTCTGTATAGTCACTAGTAGCCCACATTTTTTTGGTGAATATACAGACATGGATGTTAACTGCAACTCGACTTGTTGAAGGAGGCATACAGCTACAGGCCGGTAATTCAATTTAATTCTGTGAAAGCAAAACATTCATGGTGTACAAAGACGTTGTTGTTGGAGAGATGGGGGGGCACAGTGGGTTGCAGCCAGTAGAGACTGACACAGACTTTTCACCACACCTTTCACACATAGTATGATCCAGTTAGATGGAAGCACACTGAGACCGTTAACCAGAGTGGGTGTGTTTGGCCGTTTACAAGTGAAGCTGAGCTTGTAAACAAAAGTTGTGAGGGTCGTAAGTAGCTTTAGTCATCGCCCTTGGTGTTTGCCTCAGTTAGTAACACAACAGTGACAGAACCCTTCTGGCACATAGCCATGGAACTACTTTCTTGCCAAAAAAAGAAGTGCCAGTGAAAACTGTTGTCGGACAATTTCCAATTGCTTCCAGTGTACTGGGGCGGAGGATCAAGTTTCTGACGCCATAACCTTAAACTATCTCCATGGCTACACACTGCTTGGTGAAGTGACAAAATATTTTTCTTTGTATGCTGAGTAAACTGACCCTTAAACTTGACTTTCCAAGCATGAGGAACTGCCGCTTATCAGATGTCAACATCTATGTGCTTATACCCATAATCCCCTCTCAAGTCATTCCGTGGGGTGAGTCAGTCTGCTGTGTAGTTCAGGACAGACTGAGATTTGTATGTGTTTTGTAGTAACACTTTATAACAAGGATACAAATATACACATATACTTAACTAATATTTAACTAAAGCATGACTGCTGGTGATTTAATGCAGGATGTATCATGAAGTCCTGTTGCTCACCACTAACAAATGATAAAGTCACTATGACTTTTTGTTTCTAAGTGTCATTAGAGTCTCAACAATCAACTATCTTTCTTGGCTCTGATTGGTTGTTTTCGTTATGGACCAGTGGATTCTTGCAAAAAAAACATTAGGAGCACTAGGAGGAACCAGAGGAACCTGATTTTCTGTCTTATGTTCTACTGTCAGGATATAGTGACAGTTTCAACAAATATGACAACCATTTTATTTTTATAAAGATTACCTACTATTTGTACCAATTTGTACCCTTAGGAGCCAGAGCCTTCAGTTACCAAGCTCCTCTCCTGTGGAACCAGCTTCCAGTTGTGGTTCGGGAGGCAGACACCCTCACCACATTCAAGAGTAGGCTTAAGACGTTCCTCTTTGATAAAGCTTATAGTTAGGGCTGGATCAGGTGAGTCCTGAACCATCCCTTAGTTATGCTGCTATAGGCCTAGACTATCGGGGGATTTCCCATGGTGCACTGAGCTCCTCCCTTCCTCTCTCTTTCTGCACTCATTCATGTTCCATTAATGCATGTTACTAACTTCACTTCTTCCCCGGAGTTCTTGTGCTTTCTCGTCTCGCAGGTTCTCATGGATCCTGGTGGAGCCTCCTGCCATGGTCCTGCTTGACTGCCATTACTAGTATCACTGATGTTAGTGTTATTATTATTATTATTATTATTCATCCCCCTGTTGTCGTTGTCATCTTCTTCATGTTCATCATCATCATCATCATTTGTGTAGTTGTTGCTACTGTTGTTGCTGTGCACCTTTGTCTCTGTCTCTGTCCTTCTCTCATAATCTTTACCTCAGCTTTCTGTCCCTGTTTAGGGAAACCCTGCTTTCATCATCAGGGGCCACAGCAGGAGCTCTGTGCAGTGAATAATGAGATGGTTTTTTTTTTTTATAGATTTTTAGTTTACAGAACAATATCAACATCCAATTTCTGGTTTGAATAGTGTAATCGATGTACAACTTTATATTGAATGAGACCATGTCTAATGCAGAAAGATTGTGGTATGTATATGCTTTATATTGTGATGTTTGAAACATTTTTGCATTCCTTATGCATGAATGTATAGTCTTTAATGAATTACTTTTTTGAAGTACTTTCAGCTCAGATGTCATTGAACAGACGCTATACATGTATTGGTTGTCATTCTAGCACGAAGGCAAGGGGGTGACATTTGCCATCTGAAGAGACCATGCTCCTTTTATTTATTTTCTTTTTCCTGTTTTTCTCAAGTTAAAAGCGTTAAAGAGCACACTCAGACAGATAAAGAGGGGGAGAACATGTTTATGGTGTTCTGACATCCAATTTAATTAGTATGAACAAACCCTGGCATCATCAAGAGTCATAAAGTCAATTTTCTGCAACATTTGGGAATATTTTCTATTAATTTCTATCTATTTGCCGCTGACCCCTATATCCATGTTTTCATAACATAAGAACCTGCATCTGTGCCAAATTTAAATTTTAATTGTTCTGAATATTTCAACCTAGCTGCCACCACTATACCAATGCCAATATGACACCTGGGCTTTTGGTACAGAGACAAAATAATTATAGGTCCACTTACTAGCTTACTTTCTTTTTGGAGCTTTCAGCTAGGCTGGGAAATAAAACAAGAATAGACACTTAATCAATAGCAATATGAAAATTGTTAAATAGAATATCCATAGTTTCACTTAAATGCATTAAAAAGCAAACCGCCATGAAAGCAGGGGCAGAGCCAGATGTAGTAAATATTCTGGGATTAGCCCAAACCTAGAGGGTTGCTCCCCAGGGGACATTTTTTTCCCATTTACAGCAGCTACAAGCACTATTTTACAAGCCATTTGAGATAATATAACATTTAAAATCTGTACATCATGTTGGAAAAACATGATATGGCTGAAAAAAAAAAAAAAACAATCAGAGCCAAGATTGCCAAATATTGACCCTGGGAACGAGACTCAGCAATCAACTAGATCCCACGGAAGTAGAGAGACTTGCTGTACTGATTTTTTCACAGATTATCTGGTGTACTACTGTCTATTAGATATAGTGAAAGTTTCAGCAAATATAAAAGTTTTAGAGCAAGTTATCTACTGCAGCTTTAATTCAAGAACCAACCACAGTGGTAAAGTCTGCACTCTTTGTTCTTGTCCCGGGCACATTCGCCACATCCTCTCAATCTGGATTAGTATCCCAGCAACATCTGCATGAGCACACACTGTAGCTCTCAATCCACTGCTGATGCTGATCTCCAATCAACACACACATCGCATACAAAAACAGGATTTTATTTATTTCTCTTTAAAACTCTGACTAACACCAGTGTTATTCTCTGTTCCATCCTCATTATGTGAGGATGTTTAATTTTTACAAGACCGACATTGAAGGAAAATGCTAATCACTCATCATTATTACAAACAACCTTAAATTATTAAGTGTCTTCTGAGGCTATTGTGTGCATACACAGTTTGTGTTTGTTTGAACAGCAGAGCAAAGTATTTAAAGGCAGACTGAACTTCCCTGTAGTCTTGTATTCATTTTACCTGTCAGAGTGAGTAAGCTCAGGTTTCCCACCTTTGCCATAGAAGTGAACCACATAGTACTTTGACCTTTTTACCAAAGAGCTCATTCTGGTGGAACTTGTTTTTCCTCTCTGTAAGCAGAGGAAACTCAGACTGAGCTCATTGGACCATGGGGACATTAGCTGCTCACAGGGAGGATGTGTAATGATTAAAACGAGAGCTGCATAGTTTCACGGGTGATGAAAACGGCCTCATTTATGTTCTTCCAAATACTCAGGGCCAACTGTGGAAACTGCTGCAGCTTGAAGCCAAATAAAGGAATAGTTGAACATTTTGGACAATTTCCTAATTTCCTTTTTCATTGGGATTAAAATCCATTTCAGCTGGAGTTAAGACATTGTTATCTTAGCATAAAGACTGGAGGGAAATGGAGACGTGATATCAAGGCTGCAGTAGGTAACTTTTATAAAAAAACAACTTTTTGTCATATTTGCTGAAACTTTCACTATATGCTGTCAGGAGACATGAGACAGATAATCTGTGAAAAAAAAATGCGGTTCCTCTGGCTCCTCCTACTGCTCCTAATGGTATTTGGAAGAATCCACCGGGCCTGAACGAAAACAACCAATCAGAGACAAGAGAGATAGTTGATTGTTGACTCCCATTCTCATTGTTTTCATTCAGGCCTGCAGGATTCTTTCAAATACTGCTAGGAGGAGCCAGAGGGACTTGATTTTTTCCTGTGTCATCTATCTCATACTCTAATGTCGGGATATAGTGAAAGTTTCAGCAAACATGACAGAAGTCATTTTTATATAAGTTACCTACGTTAGCTTTAAAGATATAACATTTCCACATTAAAATGTCTATAAACTCTACAGCAATTTATATATGTATTTGAGTTGTGTACTTACATTATCCCAAATGGTTTCAACAATGTTTAAAATCAGAAATCTGTCATTTTATTCAGGTAACGCTGCGTTTCACTGGTCGCCTATGGCGTCATATCCCCTTTGTGCCTGCGTCAGTGTTGTGGTTGTCTGCCAGAAGCTGTCATACATTGACTTTTTATCCAGTTTGAAGCCACATTGTTACCATCCACTGTTTAGATCTTGGTGCTTTTTAACTCTAGATTTGAACCAGATGAAGGATTTTAATCATCGGACGTCTGGATCTTAAGTTATCAGAGAAACAAGCTGAGCTAATGTTAGCAGCTGCTCTGCTCGCAGCCCCTCCGGGACGTCCTTTGTCTGTCCAACAGCGTGGGAGAAACAGTGATTTTCTGAGGTGGAACTGCTTTATTGTTGTATGTTTTTAGCGGTTTTAATCAGTGGGTCTGTTTGTTTTGGAGAAGAGGAGATATCTGTGGATCATTGGGCTCCCGGTAGAAACCTCCTGAACCATGAACACTGAAGGAATCCTAACCGGGAGAAGCTGACTGCAATGACGGCAATGGTGGTCCCACTCACATGATCCCATACTACTTTACAACATCATCAAACATTGTTTTTTTGTCTGTTTTGATGTGAGAGACCCCCTAGTGGCAGAAATTATATATTGTACGTTTAATCTATACTCACTCTCTGAAAGAAAGTAAGCATATTTCCCAAAATATTAAACCATTAATTTAACTTGCATTCAAATTCCAATGCACATCAACACTCTCTCTCTCTATATATATATATATATATATAGATATTGTTATTTTTTCCCCCCTACACAGCAGCTCTATCATTTGAAGTCATATTTAGCTTTATAGTCTACAGTATTTAAGGAAGTCCTGGAAACCACTGAGTCACTGTTCCTCCTCCTGAGTCCAGGTGTGTCATCATAAACATGAGGCTTCTAGTCAGCCTCTCCAAGTAAGGAGAGGTAGATGTTGGACTGCAGGAAGCGGGGATAACAGTCTGTGTCCAGGAGTGAGAAGATGCGTTTCTGTGCGTGGGACAGAGAGGTGCGAGAGGGAGCCTGCAGCAGCTGGATGGTCAGATCCCTTGTCTTACTGTCCAGGTTCACCTACAATGAGACAACACAGTCATCAGTACACAGTATCAACCGTACAGTACATTCATTCACATGTATTACAACCAATCAGGGCCAAGAGAGATAGTTAATTGTTGAGTCGCATGTCCCAGAACGTCATATACAGACGCTTTGAGACTTTGGGAATGAGACTCAATTAACTATCTTCAAGCTGCCAACCAATCAACTATCTCTCTTGTCTCTGATTGGTTGTTTTCGTCCAGGCCCGGATGATTACAAATACCATTAGGACCACTATGGGGGGGCCAGAAGAACCAATTTTGTTGTTTCACAGATTATCTGCTTCATGTACTACTGTCAGGAGGATATAGTGAAAGTTTCAGCAAATATGACCAACTGCAGTTTATTTAAAAAAAACATCTAGTAATTGAGGTGTTTTCTGTGAGGTTTTTGTTCTGGTTGAACTCCATTAGTGGAAAGAGGCTCCACATAAATGCACCCATTGATGTAACGTTGTGACATTAAAGTTTGAGCCGCCCACACAAGCTTCGGAAAAACACAAGAAGCATCCAAAACACACAGAGAGCGTATTGTTTGGAGGGAGGTGCACACTTTGAGTAATAAACCAGCAGAAGGTGCCTTGAGGGAGAAAAGAAATGTGACTTCCTAACTATTAGTGTGGTTGTTACGTCTCTCTCTCTCTCTCTCTCTCTCTCTCTCTCTCTCTCTCTCTCTCTCTCTCTCTCTCTCTCTCTCTCTCTCTCTCTCTCTCTCTCTCTCTCTCTCTCTCTCTCTCTCTCTCTCTCTCTCTCTCTCTCTCTCTCTCTCTCTCTCTCTCTCTCTCTCCCCTTTTAGTGCAGATTAAGACTGTATATGAAAGTAGGCTTTACCTCCCGGGGGGCACCTGGTTGGATGTAGGTGGCACAGATGTCTTTGGCCCTCCTCTGCAGGCTGAAGTTGTTAGACGAGTGTCTGTACTGCTCACATGCCAGATAGAACTGCAGATTCTCCTCGCTGAACTCAGAGCGCAGGAATGCTCCAAACACTGAAACACCAGCTGAGAGGAGGAGAAGGAGGAGGGAGATAAGTGGGGTTTACCTCACCATGCAACGTCACATTACATGTTACAAGAGGACACCCACAAAAAATCCCTCTGCCCTAATGAGCACATGATAAGTATTTCCAACAGCAAATTTTCACATGTCACACACCCATTGCCTCTACTTGAGCTGTCTTCCCACTGGCTCATTTTGATGAACTGCTCTGTAGAAAGGCTTCCAACTGCTGACACCACACGTACAGCATGTCACAGTTCACACACGTCAGCCACAGAGGACAGCACTCCAAATTAGCATGGCACTGATAAGGAGGCCAAGTCACACGGAGTCCCCAGGCTGTGTACAGTCCGGTCAAAGCAAAGAGTTACCAAACCATGTGGCAGTATGGATTCAACTCCCTACAGCTCAGCTTCAAATGAGAGACAGTGCCAAAACAAAAAATCTGAATGTTCATATCAACAAAGTTAAGTTAATTTCATATTCACTGATACTGGACCTACTTACAGTAATGAAATCTAACTTTTGATACTAGTTTCCTGTTTGAGGAACATTTGTTAAAAGCTACCAGCTGTTGAACCCTTTTCTCAAGATGACAGCAGGGCTGTGCGATAGCCTAAAAATTAAATCTTAGATGGAGAAATTACATGGTTACACAAAGTAAAATTCAGTTTATCAGTATAATCACCTGAAAATAAGAATCATTGTGTTTTTGTAACCTTAGATGAGCTGTTTTTACGCAGACCGCAATGTTGAACCACCATGTTTTGTACAGTAGTCCAGAACAGACAAACCAAACCATGGCTTTGAGTGCATTTCGTCACAATCGTAGTTTCTCCTTTGCGCTTGGAAGGGGAGAATAAACCGAGGGAGTTTCAATCTGCAATTATTCTGCTAGATGCCTAAATCCTACACACTGGGCCTTTAAATTGCAATTTTACAATTCAACAATTCTTTTGGCATTGTTTTAAAATGTTTATTCACATGAATAGTTTTAATTGATTTATTTCACCCAGGAGTTGTTTTCTAAAGCCTTGTTTAGACCTGGTATTAACATGTGTCTTTGCATGATCCGATCACAAGTGGAAAGCTCCAAGTACAGGTGTGAATGCCAGAGGTGTGGACTTGAGTCACATGGCTTGAGCCCAAATACAGTTTTACATGTGGACCTAATCCTCTTCTGTCCCTATCATCTACTATCTTTCATCAAGTAAATACTTAAGGTTATGTCCAAATACCTGCAAAACTAATGGGATTCACATCATCCTCAAATGCAAGTCTTGTTTAGTGCTGATTTTATGTAGCAAGCCAACAAGCTAAACTAAGATGTGTTAGCATTTAAGCTGCCACATTTACAGCATGAAACAGAAAAAACACTTTCAGTTATCACACCCACTGCCTTTCAGGCAGCCATTTGCTTACTTCACATCACTTTTTATTGTGGTCATTCAGAGTGGATTTATGTTGCAAGAGAAAATAAAATAAAATATTTTTTACTTCATATTCTGAACTGCATTTTAGCTTGTACTAAATTATAGTTGGTGGTCTAAACAGACATCACATTCCCCAAATGATTGCACATAACGTCAGCTGAAGGAGGGAGAGCTCACATTACAGCATTACTTGTGGGATCTGCTTCTGCTAATCCCACCTGCTTTTCTTTTTTCTTTCTTTGTGTTTGGACCTAGAGTTTGGACTACGTATATGTCACTGTAAATGGCTTTATATGCATCTGGTTAGAAAAAGCCTTTTTCAACTCTTCCATTACAACCCACAAATTCTACGTCAGTACAAAATAATAATTTTATAAGGGTGGCTGTGGCTCAGAGGAAGAGTGGGTCGTCCACTAATCGGAAGGTTGTTGGTTTGATCCCCGGCCCCTCCCACTACATGTCGAGGTATCCTTGAGCAAGATACTGAGCCCCCAAAAGTGCATCGGTGTGTGAATGTGTATGAATGAGTTAGTTTCTGTTTGATGGACTTTGCCATCACTGTGTGAATGTGTGTGAAAGGGCGATTGGGCATGTAGTGTAAAAGCTCTCTGAGTGGTCGGAAGACTAGAAAAGTGCTATACAAGTACAGGTCCATTTACCATAATTCCATTTTGACAATTAGAGCAGGCATGATGACTGTAATAGATTACTTTGAACTGACAACTGCAATTGATCAAACTCAAAGCAGCGGAGGCAGAGTTATCCTGACTTTTAGTCAAAAACACGTTTCCTAATTATATCGATTAATAGCATCTCTTAGTAGACCCTTTGATTGATCTTTTGGTAGACCCTTACTGTCGTGTCTTTCAAAGGTCTTTACAGGTCAGATACGGAGACATAACTAAACCCAGTGCATAAAGTAATATTCAATGATTCAATTTGATCCAAGGATAATTTGTCACAATTCCAAAATGTAGGTGGCCCAAACAGAACAAATTCTAGAAATATGGTGGCATCCTGACCTGATCAGACTGGATATTATTTGGACCAGGGCCGTCAAATCCTGGATCTCAGATACTCCTGGTTAAGTTTGAAATTTTGTGCCAGATACCAGATAATGAAACTTGAAACTCCATCACCAATGCTGCCGGCTGCTCAATCTGCAGTGAGGAATTGTTTTGGGCTCTTTTGACAGTAAAGGTTCCTGAACCTTGACATAGACAAAACATTTTTTATAAGAATCCCCTTCATTTTGAGGATTGTGACCAAGATATGTAGTCAGTGGGACATTTTACAATGTAAATATAAATGATAGGGGGGCCAGGATAGCTCATCTGATATAGCTGGCGCCTCATGTAATAAAGAAAGAACTAGTTTGAAATTAGGCACAGGCTCTGAACCAGCCCTTAAACTGAAGACCTCTACCAAGGCTGACATACCTGATACCCCTTTTACACTGGCTAGAAAGCTTCCATAAAGCCACGTCATTATGTCACCGAATACGTGTCCAACATGACCTATTGTTAGCAAGGTTACTAGACATCTGACATTGGTGGAAAGTGGGTATGCTTGATGTCATTTGAGTGAGCACTACTTACCATGACTAATAAACTGACTTTGAGTGCCTGTGTAGTGCCCCTTTAAATTGTAGCAACTTACCTCACAAACCTAAACCACGTCATAATTTCTACATTATTTGTGGTGAGTTGACTACAACATTCAGAAACACTTTAATCTCTAAAGCAGATAAGTGAATGGAAACATTCTGTGGCATTCAAAATATCCTGTAGTGCTTTCTGCGTTATCAGACCGTTTAATCAGGGCCTGCCTGTTTTTTTTATATGAGTGATATGGTGAGCATGTCATTAGATACTGGAGGATACTGGAATACACCAAGAGTACAACAATACTACCAGGAAACGGAGCGGGGACTTCTCTAATTTTCTCTAATTTTTTCGCAACCATAATCCTTGTTAATGTCAGACATCCTCTAGCTGGAGAGACTTTTACACAGACTCTGTTATAGCAGTGATTTACAACTGTCAGTGTTTACTATATGTTCTATTCATAGAAGCAGCAGGGTCATGGGAAGTGCTTCTCTTTTACCTTTATAGCACAGCACACAGTAACCAGTGACGTCAGCTCAGATGTCAACACAACACTGCAGCGACATGTGAGTTCAGATAAAAGCAGGGGGAACTTGAGACAGATTTTACTTTTACTTGCATAAAACATTTCTCCAAGGCAAAAGTGGCTTCTGTCAGTGATATGTCAGGGTATAGAGTTTAGGTCAGAAACTCAATGAAAAGTGCAAGAGTTAAAAGAATAGCTATCATCTAGCGTCAGTTAAATGGTACACTGTGGAATATCCACTGCTATGAAGAAAATCATAAATCTGTACCATCAGCGGTAAAGACTCTGCATCATTAATTTCATATCATGAAACCTCAAACTCTTGTGACTAACTGAAACAAAGTAACAGGCTAAATCGCTGCAGCCATTAAAGCCTGGCCACATTTCTAATAAGCCACATTTAGAACATCATGTCGTATGGAAGAAGACTTGAAACTAGAGATTGAGACCATTAACTCATGGACTGTTTACTGAGCTAATAAATCAAGTGAGTAGTCTGCTCATTCCTCCCTGAGACTCAGTTCTATCGAACTTCTTTTTTGCAGCCCATAGAGCTGCCCCCTGCTGGCCATTAGAAAGAAAGCATGTTTAAGGCACATTTGCGTTGGTTTCACTTTACCCTAATTATTAATGAGTATAATACGCAAAAAAAGTATAACTTGCAATTTTGGCATTGCAGTCTACTTTGCTCCAAGGTGTAACGACATGACTTAGATGATCAAAGCATCCCTAAGCCTCACTTGTAGTGGAACTAAAAATGTAACGACTGGTTCATTGACTGAACAAGAAGCCAAGGTGATTGTCCTCTGGGGAGCATGACGTGCTCAGTAAATCTAATGGCAATCTGTTCATTTAATATTTCTTCAGTTCAAGTGTAAAGATTTTGCTTAATGGTTGTGCTAGAAGAAAGGTCTGGGGGTCACCAATCATATGAGAATTCATTGTCTTGACCATAAATGAAGGAGATCTTTTCCACCTCACTCCCCATTTTGTTTGGACTTCCTGCTATTTGCCTGCTATTTATTTTCAACATACTCCATCACAAACAGCATCGATGCTTTTCCTAAATATCCCCGCATTTTGTCATTCTGTCTTTCAGACCTACTGTTGTGCATCTTACCACTTACCCATCACCTCCTTAGCCCGTAGGTTTTATCTTCTACGTGCTGGCTTTGCTTCACCACTACAAATGTCAAGACACTGGGGATTCTACCCATCTTTGTTTGCAGTCCTATGCTTATTGAATATGCATGACATCAATTGGATCTACTATCTAAAGTCCTTCTCTGTTCTCAATCTTAATATAATTTCAATTCATCCCCCCTAACTGAAATGTCCAAATCAAATTTCATCCTCTGGACCAAGGACCAGTTGAGGAGTTATCTAGGTTTCCAAGTTAGTTAGTTCCAGACCTCTGTATTTCTGCTGATTTCACTGTTTAGTTTCAATTTAATGGAAAAAAATCAAGTTAGTCAACACTCAAAAAAGGAGGGAGGGGTTGTACTTCCTCAAATCAATGTTTGAGGAGCCATTAAAGTGAGTCCTGCCTCCAAGAAGTGTTTGGTTGAATACAATCTCAATCTCAGATCAAAGTAGGACTCACTTTGGCTGGCCAGCAGGGTGTTCAGGGACTCAGTCCATTTCTCCAGCTCTTCTCGACTGATTTTCCCCCTTTTACTGTGGCCCACCTGACTCCACTGACGCATGAAGAGCAGGCGAGACCTCCTCTCTGTAGCACTGTGGAGCAAGGAATGCCAGCCAAAGGTGAATTTAGCAAAAGATAATGCTATTATCCTATTTCAAAACAAACATCAGGACAATCTTTAAGATTCAAAAATACTGCTTTGCCTTCAGGATAAAATTGACTTAATTTGAAGACATCTCATTTTTGTCAAAGGAAAGAAAGGAACTGTCTCGAGTTTGGTGACATTTAACATGACATTATTTTATGTGAGATAAACAACAGAAAATAAATGTGATTCTTACCTGTCTTTTTGTTCTGAGTTGGACAGGTTGGAGTTTGAGGAATGAGGACTCTGAAACAAAAACCACAAAGTTAACTGGAGACCTTCCTCCAGTTCCACTCTTACAATGTTTTTCCACCAAATCCTTCTTGGGAGATTCTTGAAACCTTAGCACTATCTAGTGAACTAGCCCGCATTTCCACCAGTTTTGAATGGAACCATTGCAACCAAGGATGCGTCATCAACGCCCTTTAGAATATGACATGCCCACTTCTGTTCCCAAGAAAAACCTGCTATTTTTTAGTTCCAGTTGGGAATCAACTTATTTTTCTTGCCTTGTACCTCAGGAGAACAACTTCTATTGTACTTTTGAAGTACAAGGCAAGGCAACAACCAGTGTTGCCCATATCAGAGTGAAAAATCTGGGAAATGTCCACCCATCAATATGGTGGAAATTGGTGGAGCAAGGTATTGCATAGCATTTCTGGCAGTCTTCACAGAACCATAGTTACATAGACAACTCTTGTTTGCAGTAGAGATTCCCTGATTTATTGACTGAATAGGCCTATTGGCAAATAAGATAGCATTAACCGATGTCAGTGGCCAATGTTTATGCGTCTGTGTTTGGTTGAGTCCTACCACTTTCACCGCAATGGTTTCAGCTGCAGAAGATTGTGTTTGGTTTTATTCAGTTCCAGAGTTATTGCATAGCAATGCAGCATGGACGTTTTATGTCAATCTTTGATCAATAACTCAAAGAGATTTTAAGTCTCTGCAAGTCCTTTTTTATAGCACACTGAAATGAACAGAAACCAATGGCAGGAAAGTGTGAAAAAAATCTGCAAGTAAATATATAGTAGACGCATGTGTATGTTAATGTGTGTGAGCCCCTCCATCAGGAACTGAGTAGAGCAACTGAAACTGCTTTTTTTTCTCATCTACATCGCTGAATGAAGGATTTATTTTACCTAAACCAGAGTTGTTGGTTGTTGTAACAGTAGAAAGACTAACAAAGACCGTTTTGGTGAGTTTTATGTTGTTTCTGTACACTATGAATGAAGTTAAAATGTTACGATGAAATGCTATGTAAAATTATGGATGCTGTCTTTGGAGTCTGGTGGCCAGCAATAATGACATTACAGTTATTATCGCTGATCTGTAAGGATCCTTCTATAATGTTGTCAGACACTTACCAAACCAGAGCTGGTGATTGTTGAAAAGACTAATAAAGACAGTTTTGGTCAGTTTCAATTTGTTTCAGTCTAGTTTTATGATTAACTGCTGGGAAAAATTACTAGTTTTGGTCACTGGAGTATGACACGTTTTCTGAGATTCTGTGCGACACATAGTTGCATAACTTTGTGTCCAGCAGTAATGTCTACATAAGCTAGCACTAGGTGTCCCACCTGCCCAAACAGACTCTTGAGGTGCAGTTTAGCAGATGACAGTTTGGGTTTAGGGTGGTGCCGGTCCAGGGTTTTGAAGGGGAAAAGGTTTGAGAACGACGAGGGAGATGGGGGAGGCAGGTCATCTCTCTCGACGCTCTCTGAGCTGCCCTGGGCGGCCGGAGCCAGCTGGCTGTCACTGTAGGCCCTGCAGCTTTCACTGATGGCGCACACTCCAAGGTGGTTTTTGTCCAGTTTCCCCAGCTCGCTCAGGTTCTCTACGCTGACGCTGTGCTCCTTGGTCAGCTCCTTCTGCCTTGCTTCGCTGGGACTCGCTCTTGGCTCCCGGATGGTGGGACCGGCCGATCTCCCGTCCAGCTCATCTTCCTCCGTGTGAGGTGTGTAGGTCCCAGACTCCCGGTTGTTTGCATTAACTGGCTTTTTCAGTGCAACCCTCTTCCAAGGGAGGAAGTCTAAGTCCAGGAGGGATCCCTCAGAGCTGAATCTACGCATGGTAGCTGTATGAGAAGTTATGGAGGGAGTGCTAGAAAAAAGTGCAAAAGACAAGAAATTAGGTAAAAGGGTTAAGAAGAGAAAGCAAAAGCCTGTTAATGAGGCAGGGAGGTAATAATACTGAACAATCAGAGAAATGGGTCGCACACAATGAATTGCTCAATAGTGCTGTTTCTACTCACTGAACAGTAGCGCACTTGGGAACCAACTTTGCAAATAAAAGCTTAGAACCGCCCTCTCTTAATTTATGCACACACACGCACACACAGGTTAAATCATTCACGTAGATTCAAATACAGTTGTCTTGCCTCAGAAAATTCCCTAAGCATTTCACTTTAATCTTAATGTAAGAAGTTTAGGGGTTTAAAGGCAAGCTAATTTCAGGGTTTTAGTTATCCTCTACTGCAAACTAATAAGAAATTTGACTCATAATACCACGGTCCTGAGATAAATATTTATAATATATACACACACACTGCCGATCAAAAGTTTGGGGTCACCTGTTATTTAGTTGTTCTTTCCTTCATTAATGGCTGTTTTAACAGATAAAAATGTATTATTCAGACACAAAATGTGTTGTTTACAATTTATAAATAAGAATAATTCAATGTCCCCACAGTGCTGTATGACAGGGTGGAATATTTTTGTAACCTTCGATTTTGAATGTGTTTTCCAGTCCAGAAAAGCGTCAGTGACCTGAGATCATTATTGAACCACAACTGTGCAACTGGGCTCTAAATATTTAGGAAACCTGTTTTTCTTTGGTCCCTCTGCAGTCTAGTGGTCATACTGAACAGGTTTAAACTGTGATCTGTCAGTTTATAGTGAATTCAGCTAATATTGAATAGTGCTACAACCCTACACCAAACTTCTGTTTCTATTTTGAAGTTTTAAAAATAGCTAGCTGCAGCTTGTTAGAGACTTTATTGTGCAGGAACCTGTTCCTGTTTAAATCTGCACACATTTTGATGTTAAGCTTCCAGTTTGTTTGACCAATGACTGCTGATTTCTTTATATTCTCATTGAACTGTTACTCAGAGGGATATTTGTCTCTCTCTGCCCTTTCAGTTGTCAGTCTGGTTGAACCATTGTACAGTGTTTCTCTATATCTGTATCTAGTCAAGCTTTAGTGGCAGCTGACCCCAACATTTTGTGCAGTAGTGTATGTGCATTTACTTTTTTTTTTACATTGGCATCAAATATAGATCAAGCAACTGATGTAAATTCAAGTTAAAACTTCAAAACCTGTAAAGCAGAGTAAAGAAAATGACAGAGGAAATGTTAGAATGTAAAAGATATTTCGCCAGACATTTGAATCATGATACAAATATGTTAAGATTCAAATGGGTGAAAAATGAATGAATCTTAAGATCAATTGTTGTATTGAGGCAAAAAGAGTTCACTTCACTAAATGAAATATACATTGTTTACCTTATTTATACCCTACCTCAGAAATAAAAAAGATTTTTTAATTTTTTAAAGAAAATATATTTTGTGGATTTTTGTCTGGGAAAATCTCATTTTGTTGAAAAAGTAGTTTCCTGTATCATGAATTGTATTGAATTGTGAGCTGAGTTTATCGTTACATCCTTAGTTAGAAATAACAAAAAATTCAAAAAGGAATTAAAGCTGCAGTAGGTAACTTTTATTAAAACAACTTTTGTCATTATTGCTGAGATTTTCACTATATCCTGACAGTAATACATGAGACAGATAATCTGTGAAAAAATCATGTTCCTCTGGCTTGTTTCAGTGTTCCTACTGATATTTTCAAGAATCGACCAGGCCCAGACAAAAATAACCAATCAGCCAAGAAAGATATAAAAACACTTTGTGTTGGAACTCCCGGGGTCCCAAAGGGTCCGTATTTGACACCGTGGGAATGAAACTCAACAATCTTGGCTCTGATTGGTTGTTATTCATTTAGACACCCATTAGCAGCACTAGGATGAACAAGAGGAACCTGATTGTTTCACAGATTATCTGTCTCATGTATTACTGTCAGAGTATAGTGAAAGTGTCAGCAAATATGACCAGAAGTTATTTTATAAAAGTTACCTACTGCAACTTTAATGGAGAGTATAAATTATGAGACCTAGGTCATTTTTTCCCATGGTTCCATTGTTGCTCATAAGGAAGTGGTCCTGAATGCTACCTCATTTTATATTAGGCTACTTGGTGATAGTGGCAATTAAAATCCAGCCCTAGTAGACCTTTGTTCACTGCTGCACACTTTAAAAAACAACTCATCAAGACACCCAGAGTGCCAACACTTTGTTCTAACGCCGGTGTATGTTTACCTCTTCGTCCAGCGGTTGTTAAGCTCTCTTCATGGCAGATGTCCAGATCTTATAAGCGACATGAACGTTCAGAAACGTAGACTCTCCAAAGACAGCGAAATCCAGCCTGCGACTGTGCTTCTGCCGCTGTCTGAGACCTGTACTCGGCTCAGTCGGACCTCCCTGCTGCTCCAACACTAATGTAAGCACACAGACATTAAGAGGGCTCGCGGAATGAAGACAGACAGGAGGAAAAGTTCCATAAAGTTTCCCTCCGTGACAGCTGAATGGTACCGAGAGGCCTCCTCCTCATGACTCCCGCCGCCCGCCACACCTTCTCCTCTGCCTCAACTTGTCCGTGTCAGACAGAGACTTCTTGAGAAGCGCAGCCCAACACCCCCCCCCCACACACACACCTACACACACACACACACACACACACACTCTGTCATTCGCATAATTTGAGGTGTGTCCTCCTGGAAAACACTCGACAACCCACTGTACAGGCAACAGTTCACTGGAGACAAGCAGTAGAGTCTGAGCTCTCCATGCCACCTTCAGGATTTGAAGAGACATCATTTGTCATTCAAATTGATCAATTATATCCGGCAGGAAACAATATCTCATTAATTTGCGCACTAATTTAACTACAATTTTACATTCACAAAACGATTTTCTTTAAGAAGAAGCTTCCACCTTATATTAAGGCTTTGAATACATTTGAGAGGAATCAGCGCCGCCAACATTTTAGATTGGTTTCCAGTGAGATATTGAGTTTACATAGTGACTTGTTGATGCTCTAGAAACAATGTTTAGTTATAATTAAAGCTACAGTATGTAACTTTAATTACAATAACTTTTTGGTCATTATTGTTCAAAATATTCGTCATATTTGCTGCAACTTTCACTATATCCTGCCATTAGCACATGAGACAGATACTCTGTAAAACAATCAGGTTCCTCTGGCTCCTCCTATAGTGCTCCTAATGGGATTTGCAAGAATCCACCTCTGATTGGATATTTCATCCACATCTGGTGGATTCTTACAAATGCCTATCATCGTTAAAGCGATAATGGCATTTGTCTTATGTACTTCTTATGTATGTCAGAACACAGTGAAAATGTAATTAATATGGCAAAAGGTTCCTTTTATAAAAATGACCTACTGCAGCTTTAAACAAACATATTATATCTTAACATATATCTTCAAACACTTTGAATAACCAAAACTATTAACTTATGTAAACTCTGTAATATTATACTTCATTATATATTCTTATAAATTAACCTCTTGTGTTATGTGGGTTTAATTTGTGTTTAATGTATTTTTGTCATCACTATTTTATACTGAAAACCTGGACTTTTGGACACTGATGGGGCATGATATATTGTCCAAACAAAAAACAACCCAAAAACCTTCAGTACTACAGGTTGTACCATTAGACAGATAGAATAACCGATACCCCAACCACCACTACTACTAAAACTATTATTATTAATAATGATAATCATAATATCAGAGCCATAGAGAACATAGATAGAGTTCTATCGCTGTGTCTCCGCTAACAACAATAAAAATCAATCAATCAATAATAATAATAAATAATAATAATAATACTGAGATGACAGTAGAAATAATTACTGTCTTCTTAAAATGAACTAACGTACGTTATACACAGCCAAAGTGACAGCTATCAGAACACAGAAGCGCTCAGGCAAGAAACAGACGCTCCTCTTTACGTCATTTGGGTCCTTTGACGTTGCATTTCAGAGCCGTGTTCTATTGGGGGAAATTAAGCTAGTTAGCTAACGGATCAAACTGAATGCACCCGCTCGCTCCAGATCAAGAGTTTGGGAAGGAATACAGTTCCACAGGCTGTGCTATATTCTGGCAGACTTTAAACCCAAAGCAACACCTCTGAGCGGGTTTTCGCTGAACGCGGACAACGATCTCCCCAGGGGAGATTATCTAGTTAGCACCGTTAGCTGTTAGCTGGCTAATAACATCAAGGCTCTGGAGCTGTGTGGAACCAGGTGCTGCCTGATTTATTATCCACATTTATTATTTAATAGCGGATACACCTTACCCTCTTATGTCCTCTTCCCCCACATCCCCCCTTTTAAAGATAATCCCAATGCACACGTTAACGTTAGCAGGCTAACGCTATTTACAGATCTAACTTTATTATTATTTCAGACATTCTCTGATATGGAGTCCAGCGCCATGATTGAAGTCACTGTGAAGACTCTGGACTCCCAGAGCAGGAGCTACAAAGTCAGAGGCGAGGTAATGCTCTTAGATTGACTTAAACACTGCTCCATTTAGACTCCTCTCCCCCCCCTGTTCCACTGACAGGGACTGTATTGTGTTTGTTCTCCCAGCTGACAGTGAAGCAGTTCAAGGAGCATATAGCAGCATCAGTGGAGATCCCAGTGGACAAGCAGAGGCTCATCTACCAGGGCAGAGTGCTGCAGGATGACAGAACGCTGACTGAGTACAGTGAGTCAATGAGATCTGTTCACCTACAGGATACACAGACACACTAACAAGCACATACAGTGTCCTTGTACTGTATAAATATAAATAGTGGAGCAGCATGATTTGGACAACAACAACAACAACAACAAATTTGTTTTTATAACCTGCAAAGGATAGAGAAGGCGATCTTTCACCCCTGCCCACAGTGCCGACAAATTATATTTGTATTTCTACGCTTAGCATTTAGAGCTGCAGTAGGTCATTTTTATAAAATATCCTTTGTCATATTTATTCATACTTTATAATATAATGTTATTGCAATCAAAACATCAAAATCAGATGTAGACAAATGACCATGACAGTTATATTATTATCAGGGATACTGTGTGCCACTCTGTAGTAATACTCCTCTAGTAATCATCATGGCAACTGTTTCAACTTCAGCACAGCACGGAGATGTTGCTGTTGTCATTCGCTGTGGTCATTCGCTGTTGCCAAAGTACTGCTTTATACTCTACCCTGTCATATAATTGCAATGTTTGCATTGCAATTACTTAAAGCACTGATGACGCTTTGGTGCAGTTAACTATCCGGTGGAAATATAACCAGCTGAGCAGGACTTTAAAATACCAAGTGCTCCAACTAATAGTAACTGGTTATTATTATAGATCTTTTTTAAATTCATTAGTCAATTGATTAGCATGCGACGGCTGTGGCTTAAACAACCAATCAGAGCAAACTAAAAAAGTTGATTGTTGAGTCTCATTCCCAGGTCGTCAAATACCGATGCTGGGAATGAGACTCTACAATGTCTCTGAATGAATTCTCAAGCTTCAAACCTAAAGTGTCTTTATATCTTTTGCAGCTCTGATTGGTTGTTTTTGTTCAGGCCTGGTGGATTCTTGCAAATACCATTAGGAGCACTAGAAAGAGCCAGAGGAACGTGATTATCTGTTTCATGTTCTACTGTCAAGATATAGTGAAAGTTTCAGCAAATATGACAAAAGTTTCTTCTTTTTTCAAAAGTTACCTACTGCATCTTTAACTCATTATCACAATAATGTGAAAGTGTTCTTGGTATAAGGAAAATTTCACTTATACAAGCTTATACATTTTTGTCATGGCGGCAGCAATATGCTCCAGTAGTTGAGTCTATGAAATATCAAAAGTGATGACACATTAATATTATATAAGTTACCAGATAACCTAAATAAAAATAACCAGAGATGGTTTGTTTAGTACAAAATGAAAAATAGCAGCAAATTGAAAACACTTGAAAAGGACAATGTTTGTACGGTATGTAATGAAGTTCATCCCTTTGTTTCTCCCTCAGATGTAGATGGAAAGGTAATTCACCTGGTGGAGCGGGCCCCCCCTCAGGGCACCATGTCTGGTTCTGGAGGTGCAGGTGTTTCCATAGGGGGGGTAGAGGGCGGGAGCAGCAGCAGCCATGCCTCCACCTCCTCCCAGGGTTCACCACACGACCGCAACGGCAACAGCTACGTGATGCTGGGGACCTTCAACTTGCCCGTCAACATCATGGACCCTCAGCAGATACAGGTTGGTACGAGCTTGCTGCACACAAGCCAAAACAGCTTCATGGTTTGTGACAGCTGGGATTTGTTTTGTAGATGTCCGTTCAGCAGATGATGGCTGGAGTTGGTGAAGCTGGAAGGACTGCCAGAGTCAGCACCAGCTCCGGGGTAGGCTCATTATTCACCATTTTTTCATCAGGCTATTTTAGTAACAAAATGTTTTTCTTATAAAAATTACCTACTGCAGCTTTAAGGCTTCATCTTCATGTCCTTCATATTTTTTTCCAGTATGGATGTGAATTTGGCCTTAAATTGCATTAATAATGGTCTTTAAAAACAATTTTTTTTTAGCAGAGACCCTGCTATAAAGCTGACAGGTGTTTGTGTGTATAGAGCAATGGCTCGGTGGATGTGCAGATCAACTTGGACCAGTCGTTGCAGAGTGAGCCCAGGATGAGGCTGCAGCTGGCTGAGAACCTGCTCAGAGATGTTTGCTCTCTGATCCACAGGCTGGAGGTACAGTACTGCGTTTGATACCGAGGCTTTTATTTACAGCCTGATAGCACTGCCACTACATAGATCATTTTCCGAATACGTTAGGCTGCCAATTAAATTACATTAATTAATTAATGTAATTATTTCTAATTAATATTTGGGATTTGGTTACTCCCAGGTTTTTCTTGTTCTTTTCATTTATGTATGTGGTCTTGGTTTTGTTCCCAGCATGCTTTGCCATGGAGTCACAGCCAAGCTAAAGTTGGATAATATAATACTCATAATGAGGGATTAGGATTACTGTGAGGGAAAAAAACCTTGAAAAACGTCAGTATTTTACAAGAAAAAGTCAATATATCTAGGCTGCAAATAATGTCTATTTTCATTATCAATTAATCTGTCTGTCATTTTCTCGATCATTTGATTAGTTGTTTGGTCTGTAAAATGTCATAATATGGTGATAAATGTTGATCGTTGTTTCCCAAAGCCCAAGGTGACTCCTCATATGTCTTGTTTTGTCCACAACCCAAAGGACTAAAGAATCCTGGAAATATTCACATTTGAGAAGCTAAAATCTAAAAATTCAGAATTTTCTTCTTAGAAACAAAAAAATGTATCAAAAAAGTTGCAGATGAATTCAGTAACAAACAGTTAATCAACTAATCGATGCAGCTCTAAAATGTTTACAATAAAGGGCTATTATGAGATCTTCAGCCCAGGAGTTAACAGGCTCATTAGATTGATGCTTATACTGTCTATTTTCACTTCAATGAATCACCAGGACAGGATGGAGTACTGAGTGTGCACGTGTGTTTGTATGCACTATGTTCATGTGTTGTAGGGAGTGTCCAGTGACAGTAGCTCCCATTCACAGCCAGAGGTACCTCAGGCCTCTTCTTCCCCGCCGCCATCGACCTCCTCTGTTAGAGGGCCATCACAACCCATGGACACCAGCTCTCCCCCTGCTCCATCATCCTCCACCTCCACCCAGACCGAGGGACCAGCCAACACCGGGCCCAAGTAAGTACTAGGTTGACTGAATGTCCCCATTAGCCCCTGGTATTAACATGTGATCTTTGTATGGATAATAATTAAATTTTCAATTCAATTAAATTTTATTTGTATAGCGCCAATTCAAAACAGAAGTTATCTCAGGAAACTTTTCAAATAGAGCAGGTCTTGACCGAACTCCTTATAACATTATTTAAAGAGACCCAACAGTTCCCACCATGAACAAACACATGGCGACCGCGGCAAGGAAAAACTTCCTTTTAAGAGGCCGAAACGTCGGACAGACCCCGGCTCTAGGTGGGTGGTCATCTGCCTCGACCAGTTTAGGTGAGAGTTGGGGGAAGAGGTAACGACAGAAGGACAGAGACAAAGTCGCACAGCAACAACAGTAGCAACAACTACACTAATAGTTGTGACTGATGGTGATGATGAACATGAAGAAGATGACGACGACGACAACAACAACAATGATGGGGGACAATGAGCAGTGACTATAGTAATAATACTGTTGTAATAATAATAATTAAAGCTGCAAGCAGCGATGAACGGGCCCTCGCACTCCAAGCAACTCAGGGTGTGTTGCGTCTGCGTCACGTGCAGACCACAACATGAAAATTCCACGTAAATCAGATCAAAATCGCAACGCAGCACTTACTTCCTGCTGCCAGTAGGTGGCGCTATCACTATATCTGAATATTGTCATGTAGACGTGTTCAGGGCGGGACTCTTATCAAACGTGAAGTTTCATTGAGATTGGACCATGTACACTGAAGTTAAGAAGACGTGTTCAGGGTGGGACTGTTACAGAATATATGAAGTTTAGTGGATACATTGTACACTGAAGTTTAGTACTATCTGTTGTATGGCAAATTGGCGAAATTTGAACGCCATGGGCATGCTGTTTGACGTACAGTCACAAATAGCAGAACTTTTTATCTGCAGTTTGTTTTGATTGTACTGACCAATTTTGATTGATCTGATAAATTCCCTAGGAGGAGTTTGTTCAAATACAACACGATAAATCGGCGAAAATGGCCGCAAAATTAAAAATGTAAGACTTCCTGTTGGGTTTGGGTTATGGTTCCAATAGGCTTTTTTGCTTATCCCATCATGATACGCATGCATACCAATTTTCGTACGTGTCGGTCATACGTATCATGGCTGATTCTGGGGGGCGTGGCTAAGCTATACAAGCTTAACACAAAAGTTGATTTTCGCTGCATCGCCATGGCAACGGGGTTCTTCAAAAATTCTTAAGATTCATAAGATTTCATCGTCATCGTCCTAAGGAACTTCTGACTGAATTTCAGATGGATCTGGTCAATCTGCTGGAAGATATACATAAAAGTATAAAAATGACATTTCCTTTCACCACTAGGTGGCGCTATCACTATTATTGAATATAATCACATAGATGTATTCAGGGCAGGACTCTTATCAGACAAGTGAAGTTTGGAGCCGATTGGACAATGTACACTCAAGTTATAGCAACTTTGTGTGTTCTGCGATACATCAAAATGTGACGCCACGTCATGGACACGCCGTTTGACAAAAACTCAAATATGAAATATCATCAACAACATGTTTTGCATTTCCTGACTAAATTTCAGCTGGATCTGAATTGATCATCCTGCTAGGAGTAGAACATGGAAGTATAAAAAATGACATTTCCTTTCACCACTAGGTGGCGCTCTCACTATTACTGAATATTATCACGTGTTCAGGGCGGAACTCTTATAGAACATGTGAAGTTTTGTTGACACCGGATCATGTATGTTGAAGTTTCATGGCGAGTCATTGAAGTTCCACACCACGGGCACGCCATTCGATGGAATGTCGTAAATAGCACAACTTTTAATCGTGAATGTCTTTTAGATGGCTGTGTCCAAATGTGGAGTCGATCCGATCAATTCCCTAGGAGGAGTTTGTTCAAATACAACATGAGCTATATATGTGTATATATATATGTATGCCAGCAAGCTTAGCAAGCTGGTGAGGAAGGCCAGCTCGGTGATGGGGATGGAACTGGACAGTGTGGAGGCTGTGACTGAAAAGAGGATGAGAGGGAAGCTGAAAGCCATCATGGACAACCCTTCTCATCCTCTCTACACTGAGCTCAGACCTGCAGACAAAGACTGCTTTAAAACTCTTACCTACAACGCACAAGCCTTTTGCACTATTTATATTTAATTTCCACTTTAGTAGTTTAGTAGTTTTAGTTTAGTTTTAGTCAAGTTCAATTTTCTGCTTATATTTTGCACTCCATGTCCTACTTGAACAATGCATAGTGTATATATACTTTAATTTATAGTTTCATATCTTCTAATATTAATAATATTAGTAATATTTTTATTGTGATATTCTTTGTTCTCTGTTTTTGCACTACTTTGCCCTATTGCTGCTGTGTCAACTGAATTTCTCCTAAAGGGGATAAATAAAGGAATATCTTATGTTATCTTATCTTATCTTATCCTATATACATACATACACACACACCGTACTGTGCAAAAGTTTTAGGCAGGTGTGAAAAAATTCTGTAAAGCAAGAAAACTATAAAAAATGTAAGTGTTGAAGGAACTCAGCTGGTAGGTTGATCCAAACATCTTGGAGAACAAACCACAGATGTTGATGTAGGCTTCCTCAAATCCTTCTGGCTCTTCATGTAATCCCAGACAGACTCAGACTTAATGACATTGACTGTACGTCGTTGTCCTGCTGCAGAATAAATCTGGGCCAATCATACGCCTCCCTGATGGTATTGCATGATAAGTATCTGCCTGTATTTCTCAGCATTGAGGATACCATTAATCCTGACCAAATCTCCAACTCCATTTGCAGAAATGCAGTCCCAAACTTGCAAGTAACCTCCACCGTGCTTCACTGTTGCCTGCAGGTACTCATTATTGTACCGCTCGCCAGCGTCTTCTGCTACAGCCAAATATTTCAAATTCTGACTCATCAGTCCAGATCACCTGTTGCCATTTTTCTGCAACCCAGTTCCAATGTTTTCGTGCACAGTTGAGTCGCTTGGCCTTGTTTCCATGTTGGAGGTATGGCTTTTTGGCTGTAACTCTTCCATGAAGACCACTTCTGGCCAGACTTCTCCGGACAGTAGATGGGTGTACCTGGGTCCCACTGGTTTCTGCCAGTTCAGAGCTGATGGCACTGCTGGACATCTTTCGATTTCGAAGGAAAATTAGCTTGATGTGTTTTTCATCTGCTGCACTTAGTTTCCTTGGCCGACCACTGCATCTACAATACTTAACGTTGCTCGTTTCTTTGTGCTTCTACAAAAGAGCTTGAACAGCACATCTTGAAACCCCAGTCTGCTTTGAAATCTTTGTCTGGGAGAGACCTTGCTGATGCAGTATAACTACCTTGTGTCTTGTTGCTGTGGTCAGCCTTGCCATAGTGTATGACCTGTGACATTAAACTGTCTCAACCTCACCTTGGTAGCAGTTTGGTTGTTCCTCATCCAGTTTTAAGCCTCCTACACAGCTGTTTCAGTTAATGACTGTGTTTAAACCTACATGTGAAATTGATGATCATTAGCACCCGTTTGGTATAATTGGTTGATCAATCCTACAAAATCCCTGACTTTGTGCAAGTGAACCTATAAGAATTGATGCTGGTTTGAAGGCAAAGGGTAGTAACACCAAATATTGATTTGATACAGATTTTTCTTTTGTTCGCTCACTTTATATTTTGTAAATTGATAAAAATAAACAATTATTATTTATATTTTTGAAAGCATTCTTAGTTTACAGCATTTTTTCACACCTGCCTAAAACTTTTGCTGGTCATGACTCTTGGGTAAAAGGAATGGCTTTCGGAGCTGATTGATGTATGTGGTATCAGATCAGTGCACACATACTCGCAGATACCCGATACCACATTTTAGACAGTATAGTTCAGTTTAGTAAACCACTCCATATAAAATGCATGTATGCTAAAGGTCCAGTGTTTGGGGGGTATCCTAACAAGTATTTCTTCAAAACATTTTATTTTACATTAAGTTTATGCACAATAATAGTAATTTGTTATGTCTGTGTTTACGTATTCACCTTCACCAAATCCAAAAACATCTGCATATTGTTTGCTTCCCAACATCAGGTTCCAAAATACTGTAACAAACAATGTTATTTTCCACCAAAATCAGACTGCCAGGTTGCAGTGGGTCCAGGCATCATTACATCTTCTTTTAATCATAAGTGTGACAGGTCACCAGTATCACCAAACAACACAGTGTTATTTAGAAGGGCCTTTGTTGTGCTGACTCCTCCTGTCCTCCGTTTGTCCTCAGTCACCCAAGTCCAGCAGAGTTTGTGGAGGTTCTGTCTGAGGTCAGGAGGGTGGAGGAGAGGTTACGTCCCTTCATAGAGAGGACCCACTCCATTCTCGGAGCAGCCACCTCAGCAGACTACAACAACAATGTAAGGAGGAAGTGCAGTTGCTAGAGGCAGAGAACATATATCAGTACTACAGTAGTCCCCATCAGAAGCTCTTTCAAAGACAATGACATAACCGAGTGACTGATGTGTTATTCATTTCATGTGTAACGTGAACTTCTTCAGTTCTGTATTAGCACTATTACTGTTTTATTAAATGAAAGTTAATATTTATTGAACACATTTATATAATTCTCTCTACTAATATTACTAGAAAGCAGTGTCCTCAGGGGATGATGCCTAATTGACCCTACCTAAGTCCCCACCCTTTTAAAGCAGCTTTTTCTTTTCCTGTACTTAGACTGTACTGTGTATTGCATTCACTTGAAATTTTATTTTTTGGTTTGTTTTTCGGAGTAATTATTTGTATTTTTCTGAGTAATTTATTTTTATGGTTGGTTTTTCGGAGTAATTTTTTTCTGATTTTCGGAATAATTTTTTCCCCCCCTATTTTTCGGACAAATTTTTTTTCTGAGTTTAGAGAGCATTTGAAACAATAGATGCATTCATTCCTTTATGGAGAGCTTGATTAAACGGAAACAAACATAACTGGCTTGTTTAGTTCAATCAAGTTTTACTTTGATCTGGGTTTAAGACACTGGGAGATAGTCCTGTCTTTAAGTCATATAGATGGTATTATCTTTAGTTTGTCGACTCTATGCAGGCACCTTAGGACTTTGCGGTTGTTCAGAAGGAAAGCCCATTCAGATCTGCTAGACATAGAAATATATACATAGCAAAATTGACCCGGTACAGTAGATAGTTGAAGATGGGGCATATATGTGCGGGCAGGAGTCTCCATAGGTCCATGGGAGTCACTGCAGGTTGGAGGTTCTTCGCGGGAGTTCGAAGTATCTCTATAATTCAGGAAAAAAATGTGTCCGAAAAACAGAAAAAATTACTCATTTTTAATTTTTTTTTTCAAGTGAATGCAATACGCTTCCGTACTTTTAAGCTACCTAATGTTAGAAAAATTCCAACTAACTAGCTAGCTAAATAATCTACATCAGTCGTCAGCTATTTTGCTAACATCAGCTATCAGATGTTCCTGCCTAGCTAACAATTAATGTAGATTAGCTTGCTAGTTAGGTAGCCTTTTGCTAACTTTAACTAGCTAACTTAAGCTGTGACTATACATGTCTCTTTTATCTTTTAACTATCTTCAAAGTCTTTTTGACATAGATTAGCCTAGCACATAGCATTTCTAAGTACAGGAAAGGAAGATGACAAAGGTTCTGACCAAGGCTTGCTCAACTGTTATTGGAGCACAGAGCAAAAAGGGGCCGGACTAAGGAAGGGTCAGTCATTGTGGTGAAATCTTGACCTAGACAATCATTCTAAAATGTTCACTTAAACACATGAAATATACTGAGCACATTTATCCTTCCTAGGAGATGAACACTTCAGATTTATATGACTCCATTACCTTTCACCCTCAGAACAAACAAAGTTTTAGACCCAATACTCGTAAGATTCTAAGAGTATATAAATCCTGAGTATGTCCAGTGTTCTGAAACATATAAAACATTTGACAGGTGCGAACAAAGCAGTAGCTTTTCTTGTCATAATTATCCAAAGCTAACAGAGTCTGTCTTCATTCACAGACCCAGGAAAGAGAGGAGGATCAGCGCGTTCTCAACCTGGTCGGAGATGCCCTGCGTCTCCTTGGCAACACCTTAGTTGTCCTCGGTGACCTGCGTTGTAACCTGGCGACCTCTCCTCCACGTCACCTGTATGTGGTTCGCCCCATGGCCCACTACACCCACCCGGTCCTGCTGCAGACTGGTCTACCACACATGCCCATTCCAGTAGGTTGACATCACTCTGGTCTCCTGTATGGAATAATGATTTCTGTCAGATACAGTCATTACAAAATAACTTAAACTCAGGTAGCAAAAGCACTCCACCACACATACAGACAATATCTTTTTTTGGTCGTTAATGACGGCTCATCTTACGTAATATATCTTTTTTATGCTCAGTTAATTGTGTATAGTTTGTGGGTGTTGCTTGATGTGTTTTCCTGATGTTCAGAAACATCTGCCTGGTTTTCAACTAGGCAGCAGCTAAAGCCCTGCTGTTAGTGTTTACCAACCTGTTTCACTTTTCCTTAAGGGACCCCTTCAGTGAGTAAACTGACAACCCCTGACTAAGTGACATATTTTATGGATATTTCATATTATATTCAATGCATAACAACTGATAAACTGTACAATGAACCCAAATAGGGAACACAATAAATGCAGGAAGTTTGTGTAAAATGAGAGAGTAGACAGAGACTCTTTCCTGTGAATATTAGATCAGATTACTTTTTTAAGTTTTTATACTGTGTATACATTCCCCTCCAAAAGTATTGGAACAGTGAGGCCAATTCTTTCATTTTGCTGTAGACTCAAAAGATGAACATCAGACAAGAGATCAACAGCTTTTATTTCCAGGTATTTACATCTGGATCATTTTCCTGATTTGGGCTCTGCATGCCACCACATTTTTAAATTAAACAACTGAGATGCAATTAAAGTGCATCTGGCTCAGAGGCAGAGCGGGTCGTTCCTTAATCGGAAGGTTGTGTGTTTGATCCCCGGCTCCTGGTGCCACATGTCGAAGTATCCTTGAGCAAGATACTGAACCCCAAATTGCTCCCGATGCCATGCATCGGTGTGTGAGTGGAGTGTGTATGATTGTTAGTTTCTGTTCGATGGACTTTGCCATCACTGAGTGAATGTGTGTGAAAGGGTGAATGTGGCATGTAGTGTAAAAGCACTTTGAGTGGTCGGAAGACTAGAAAGGTGCTATACAAGTACAGGTCCATTTACCATTTACCATTTACCATCACTGATATGATGTCAGCTGGTCCTTTTGTGGCAGGGATGAAATGCAGTGGAAATGTTTTTTTGGGGATTAAGTTAATTTTCATGGCAAAGAGGGACTTTGCAATTGGTAATTTATTGCAATTCATCTGATCACTCTTCATAACATTCTGGAGTATATGCAGTAATTCATATTTGTGTCATTCTCAAAAGGTTTGATCACCACTGTTAAATGTATTGCTTTTTTGTACATAATTTATGTTTCACACTTACAGGTAGTGTTAAACACATCTAATAAAAATAATAATTGTTATTATTATATATAACAACAACAATAATGATGATAATAAGAATTCTTATAGTGATGATAAAAACAATCATTATAATAATTATTATTATGATAATAATATATATAATTATATATATTATATATTATTATAATTACTGTCTTTATTTACTGTGTATCATATCCTGGCAGAACTGTCTAACTGTGACAAAACTATGCAAAACTACACAGTATTTGCATGTCAGTATGCTCAGAGCAACTTACCTCAGATTGATGTGGTGGCCAGAGTTTGGACCTCATAGCTCAATTTTAAACTTAACATCACAATGTTATTTACATGAGTTGACCTCAAAGTGAACTAGAGTCATACTGATACCGATACCAGTATCAGAAATTCCTCCGATACTCCCTAAAATGTGGTATTAGGTCGCAGCAAGTACACATAGCTGTGCGCCCTGCTTCTTTCCAGCATTGTCTCTTTTGACATTTACTCCGTATTGGCCGATATGCAAAGTTGAGGTATCTGAATCGGTTGGGAAGGGACAAATGGTATGGGTAAAGTAAACATGTCTTTCTTCTCTAGATAAACTTGGGGACAACAGTGACCATGACCTCTAATGGGAGACAGGCAGCTGAAGGGCAACGCCAACCCTCTGCTGGTGCTGGTCAGTCAGATCAGCAGGTGTCAGGCCAGGCTCCGTCTCTTCAGTCAAATGGGACCACTCATCAACAAGGACAGGGAGGACCCCGAATGATCCGGATCACCCACCAGACCATGGAGCCTGTGGTCATGATGCAGATGAACATTGACGGTATGTCTTCATAGAACCTGACTGTAGATGTGCCGCGCTCACACTCTGTAATTAGTTTGAAAATGTGTGTGTGGGGCACCCGGTTAGCTCAGTGGGTAGATCTGGCGACCCATGTACTGAGTCCTTGCAGCAGCGGCCCAGGGTTCGAATCCAACCTGCGGCCCTTTGCTGCGTGTCATCCCCTCTCTCTGCCCCCCTTTCCTGTCTCTCTCCAGCTGTCGCTATCACAAAGGCAATAAAACCCCCCAAAAATACTTTTAAAAAAAGTACTCTGGTACACAGATTCTTAAAGAGTGCAGCTCATCTGCAATAGCACATATACATTATTGTGTAAATCAATAAATACAGAAATAAAATATAATATATTGGGAAGGAAATTCTCAGGACATAAATTAATACAGAAATAAATTAATGTTGAATTGAAAACAATGGTCAAATAATCAAATATATTTATGTTTATACCAGGTGTAAATCTATTTATTGGAAAAAAAATCTGGTTCCTCTGGTTCATCCAAGCTAATGAATTTTTCTTCTTGTTGAATAGGTGAGTCAGCTGCTGGGTCTCAGGTTCCAGGACAACAACATATTGCTGGTCCCGGACAGCCTGGTGAGTGCGTAGTTTGTTGCTGCTTCCTTCTTAAAGATGCAGTAATTGATTTATTTGGGTCAAAAGAGCTTTAAGTGGATAAACTCAGGGATCTACCTGTTTCTGTATCTAGGAGTGACACCTGTCCACTTCCCTGGACTGCCCCCTGAGTTCATGCAGGCCATTGTGCACCAGATCTCCCACCAAGCTGCCGCCATGGCTGCCGCAGCCTCAGCGAGCCACTCAGCACAGATGGTGCCTGGCCCTGGCTCAACACCCAGCGCTGAGGGAACTGCTTCCCCACAGCCCCCCCACCCTCCTCAGGCAAGGGTGGTCATCACCAGGCCATCCTTCTCCCCCCGCATCCCACAACCTGTGGGAACAAGGGGAACCACCATCAACCTGAGGGCCGCAGTACCCACAGCTGGCCAGCAGCCAGGACAGGTAACACTGACACAGATAGATTTGGTCTGTATAACATTGGAATTTTCCCAGAGCACAACGTAATGTCATCAAATGTCTTGTTTTGTTAGACCAACAGTTCAAAACACAACAGTGTTAAATTCACTTTAATAAGACAAGGAAAAGCAGCAAATTTTCACATTTGTGAAGCTAACGTTAGCTCAGCTTGTTTCTCTGATAACTTAAGATCCAGACGTCCGATGATTAAAATCCTTCATCCGGTTCAAATCTAGAGTTAAAAAGCACCAAGATCTAAACAGTGGATGGTAACAATGTGGCTTCAGACTGGATAAAAAGTCAATGTATGACAGCTTCTGACAGACAACCACAACACTGACGCAGGCACAAAGGGGATATGACGCCATCGACAGGCGACCGGTAACACAGCGTTACCTGAATAAAATGACAGATTTCTCAGAGTTTTAACATTGTTGGAAACATTTGGAAAAATTATAAGTACACAACTCAGCTACATACAGAACATAGGTCTGGTGTTTCTAAACATTTTAATAAGGAAATGTTACAGATTATAGTTTTAAACAAAATCATTTTTGAAGATTACTTAAAAGTTTAAAGTTGCCAGTGAATTTTCTATTTTTTTATCAATCAGTACAGCTCTAGCAACATCCTACAGTGTGCTGAATAATACACATTCATGAACTATAATAAGCATGTAGCTGCTTGTTTATCTCTGTATCCTTTATCCCTCTGTGAGCAGGGCACACCTTTGGCTCCCTCCTCCCTCACCCAGATGATCAGTGGTCTGGTTGGACAGCTCCTGATGCCAGGACAGCCAGGTCTGTGTGAACTCTGACTCATAATTCATATAAAAAACCGAGGGATGTCAGGATGTTTGTTAATGTTATGTGTTTATGTTTCTATCAGCAGATCTATTATTGTGAGATTTTTTAAACTAAATATCTGTCAGTATTGGCCTCAAAGATCCAGTATTGATTAGGTATACTTATTATTATTTTATTATTATTATTTTGTTCCTGTTTCCTAACTGCTCCAGGTGATCCCATGTCCATGCCCTCTTCAAGCAGCTCTCAGTCCTCCTTCTCTACCTCTTCTTCATCTGATTCCTCCTCCACCGCATCTCCTCCCCCTTCCTCTGCCAGGACCTCCGGACAGACATCCACTCGCACCACCAGCACTACCTCTGTGGGCCAGCCAGCAGAGGGTGGCCCTGAGGGGAATCTGGCCCAGTTCCTGGGCTCTCTGCTGGGAGGAGTGGCTGGGCCGGGGGGTCCCGGTTCTGTACCAGCTCCCTCCATCACTGTGACACTGCCGGGCGTGCCTGGCTTCTTCCAGGGCATGTCAGACTTCACACCGGTGAGTTCATATAGTGTTACAGAAAAGCATAATATGGTGGCATGCAGGTTTTCTCCTGATTCCAAATGGGTGTCTGGTGGCTCCCCTGTCTTGAGGGCCAGAAAATGTGACATTGATTGATTGTTTGATTAATTAAAGGTCCAGTCAGAAATGGAATATAATATTCATTGGTATGTTTTCATTAGTGTAGAATCACCTTAAAGAAGAGTCGTTGTGCTTTTGTTATTAGAATGAGCCTTTCTTGCAAGTTTTGTGGTCATCATAGTTTCTCTATCATGCTTGGAAAAGGATGGTGAAGCGAAAGAGTTGCAATCTGCCACTGCACTGCTAGAAGCCACTAAATGCTACACACTGGACCTTTTAGATATATATATACCCTGCTACAATATGATATACCATATATGCAATCATATAACACACAAAGTGATTTATCTTGTACAGCATGATGGGATATATATATATATATATATATATATATATATATATATATATATATATATATATATATTGTGTACTTATCTATTATGTAGCCATGAATTATTTAAACAGTTTATAGGCTTTACATTTAGAGTAGCTAATGAAAAGGGATAAAATCGACAAATGACTGATAAAGTAAGCACAATATAAAAAATAGTCTGGTTACTATGAACATAAAGTCAAACCTGCCATGTTGCCTTTTTTAATGTCTGCTGATTGAATGAATGGAAACCCAAGAGTTCAATGATTGGTTGCAGTGTTTAAGTTGACTTTTATTGACTTAAAACATCCCTTTATGCAGAAAAGCTCTTGACCTGTACAGGTATGTTTGCATTTGAGCAGAGCCATGAACATGTTGAGTTTCTTTTCACTGCCAAGCCGCCTGTCAGTGGCACTGGTGCTCCGGTCCCCCCTCAGTCCACCAGTCTTGCCCCATCCCAGGCCGGCAGCGGGGCAAGCGGGGACTCTCTGAGCCCGGAGCTGTTCACCGGCATCGTGCAGGGAGTGCTGTCCACCATGATGAGCTCTCTGGGGGCGCAGCAGGGCAACGGAGAGAGCATCGCCCAGTTCATCCAGAGACTGTCCCAGACCAGCAACTTGTTCACTCCTGGCTCTGGAGATGCTGTGGGTAAGTCACAAAGCAGGCGAATGAATGAACCAGCCTCATATAGCATATTTATATATGTCGAATTAATTCTAACCAAAGTTTACTATTCACATTTCACAGGTTTACCATGATTGCTGTTAATATACTGATAAACTGGCTCTCGTCCCATTAGGGTTCTTCGGTGACCTGCTTTCTTTGGTGTGCCAGAGCTTCTCCATGGTGGACATGGTGCTGTTGCTTCATGGGAATGCCCAGCCTCTGAGCCGCATCCAGCCCCAGCTCACCAACTTCTTCACTGAACACTACCTCCAGGGCAGAGAGCCCACTGATGCTAACATAGCTGTAAGAACTGTAGAGAGAGCTCCACGCTGTTTGTGTGTTGCCTCGTTTCTTATTTGGTAGGCTGTAATAATAATGGTTGTCCTAATTAAGTGTTTTTCAGTTGTCTGTCTTGCGTGCATCTGACAGAACAGATTCATTTCTAGTTTAAAGTGTATTGACTTGACTATGACTGAGTTTTTCAGGTCTGATGTCTTGTCGTTTGTGTTGTTTACTGTCTGTTGGTTTTGGTTTTTCCCAGTAAAGACTTTGTCCTCTCTGCAGACAGCAGCTGAGGACCTCATCAATGGGCTGGAGGAGTACATATCTGAGAGCTTTGTAAGGACAGCCCCTCTCTCTCTCTCTCTCTCTCTCTCTCTCTCTCTCTCTCTCTCTCTCTCTCTCTCTCTCTCTCTCTCTCTCTCTCATACACACACACTCACACACACACAAACAAACCTCATGCAGACTACTACAGTCTCCATATAATGTACTGTGCTGTGTACTAGGTTTGTAGTGATTGACATGAGTAAGTTGTTTGTGTTGTGTCTAGGCCACAGTGACAGTGCGAGAGGGAGTAGACATCGTTCAGACCAACCTGTCTTTCCTCAGACAGCAGTTCACACAGATGGCCTCTCACATCCTGCACTGCAACGGTAACTTCTGTTAGAACTAGTGGCTGATCAGTCATATTAATCATCCTCTGCTACAATGTTTCATATTGCCCCTCCTCTGTGACTGAGCAGTTAGTCAGTTATCTAGAATACAGACTGAAGACACAATGGCCCTCAATAATTGTAACCATTGCAATAGTAATAATATGTTAATGTGTTCATTAACATATTATTTCAGTCAGTGGTGAGTTGTCATGGTGTCACCCTTTCAAATCTTTATGAAGAATCTTTAATCTCTTTCAGTCCTAACTTTCCAAAAATTCTCAGAGTGAACTTTTCAGACTGTGGGTTAAAAGCCTTTCATCACCTCTCTTAAAGCCCTCACAAGGAAATTTTGTGTTGATTCCTTGTGCACAAAAGTGGTAGTGTTTCTACTGCTTCGGTTCACTGCATTTTTGTAACTCACAAAAAGTAAAATGTTAAGTCTATTTAGGTTAGTTTCTTATTTATTGTTAATTGTGTTAAGAATGCATTGTGTATGCATGCAAACGTGTACCCACAGTGCTCCTGTGCTGTGTAAGACCATGCTGAAAATGAGGAGGTGTGACAGTTTTTTCTGTCTTTGGTATTTCTTCATACAGATCACACGTTTGGCCCCCGTCTGCTGCTGCTGTGCACTCAGGGCCTGTTTGAGTGTCTGGCTCTAAACCTGTACTGCCTTGGAGGAGAACAGAGGGCTCTGACTGCAGTCATCAACCACCGTATTGTTAGTATACATCATTCAGAACCACAGCATTATGCTTTACTCATATGATACAAGTCTACAGCTTACAGCTTGCAGTTACTTAGGGCTGTGTACTGGCAAGAATGTGGAGATATGCCATCAATCTCAGACAGGTTTGTCTTTATTAGTTTGCCAGGTGAGCCTAATTAATGGGAAACTACTTAAGGATGTTGTTCACAGGTTTCATGCAATATGGGGGAAAAAGATCTTTCTGCAGATGAAAAGCATGAAATAGTGCAGTATCTTTCAATAGGTATGAAACCACTGGATATTTTACGAAATATTAAGAGATATCATCGTCCTGTGAAAGGGTTTGTGTCTGATTCAGAGCGCAGGCGGGTTTGTTCAGATAAAGGCGTGTTAAGGAAAGTTTCTGTAAGGCTAATTCATCGTATTAATAGAGCAGCTGTGAAAAAGCCACTGAAGAGTTGTAAAAAAGGTATTTGAAGCTGCTGGTGCTTCTGGAGTCCCAATATCCTCTTGATGCAGGATTCTCCAGAGGCTTGCTGATGTGCATAAAGCTGTATTTCGGCCACCCTTAAACAATGCCCACAAGGAGACATGATTGCAGTGGGCTCAGAAATACTATTTGTCTAACGGTTTTATTCACTGATGAATGCTGTGCTACACTGGATGGTCCACATGGATGGAGTTCTGGATGACCACCATGTCCCAAGGCTGCGATGTCAGCAAGGAGGTGGTGGAGGGATATTTTGGGCTAGAATCATGGGAAGTGAGTTGGTAGGCCCCTTTAAGGTGCCTGAAGGTGTCAAAAGGACCTCTTTAGAAACTATTAAGTGTTTCATCATTGGTAATTGTGTTTAATAAAATCCAGATTACGATATAATTGGCAGTCAATAGGATTTTTTATCCCTCAACAATTATATCGTATATCGACTATTTAAGGAAAAAAAGAACAAAAACAGTATATGCATAATAATTTGGAACACAGTGTAAAGTAAACTTTTTAATGCAACAAGAACAGTGAGAGCTACATTTGTGTTTATCACAGTCCCTGTAACATCCAACATCGCAGCCCTCGGTTTATGTTACAACATTTAGCAGTTGGAGCTTTAAACACAAAAATGGATACAGATACAGTGTTTCTGAGAATCGATACAACATCACAAATTGATATTTTATTACATCCCTAATGTTACTAAAATCCTGTGTGTTTGTGTAGAGGAGAATGTCTGCAGAAGTCAATCCAAGTCTAGTCAACTGGTTGACCAGCATGATGTCTATGAGGCTGCATGTCATTCTGGAACACAACCCAGTTACTGAGGACCAAATCCAGCACTACGTCATCCATACACAGGTAATAAACAGAGCCATGATTGAGCAACACCTGCTGCAGCCAGACACACTGCACAAAGTGCCGAGTGGATGTAATAAATGTCCAGCTGCCTCTACAAGCACAATGTTGTGAGTAGATTTAGGTCTATAAAGCAACACAAACAGGATCAAGGCAGTATAGTGTTTGGGGAAATGTCCTTTCATTCAGAATCAGAATCAGAAATACTTTAATAATCCCAGGGGGAAATTACTTAACGTAACAGGCAGCAAGCAGCTTTCGCGCATGAGCACAAATTCAGTACAAAGAGTTATATTTAAAGCTACTTTTTGTCATTATTGCTTAAACTTTCACTATATCCTGACAGTAGCACATGAGACAGATAATCTGTGAAACAATCAGGTTCCTCTGGCTCCTCCTAGTGCTCCTAATGGTATTTGCAAGAATCTACGGGCCTGAATAAAAACAACCAATCGGAGCCAAGAAAGATAGAAAGAGGCTTTTGGTTGGTGGCTTGAAGATAGTTGATTGTTGAGTGTCATTCCCAGGTCGTCAAATACCAACACTGAGATTCAACAATCAAGTATCTTTCAAACTGCTCCTCAGCCCGAAATATGACTGAAACAGCCACTATCCAGACAGAGTTTATCCACCAAACTTTGATTCTCTCCCAGTTGTGTTTATTTTATGTACCCAGCTTCAGCATCTGTATCTGGCTGTACTCTATGCTGCAAAATAGTGAGCTGTGGTTTGTCTACGCTTGTTAGAGTGAGACAGAGGCAGCCATGGTGGAGCTACATAGACAGTGAATGACAGAGAGAGCTAGCGCCGTTTGCAAGAATACCAGTGAATCAAAGAAATAAGACTTTACTTTCAGATTTTGCACAGCAGTTATGTCCTAAGCACTAAAACCTAGTCTCCCAATGTTTGAATATTTAGGCCCAGATTCAGTTCCAATGGTACATTTTGAAACTGTGATTGATTTCAGGTGAACCAGAGGACAGAGGCTGAGGTGGATCTGCCATCAGAGAGTGTGGAGGTGAGTTCGGTTCTTTCTAATTTTTCCCTCACAAGATCTGTTTGAATCCTTTCTGTAAATCAGTGCTCTTCTTAAAGGATCATTCTGGTGTTTTCATCATCAACAAATCCCATGTGAAGACCCAAACCTACGCCGTGTTAGCCCGTCTCTCTATACTTTGACTTCTCTGCATTTGTGGGGGACTATTTTCAGTTTTGGGGCAGCAGGATTGTGTATGTGGGATTGAGTCAAAATAAACTACAGTGTGTGTGTTCATGGTAATGGAACAGTATGGCTCATTGATATTTTAGTTTTTGGATAACAATGGAGCTCTATGGCACGGAGGAAGAACATATATGGTAAATGGACCTGTACTTGTATAGTGCCTTTCTAGTCTTCCGACCACTCAAAGATTTTACACTATGTATCACACACAATACTTGATAGTAGATACATTCACTGTTGGTTTGGGTCTGCACATGGGATATTATATAAAGAAATATAAAATGTAACCAGACTTATCCTTTCAGATGGTTGAAGCTTGAGTTTGTCTGCCTGAGGAATTGGCTGCATTGGCTTCTTGTATGTAGGTAGATCTGTTTTGCAGTAAAAGAGGTATTTCTATTGACAAAATATTTAACAGACAATATACAGTGGGTACGGAAAGTATTCAGACCCCTTTAAATTTTTCACTCTGTTTCATTGCAGCCATTTGCTAAAATCAAAAAAGTTCATTTTATTTCTCATTAATGTACACTCAGCACCCCATCTTGACAGAAAAAAACAGAAATGTAGAAATTTTTGCAAGTTTATTAAAAAAGAAAAACTGAAATATCACATGATCATAAGTATTCAGACCCTTTGCTCAGTATTGAGTAGAAGCACCCTTTTGAGCTAGTACAGCCATGAGTCTTCTTGGGAATGATGCAACAAGTTTTTCACACCTGGATTTGGGGATCCTCTGCCATTCTTCCTTGCAGATCCTCTCCAGTTCTGTCAGGTTGGATGGTGAACGTTGGTGGACAGCCATTTTCAGATCTCTCCAGAGATGCTCAATTGGGTTTAGGTCAGGGCTCTGGCTGGGCCAGTCAACAATGGTCACAGTTGTTCCGAAGCCACTCCTTTGTTATTTTAGCTGTGTGCTTAGGGTCATTGTCTTGTTGGAAGGTGAACCTTCGGCCCAGTCTGAGGTCCTGAGCACTCTGGAAGAGGTTTTCTTCCAGGATATCTCTGTACTTGGCCGCATTCATCTTTCCTTCAATTGCAACCAGTCGTCCTGTCCCTGCAGCTGAAAAACATCCCCATAGCCTGATGCTGCCACCACCATGTTTCACTGTTGGGATTGTATTGGGCAGGTGATGAGCAGTGCCTGGTTTTCTCCACACATACCGCTTAGAATTAACGCCAAAAAGTTCAATCTTGGTCTCATCAGACCAGAGAATCTTATTTCTCATAGTCTGGGAGTCCTTCATGTGTTTTTTGGCAAACTCTATGCTGGCTTTCATATGTCTTGCACTGAGGAGATGCTTCCGTCGGGCCACTCTGCCATAATGCCCCGACTGGTGGAGGGCTGCAGTGATAGTTGACTTTGTGGAACTTTCTCCCATCTCCCTACTGCATCTCTGGAGCTCAGCCACAGTGATCTTTGGGTTCTTCTTTACCTCTCTCACCAAGGCTCTTCTCCCACAATTGCTCAGTTTGGCTGGACGGCCAAGTCTAGGAAGAGTTGTGGTCGTCCCAAACTTCTTCCATTTAAGGATTATGGAGGCCACTGTGCTCTTAGGAACCTTGAGTGCTGCAGAAATTCTTTTGTAACCTTGGCCAGATCTGTGCCTTGCCACAATTCTGTCTCTGAGCTCCTTGGCCAGTTCCTTCGACCTCATGATTCTCATTTGCTCTGACATGCACTGTGAGCGGTAAGGTCTTATATAGACAGGTGTGTGCCTTTCGTAATCAAGTCCAATCAGTTTAATTAAACACAGCTAGACTCCAATGAAGGAGCAGGACCATCTCAAGGAGGATCAGAAGAAATGGACAGCATGTGAGTTAAATATGAGTGTCACAGCAAAGGGTCTGAATACTTATGACCATGTGGTATTTCAGTTTTTCTTTTTTAATAAATTTGCAAAAATTTCTACATTTCTGTTTTTTTCTGTCAAGATGGGGTGCTGAGTGTACATTAATGAGAAATAAAATGAACTTTTTTGATTTTAGCAAATGGCTGCAATGAAACAAAGAGTGAAAAATTTAAAGGGGTCTGAATACTTTCTGTACCCACTGTATAGACAAACATAATGGAAGTGCTCCAGGCTCTAAAAATCAGGACTTACAAAGAGAGAAATAATAATAATAATAAATACACTAAAATAAATAATGGACTCTTTATTTTATTTATTTATTTATTTCAAAATTCAGGTAGTACAAATCAGCTTACATTTTACAATAATGTTTTTGACATGAAACTATCTAATCTTCAGTCTCATAGCAAATGTTAATTTTTCCATCACAAAGATGTCATGCATCACATTGAACCAGTCTGCTAAAGTGGGTGGTCCTTGACATAGCCATTTTCTTATAATGGCTTTATTCTAAACAGGTGTGTTTATGAAAAGCCAAAAAGCTTCAGGACGTTGCTTTTAGTTTTACATGCAGTTTCAACAGAGATAGAAGCAGACATACAGCTAAACAATACAATACTGCTACTACTACTAATAATAAACTGTATTTATATAGCACTTTTCAAAACAAAGTTAGTGCTTTACATCATTGGAACCAGGATTAAAAACATTTCATGAGGCAATGAGACAAATAAAATCTGACAATTCTGACAGAAGTGAGGTGGAATAAAAGATGCCCAACAGTAAAGATAACAACAAACATAAAGTATGTTGCAAATTAACTGCACTGAGGCAAATTAATTTAGACAATAAAAATGATACAAAATTAAAAGAATAAAATAAAACACTAATGTATGCTAAAACAATATTGATAATAAAATAGATGAGACAGGATTAAATTAAATGTTGTGCTAGAATAAATAAAACGCTTTTTATAGAGATAAGAAGAAGTGATTTAAAAGCCAGCAGAGCCCTGCTTCAGAATGCACCCTGGCTCATAGGGGTGCAGCAATTCAGCAATGTAGCTGGAAGCTGAAGCTTGGAGTGCTTTAAAGGTGATCAGTCAGTAACATCTTAAAATCAATTCTAAAACTGCCAGTAAAGAGAGGCTAAAACAGGTCAAGGACAACAAAGCTAAACAAAGTTAGGTAAAATAAACATAAAACTATTATATTAGGTAAAAAAGTAGGTGCATATATAAAAATATATGAAAGCAACAATGATAAACAGCATACAATGTACAAATCAAGTGTTTGTCTGTAAATTGTAAACAATACAGATAATGCAAAGTAATAGATAGAATCAAGTCAGTGTTTCAAAAACTCCATTACTTTGATAATGGTGTTTTACATTAAGTCTAATTGACTAATAGTTTGAGCAGTACTGTCACTCTTGCATGCAGCTTTATGTGAACACTGTTGTGGTATCTGTTCTGGTTTAGCTGCTGTCCTGTCCATTAAGGACCCTATTTACTCTGTCAGTTCAGAGTTTGAACAGAGGATTCATCATATTAGTAGTGTGTATCAGTGACTCTTGACTTTATTCTAGAGTCTAGAAGTATACTATTAGTAAGTAATAAGTATAATATTACAAACCTAGAACCACAAAGAAAAGGCATGTAAAGATGTCGCCATGTGCAAACAGTTTCCTCAAATCATTAATAATCGTGAACAAAAACAATCTGAATGATCACTTTAGAAAAGAGTATGCAGCCTTTGTACCCAAGCTGACCTCCCTCTGTTAGATCCACATACACACAGTGTTGTGTGTTCATCATCTGCATTACCAGTGTGAATCAGTGTCATAGGAATGGATAGCTCATGTTATCAACCCCTCTGTCAGATGGAGGAGAGTTTGTCTCCAGCTCCAGCCACCACAGCAGAGGAGGCCATGGCTTCATCAGGTGACAGCGGAGAGAGGGGATCGTCTCCCGGAGAGAACACAGGCTCATCAGGGGACACCCAGTGTCCCACTGGGGCCCCAGCAAGACGAGAGGAGGCAGCCACTGAGGTGGAGCAATGGGCAGCAGCTGTTCCACCTGTAAGGAATGAGGCTTTCTTAGGATTATATGGAAATATCCCTTTCCCTTCATTCCTGCACAGCATTCATAACAGCCCTGTTTCTATCAAACACTTTTCCGGTTCGGTTACACATTAATTCAATTCAATTCAATTCAATATAATTCAATTTTATTTGTATAGCGCCAATTCATAACAGAAGTTATCTCAGGACACTTTTCAAATAGAGCAGGTCTAGACGGAACTCCTTATAACATTATATACAGAGACCCAACAGTACCACCATGAGCAAGCACTTGGCGACGGGGGCAAGGAAAAACTGCCTTTGAAGAGGCAGAAACCTAGGACAGACCCCGGTTCTAGGTGGGTGGCTGTCTGAGAGACAGACAGACAGACAGACACAACAACAGTAGCAACAACTACACTAATAGTAGTGACTGATGATGATGAACATGAAGAAGATGACGACAACGGGCCCTCGCACTCCACGCAATTCGGGGTGTGCTGTGGCCGCGTCATGTGCCGTCGTAACACGCGCGGACCACAACATTAAAATTTCCCGCAAATCAGATGAAAATTGCCATGCAGCGCTTACTTCCTGTTGCCAGTAGGTGGCGTTCTCACAATTACTGAATATTGTCACATAGATGTGTTCAGGGCGGGACTCTTATCAGACAAGTGAAGTTTGGAGCCCAATGGACAATGTACACTCACGTTAACGTTAACTCGTGTTTTGTGGCAGTACATCAAAATTTGATGCCAAGCCACAGACACGCCCACTCACCACATTCATCACATATCATCAATAATGTGTTTTGCATTTTATAAGTACATTTTAGCTGGATCTGATCATCCTGCTAGGAGTAGAAGATGAAAGTATAAAATGTGACACTTCCTGTTGCCACTAGGTGGCGCTCTCACTATTACTGAATATTATCACATAGACGTGTTCAGGGCGGCACTCTTATGAAACGTGAAGTTTCATTGAGATTGGATCATGTACACTTAAGTTATGACAACTTCCTTTTTCATGGCGAATCGTAAAAATTGGATGCCACGCCACGGGCACGCCATTCGACGGAATGTTAATCATGAATGTCTTTAGATTGCGCTGATTAAATTTGAAGTTGATCCGATCAATTCCCTAGGAGGAGTTCGTTCAAATACAACATGTGCAAATCGCCAGAAATGGCCGCTAAATCCAAAATGGCCGACTTCCTGTTGGGTTTGGGATATGGCGCCCACTGGATTTTTTGTTCGTCTAGATAAGATCTACGCGTGTGCCAATTTTTATGCATATCGGTTAGGGATGCTCGATATTGGCTTTTCTGCCGATATCCGATTCCGATATTGTCCAACTCTCAATTTCCGATACCGATATCACCCGATACCGATATATGCAGGCTTTTTACACCAAAACTGTTAGTTAACAACATAACATATCTGCTGTTGTGGAATTAACACATTATGCCTCATTTTATTGTGATACCCCACTGGATGCATTCATAAATGCAACATGGCTTTCCAAATGTAAACACTGTCTGTGCAAAATAAGAGAACAACTTCAGCTTCCATTGTATTAATACTGAAAAGAGCGCTAAAGCTAATCGCTAGCTAAGCACTAGCTTTGGTTAATGTGTTTAATTGTATTATGCACCTGAAGGAGTGCTAATGTAAATTCTAAGCTAATTGTTAGTTTGGTTAAGGAACAGCTCATAGCAGGGTCAAATATTTAAGGTGCATTGCACTTATTTTGTGTTAATATTAAATTCATTCAGCTTTAAATTGTTTGCTTGTTAGCCACGGTTAGCAACCAACCAGTCTAGCGTAGTTGTTGTTGTCATACATCATCTAGCGCGCGCCAGTAAACGTCCCATGCTGCGTTCATGCAATTATTAAAACCCGATACCGATAATTCCTGATATAACATTTTTTAGTGAATATCGACATCCCTAATATCGGTCAAAGGGGCCCCGGATACAAGAAAGCACAAGAACTCCGGGGAAGAAGTGAAGTTAGTGGGACATGAATGAGTGCATAAAGAGAGCGAGAGGAAGAGAGGAGCTTAGTGCATCATGGGAAATCCCTCGATTTGCTAGGCCTATAGCAGCATAACAAAAGGGATGGTTCAGGATTCAGGCAGGACTCAGGCAGCCCTTACCATAAGACAGATAAGTGCAGAGAAGCTAGTACAGGAGAAATATGACCTTTTCCTAGTCTTAATGGACTTACTGGGACAACCTGTTAATAAGGAGTTGCAGTAATCCAGCCTAGAAGTAACAAATGCATGGATTAGTTTTTCTGCATTCATCTATGACAGGATGTGTCTAATATTTGTAATGTTACGTAAATGAAAGAAGGCAGTCCTAGAGGTTTGCTTTATGTGGGAATTAAATGACATGTCCTGATCAAAGATAACTCCAAGATTCCTGACAGTGGTTCTGGATGCCAAGGTAATGCCATCTAGAGTAACTATGTCTTTAGACAGTCAGTCTCTGAGGTGTTTGTGGCCAAGTACAAGAACTTAATTTTTTACATCAGAAAATTGCAGCTCATCCAGGATTTTATGTCCTTAAGACATGTTTGTAATTTAGATAATTGATTAATTTCATTGGGCTTGATTGATCGATATAACTGCGTATCATCTGCATAACAGTGAAAGTTAATGGAGTGATTCCTAATAATATTGCCTAAGAGAAGCATATATAAAGTGAATTAGAGTGGTTATTATTGTGTCTCCTTTGTCACAAGTTGTGGACGGTACCAATAGAACTACTCTGTTCCGTCCTGTTTTTTTATTACCCTTCTGTTAAGGTACCTAACACACTGAACCTGGACGTGAGGTGGAGGCTACTGAGTTGCCTTATCATTTGCGCTGTGATGTATGATTTCCCATGCTCTCCTGTTTTTTTCAGCTGTCTTTTGTCCTGATTTCCTCAAACACAGCTTGTGTCCTTGCTTGTGTCTGCTAATAATGTGTGTGGTTAACCCAGAAGACCCAGTAACAACCCCACCCACTGAAAGTACTGTGCGCAGTGGAAACGTAAAATGGGGCCAGGTTCAGCCTAAAAAAAACGTAGCAAAATGTTTATTTAAATAGAAACTGTCATGTTCTGAAATCTACAACATGACCCAAGGTATTCTTCTATTTCATTAATTCAGGAAAATTCCATCTAAAACAACATGTCACTGGCTGATATAACCATGTATAATATTAGATTGTAATGTGCATGGATTAATGGAATTATATGTCATTTTCGTTTTGATATCAGCATTATATATCTACCATTGTTCACCTTGCTCTCTAAATATCAGCATCAGCATCAACCACTGAAAAACCCATACCAGTCGACCAGATCTTGGGTTAATGTACATGTAACGTGGAAAAGTACTATACAACTAAATGTGCCTTTCCATGCCTATATTGTCAATCAGTTGTCAGTCATATGTGAGCCAAGTGACCATCAGTTGGTTGGATTATGACTGTATAATGTCCTGTCAGGAATGGGTTCCCATCATCAGACATGACATGCTGTCTCAGAGGAAGATCAAAGCCCAGCCACCACTGTCTGACGCGTACCTGCACGGGATGCCCGCCAAGAGGAGGAAGGTGAGCAGTGAACTTACCAGCCATCAAAAGACCTGTCCTCGTTGTTGTCAGGTTCGAGCTCTTCTAACTGAAGAGAAAAAAGGTGCTTTGATCAGGCCCAAAAGCTCAGGCAAGGTCTGACCTGAACCAAAAAAAAATTCAGTTTGAGCCTGAACTAAGCCTGAACCATGGAAGTAGTTTTTTGCCCCAAACGTGTGCTGAAAATACATGTAAATAAATAATTTAAATTGTTTATTAAAAGCAAGTATTCTTTCTAAGCCTGACCTACAGCAGCATAGGAGCCACAGGAAGCTGAGTTTTTTTTTTTTTTTAACAGGTTATCTGTCAACTGTCAGGATATATGAAGGTTTCAGAATATAGGGCAAAAAGTGACTTTTATAAAAACTACCTGCTGCAGCTTTAAGAAAGGCTGCTGTCATATGTTTCCATCCTCAGACATCGCAGTGTGAAGGACCACACCTATCCCTGTCAGACGCAGTGAGTCGAGCTGCCCGTACTGCAGGAGTCCTGCCTGTCACCGCTCCGAACAGCCTGCAGGTGGAGCTGGAGAGGCCAGAGCTGCAGGAAGCATACACCAAACAGGTAATGAATTGCTAAACTAATCCAGGATCGCAGCATGATGTATGTCAGCTGAAAAATTATCATGTTGATTGTCATCTAGCTTCAGACACAGGTTGAGGATTGATTGGTGGTCATATGGCCAATCATATGAGCCATGTCAGTTGCTACACAGCCTGTGAAAAGTGTAAGGACAGGAGTGGTCCTTTATATCTGAAAATTGCCTCAGCTTGATAGATGATTAGATAGATGATAGATGTGATGATGTAGATGTTGATGATGATGATGATGATTGATGATGATGTGATAGATAGATAGATAGATAGATAGATAGATAGATAGATAGATAGATAGATAGATAGATAGATAGATAGATACTTTATTTATCCCGAGGGGAATTCAAGTATCCAGTAGCATACAAAATACAAAACATCAAACATACATTAAACTAAAATTAAAAACCCTAACCTTAAGAATAAAATAAAACCTAAAATGTAAAATATTATCAATATTTGTATATAAATATAAATATATAAATATATATATATATATATATATAGAAAATTAACAGTAGCTACAGTAAACAGTGCAAATGGAGTGGAGTGCAACTTAAGATCCAGACTAAAATCCTTCATCCGGTTTAAATCTAGAGTTAAAAAGCACCAAGATCTAAACAGTGGATGGTAAAAATGTGGCTTCAATTTTGTGGATTTGTACTCTGACATCAGCTCCAGATACACTTTAAGCTTTAAAGAACAAAAAAAATCAGACTTATGTCATATCAAAAGTCCGATAAAGTATATTTAGTTCTTTACATATGAACACAATGACCTGGAATGAAAATTTTCCTCAGCTAGTTGTAATCAGGTCATTCTGTGAATCTCTCTGTCAGGTAAAGAGTGACATCAAGGAGCGAGTGAGAGACGATCCAAACTACGACGCCCAGAGATTCCCCAACACACACCGAGCTTTCTCTTTAGAGGACTCCTAATCATCCGTAACCCTGTTCCACATCCAGAACTGAATCTGTACACACTACTAGCAGCATGGAACTCTGGTTTATGTAGTGTTTTAACATCCCATTGTAAATGCGGCCTGAAAGGACGAATGCTGTGTGTGTGACACCACCTGCTGGTCAGAATGGAAACAACCTGCAGACTGTGGACCTTCCGTGGCACATGGTTTCTGGAACTGAGTCACCTCATGCTAAAACATTCCGTCCGCTCTCAGACACCTCTTAAACTAGTGATGTAATCAGTTTGTGAGGAGTCTGAGTACTAAACATTGAATATAAGACAAGATCTGACAACAGCAGGAGAGGACTGGGCCACAGGAATCTGGTTTCATCTTAGAACTGATCCTCTCCTGCAGGTCTGAAGCAGTCTGAGAATCACAGCTCGAGATAGCAGGTAGCAATAAGGGAGCCACTGTTCGAAAAAAAACAATAAACAATTAAGTTTTCTCAATTAAGAGAACATTTTTAAAGCTGCAGTAGGTAACTTTATAAAAAAATTCATATCGTATGTCATATTTGACCTACTGCAGCTTTAAATATTCAAAGAAAAAAGTCGTAATGCAATGAGAATAAAATTTAAATGTTGCAAAGAAAAAACAGTATTATGAAAATAATGTTAGGACAAATAGTTACAAGAGAAAAGTTGTGATACCATAACACTTATGTGCCCAGGCTTTTATTTGCTTCAATGACTGAACTCAGCCTGCCTTAATCTGGGACAGGCCTTTAATTCCACAAAACTCTTTCTCAGCAAAGATGGCAAATACTATCAGATTGTTCATTTAAACCAGTATGAATATTACTTGTATAAAAATGAGGTTATCAAATAACTAACAATATCACTGCGTCTAATTGGGACCGGGCTTTTAATTTATGTATTATGGTATTATAAGGATATTGTTATGAAGAAAAAAGTTGTAATTAGGAAAATAAAATTTGCAATGTTGCGAGAAATAAATTAATGTAAGAAAAGTCATGATGTTGCACAGAAAAAGTGATATAAGAATTAAGTTATAATGTTGTGCAGTCAAAAGTTGGACTATAAGAAAAGTTTGAATATTATTAGAATAAAGTTATAATGTTGCAAAGAGAAAAAAGTTGTGATATTATGAGAGTAATTAAATTAATGAGATAAATTTAACATTTTAAGTGAAAAGGTCACAACAAGTCCTCATAATATTCTGAAAATATTTGTCTTAATAAACGGTGGCACTGCACAGACTCACACCGTCAGAACTGAAGTTACATGGACAATATGAAAAGTACATGTCAGGATTATCCTGACCAAAATAATTGCGATTCACAATAGTATCGCGATAATCATTAAAATGTGTTTGAAACTCATGATATGGCACTAAAACATACTGGAATCAGTTTACCTTACCTTTAGTTAAGAAACACATATTTATTGCATAACAGACAGCAGCCTAATCTATTTAACAATCAATGTTCGCAAAATGTGTCAATAAAAATGATATACATAAAAAAAAAATACATTGGTGATTACGTCAGTGAGCTAGACAGCTTTTTCTATTCACGATGACCCTGTTAATAGAAAGTCACTACAGTATACCAATTATCTATATCTGTTTTTTATCCCAATATGCAATAAAACTGTACATCATCCCATCCCTGGCTATACAAACGTATATGGACTGTCAGAATATGCTGTAAAAGGCATATACAATGCCATGTGCCCAATGAAATTTGGCGTTCTCTGCAGCCATTTTCTTGAAGTGCTATGACTATTTCTCATGTATTCTCTTTTTCTTGTAAAAAACATTTCAAGATTTCTTTTCCTAAATATTTAAACTTTGTCCTGTTTGTTTCCTAACGGTGGTCCTCAGTCTGTCACACTGAGCTTTTCTCTCCTATGTTGCAAGTGTAGTTGCATTATGTATATGTGTATAAGGTGAAACTGTAAATGAGTGAAGACTGTACATAGTAAATTGGCAGTGATGTCATAGAGCTTTGTCAGTGTCAATCAGGTAACCGGTGTTGCTTGCTATGGCATCAGATTTTTATTTTTTAGCATCATGACTTTAGATATGACAATGACACACAGATGATTAGCTCATGTTTGTATTTTAGGGCATTATCATTGACACTGGTGTTAAACAGTAATAATAATAATCTGTCACAGCCCAGTGATGTTTCTCTGAAGCACAGCTGCAGTCAGTAGAGGTTTGTCAAACTGTGAATGGTTAGTATGTGCTCGTTAACATCACTGAAATAAATGAACTTAACAGTGTCTCTCAACTGTTTATTTACTGCTTTAATCTCAGCTTTACAGATACACAGTGGTTTCCAACAACAGGGTCGGGACCCCAAGAGGAGTTACAAAGATCTGTGGGGTCATGAGATTGCACTGGTGCCAAAAGTAGTGTGGCCCTGAAGTGCAAATCACAACAGCAAATAACAAAACACAGCTGCAAATCAGCTTTGTGAGCATGTATCAGTATGCTAACATGCTCACAGTGAAAATGTTAACAAGCCAAAGCCAAGTCTTGTGCTCATCTTAGCGCTGAAGAGAAAGCTGAGGCTGATGGGAAAATCATTAAATATAGCTTTGCAGGTACACTATATGGCCATATGAATTATCATAGCCAAAATAATTTACAAACTACATTATTGCGGTATCTGTAGAAATTTGAACAAATAAAGTTTTGGGCAAATGAATTACACTCAACTGTAACAGATTTAAGAGGTGCTGGTGTATGGTTCCAACCTTTTTCCTTACACATCCAGTGTGTAACATTGAGGAGGATCTATTGTCAGGAATGGAATATAATATTCACAAGTATGTTTTCATTAGTGGATAATCACCTGAAAAGAATAATCGTGTTTTTGTTCATTTAGAATGAGCTGTTTTTATCTGTTGACACCACAGTCCGCCATGTTGAACCGGCATCTTTCTATAGTAGTCCTGAAAGGACAAACCCAAAAAACCCCAAAAACCCAAAAAAAAAAAAATTTTTTTTTTATTAAAAAAATTTTTTTTTTTTCTCTTTTTGCTGTTTCTCCTATGCTTATTTTTTGCTTTATTTAAGAGTCAGTTTCCTATGTATTGGTGGGTGAGTGGTTGATAAAAGAAAGTGACAAACCTGTTATTGCCCGTTTTCGAGTGTCCAGCCCTCTAACAGAATCTGGCGGACATTCGATTTCAGCAAGACAAGAATTTCATGGTATGACATTCCGTAAATAAAACTTGATAAGAGTTCTCCCATTTTATGACATCATCTGAAGAGAGAATATGAATTTATAGTAAATTATCTTGTGCCCACAAGATAATAACTTGTGTGTGAACAAGATAAAATTTTTTTTTTTGGGGGTTTTGGGGGCGGAACCAAACACTGGCTGTAGATTGGACATTTGCATTTTTCATAAGTTTCAGCCACTAGATGGCAGCAATGTTCAGTTGTTTGCAATCAGGAATTGAACTGCTAGATGCAAAGGACCCCTTATCACTGACTACATGGCATATTTCATGACATATTTTATGGATATTTCATATTATATTCAACGCATAACAATAACAGTAGGGAACAACTGATAAACTGTATAATGAACCCAAACAGTGAACACAATGACTACAGGAAGTTTGTTTAAAATTAGCCATTTGGATGAATTTATTGCATTTTATTTTATTACAGGTTTTACAGGGATATTTTTAAGAAACTTTTATACAATTCTGTCAGTTCATTGTTCTGTTAGCTCTTTGGTTGTTTGAACTTGGATGAAGGCTTTGTGAATATAGCTTGTGTTCAGGTCTTCAAAGTTTAGATCTTACATAATCACTCATCATGTTTTTAGTTTTCCTCATAGAAATGAATGAAATGCTGACATAAAGGCTTAATGTGCATATTCTTTAATTTTCTTTCACCCCTTACAATCAAAAAGGCCTCGCAACCCCCTACTGGTGGTCCTGACATTATCATCCATGTATTATTAAAACAATATCAATATTTCATTTTTAAATATTGTGATTATTGTCAATATTGGTATACTGTGACACCCATACCTGGCACAATGAATAGCCAAAACAAATGTAATGTCTATAGTTGATTCTATGTCTTCCTCTGGAACAAACTGGACACACACAGTCTCACATGACCATCCATAAATGATAATTAACACAAACACTGATCATTGTTAAACCATAAGTTTATTTATTCACACAGCGAGGATTCACACAGGTTATTGCAGCAGTACATGTGGAAACGAAGCAACACGGAGCCCGACGAGTCGTGTTTCTATACAGACAGGACTGATAAATACACAGCAGACTTATTCAGTCCTTGATGTACAGCTACTGCTACAGCATGCTTTATCGCTCGCTTTACCAAGCACTAAATGTTACTGAGCGGCATGAAGGTTTATACCCAGCCCGAGTGTGTACAGCTACCCATTTAGGTACAACTCCACAGCCAAATTTAAAGTTCAATAGCTGCAATCCAGAGAGGGTGCTTTGCATTTAGCATTAATGAGTCACATTCAGTACAGGTCAGGTCTTTTCTAGGGGACAGTTGGAGGCAATTGACACACTGTATAGTCTATAACCATGTGTGAAATCTGTTAAGTTTTGTTGGTAACACAACAATGCATTAACCTTTTTTATTTCACAAAGCTGATCTTCTCTATGGCTCCTGCAGTTACTGCTCTGATTGGCTCACACTGGAGGAGGGCTGATTCTAGTCTAGTGTCTATGTTGAAAAAAACCTGCAAGGCTTGGATGTTTCTTTGTTGTTGTCGTCATTAAAGCTGCAGTAGGTAACTTTTACAAAAATACATTTTTGTCATTATTATGAAAAAATCTGTTTCCTCTGGCTCCTCCTAGTGCTCCTAATTTGCCAGAATCCACGGGGCCAGAAGGAAAACAACCAATCAGACCTGAGAAAGATGGGTGATTGCTGAGTCTCATTCCAGGTAGACGACCTGGAATGTGGATTCTTACATTCTGCACTAGGAGGAGCCAGAGGAACCTGATTGTTTCAAAATTATCTGTCTCATGTTCTATTGTCAGGATATAGTGAAAGCTTCAGTAAATATGACAAAATTGTCAAACAAGAAAAATACCTTTTCTTTGTCAGGACAAGGTTGGGAATGGATGTCATCAAGATCCTGCTAACATGCTGATCCAGATTTTCAGTGTGACCAAAAGTATTTTGGATTGCAACATTCTTGAGGACATGTCAAATGTTTCATCTGTATACTCTCTGCTGTGATTTGTACATTGCTTTTACAACAGGTTTTTCTTTTTGGAAATGACCACAAAGACTAGAGCCTAACCTATCCATGCATATATTACATGTTAATAATCAAGTACCTTTTCATTGTATGAGCTAGCAGTGTGAGAGTTCTATGTAGTGCTAGTGTTGCTGCCCAATTGGTACTGATACCGATAACAACAGGTAGCATTGTGTGGATGGTTAAAGAATAAGTCTGGCAAAAATGTGATTTATTAGCAAACATCAGCTTAATCCTTGAAGCTCTGAGGTTATTTTGTTTGTTTAGCGTAAAACTAACATCAAGAGAAGAGGCATTAATTGGCAATCGACTCACTTGTGGTGACTGAGCAATACATTTTCATAAAACTAACTATGTCATTATTGCTGTTTTCACTGTGTTCTGGCAGTAGAACATGAGACAGATTCTTGCAAATGCCACTAGCAGCACTAGGATGAGCCATCTGTCTTGTGTACTTCTGTCAGGATATAGTTAAAGTTTCAGCAAATTTGACCAAAAGTTTATCTTCATTTGTGTCTCAGTGTGGTATTAACTGTTCATTCTCTAACTTTATCTCAAGGTAACTGACCAATAACCCAAAAACAGATGCAGCTCCTCTCTAGGCACTTTGTTACATCTATTCCTAATGCTTTTTGAGTGAAACTAATCAACATCCTAATAATACTTCCCAGCTCAACTACTGTTCATTTAATTAGACTGGTGGGAATACAATCAGAACAATAATATGACCACAGATGACCAAGTTTTCTCAACAGACAAGCTTGTTGGTCTGGTTGTTGAGCCTGATTGGAAAAGAATGGATGTCCAGTGTTTTGTTGACGGTTACTTGCAGTCTGCAGTGAAGGCCTTGGCCACGGTGCTTTATCATATCGTAGAAACAGTTACAACAGGGCTTTTTAAAAGCAAGCCATTCTGTTGCTTTCACCTCTCCAAATAAAACACACACTCACACACAGATCAAAGCCCACACTGATACACAATCAGTCACCTGGCTTCCACTCAAAAGTCCACTGCCTTAAGACAGGCTCAGATTAGAAGATAGAGCCCTAATTTGCCCCACCAAAAAATTGCCTGCAGTGCTGATGTTCAGCACAGAAATTCTACCAAACCTCAGGAATTTTAAACCTTTTTGATATTTGTGAAAATCTTCAATTAACAGACCAGACACACAAATCAACTTTGTGGAAATGTGCCCACAGTAAAGAAGAAAGTATGTAGAGACATCTGTAAGAGCCTCAGCATGCTCGAAACAAAGTGCTTGCTGGGTTATCTGAAGGTTGGGTAGAAAAGGAAGGCTTTGGAGACAACTTTTGTAACTTTCCTGAACAGACAGACCAACAATGGATGTATTAGGAAGTACTTCATATCCGGATCCCAGATAGTGCCCCATTCAATCCTATGAAAGTTGCTCAGTGTGCATAGAGCATGCTCAATGGAGTACTTCTCAACCTGAGCCAGTTGAGAGCTTATGTGTTTGCAATCGGAACCCAACAGCCAATGTTTCAGGGCTTCCAGTGTAGCCAATGGACATCTGGATAACCGATAGCCAATAGACATCTGGATAACCGATATCCAATGCGATGAAAAAACGAGAAACTTACTCAAACTAATGTCTTAGTATCTCAAAATACTGAGAACTTTCTCAATATCCTGTCAATATTTTGAGTTTCTCATTATAATGACTTACAGAATCCTTTTGTCCCATCACATTTGGCAGAAATGGGCTTCCACAGTTATCTGTATACAAATGCAGAAAAACTCTCATAAATACATTTAAAAAAAAGTTAATAAAAAGCTAAATTGTTGTTAGATGATAGCCGATGGCTTCCGAGATTGCATTTCGGCCACTGTGTTCCACTTCTTTTGCTCTCCACACAAGCCGTTTACCTGAACGCAACTAAAGCCTGTTCAAACGCAGGTATCTTTACAGAGCGTGTTTTAGACTTCCTGTTGGCTCTCCTTTTACACATGAATGGGATCAAATAATTTAGTCATATGGCTTTTCAAGAATTTCACAACCGTTTTGCCCAAATGGATTGCATTCTGATACAAAGATTCATTTTAGAATGTTTGTGTTGCTCATAAAAAATGATATGATTTCGTCATGACTAAGCTGTGGGCATCACTAAGTGTGGCCCAACACTGGGGGTTGGTTTTGAGGGGAGACACTGAGCAGGGTTTGAATGTCTCTCTTAAGTTTTCTTCTTTCTTTCTTGTCACATTTCTGTCAATTTTCATGCAGTCAACTGACATCACGTATACCTTCTGAGGAAAACCCATCTGAAACGTGCGCACTGTTTTCTCATTTGTACAATTCACTGCATCTAGACTACAAAAACACACAATACAGAATTCTTGAAGAGGGATCAAGGAGGCAGTGGGATGCAGCCAAGAGGAGGCTGTGGCCATTCACAACAGCAAGAAAAACTTTTGTTTTTAGACATGGACAAACCCTGCCTTACGAGGCAGTAGGAGTCGCAAGATCAGAGTTCATCTTGCTAGGTTTCAAGCTATGTGTTTGTGTCCAGCCACAGTGGTTCAGACCAATCAGCATCAAATAAGGAACTACTGGCAGCTACAGCACGAGAAACGTTCATGGTTTAATGGTAGAAGTGACTGCTAGAAAAACAACTATTTTATCAGAACTGGAGAGTATTTCTTTATCGGAAGAAGATCTTTTTTCTCCACAGAAAAGATATTTTCTCTTTTCTCCCAACTGACTACGTCATATGGTTCATGGATCTGATTGGTTGAAGTTTGCCTGTGATAGTCGGTGATAGACAGAGGTTCATCCAACCACCAACCAATCACCAACCAATCAACCAACCAACCAACCAACCAATCATGCCGCAGTCAGGTTAGTACGAACCTTCATGCAATGTTTTCTAATTAATTATTTACCATTATTTACTAATTATTGTATTTCCTACTGTGTTTGTGAGCATAGAATCTCTAATGTTTCACTTCACGAGTATGACAACGTTTTTTGGAAAATGCGATGTGATTGTGATGTGTTCTTTGATCAGTGACATAGATTATGATAAGATGATCTTGTAAAGCAGTCTGCTGCGGTAACAAACACTGCAGCTGCCCTGTGACCAGGCTCAGGCTGGTGTTCAACATGAAGCCATTGTGATACTGAGGTGGGGTATTTACGGGAATCATTTTGCAATAATAAATAATAGTTTAATTATAATTAACTTTGTCCTTTTCACAAGCGGCAGTCACATCTTAAGTTAACTAATGTTAGCAAAACGCTAGCTAACTTACAATTGATGTAGATTAGGTAGTTAGTAAGCTAGCGTTTCATTATTGTTAGCTATCAGATGTAATTCGCTAATAAATGACTGATGCAGATTAGCTTGATAGTTAGCTAGCATTTTGCTAACATAAGATATGACTATATACATCTCTTTTATCTTTTAACCAACATAGATTTGCAAGCATATAGCATATCTAAATACAGAAAGGAGGAAGCTAACTGAGGTTCTGACTGAGGCTTGCTCAACTGTTATTGGAGCACAGAGCAAAAAGGGGTGGGACTTCAATAATTGGTAGTTGCTTGTTTGGCAGGAAGCTCCATGAAGCAACACCACTGAAATGTGTGAGGCTGCAGCAGACGTTAGCATTGCAGTACAAATTTTGGACTTTGTGTTAGAACATGAGAACACGTTATCGTTTGTATTGTTGCACACATTCCTCGTGTCATGTCTGTAAAACACCTACAGTACATCTTACAGAGTTCTGTCTCATGAAGTAAGTTCTGATGTTATGTATCTAACATCTGAATGTTGTATGTAGATAGGTTATTAATGGAAAAGCTAAGTTTTACATTCTCAAATTTCTAATCGTAATGTCTGACATTAAGATTTTTTTGGGAGTTTTAAAAGGACTGGTCTTTAAGTAGTATGTATGTTATGTAGTATAATACATTGTGTTTTAAAAGAAACAAGAAAAAATAGTTATGTGTTATAACAACAGCTGGCAGCTGACTGGCATGGGATGACAACCTGGACCCAAAAACCCAGTTCTGTGTTTAAAGTTTAAACACTTTCATTATTTCAAATAATAACTAAACTAAAATTAGAAAAAAGAAAAGCAGTGTAAAGTCTTGACTTTGCATTGAATGCAGGGGGAACATGAGATTTTAGGATAGAGCCTAACCATTTTAATGTGTTCCTATGCTGAGAATGAATGAACGCAGACTTTGGATACACTGTCGATTCCAATGGCCGTTGTTCCTCTAATCGTCGCCTGGAGTCAGTTTCTGCTCTGTCTTAGCGAGGATAGGAGGAGGGGTAGCAGGTTGAGAGTAGGTCGATGCTCCTGCACCCCAAGTGCCACCAGAGCCCCCGCCAAGAGAGAAGTTACTCTGGGCAGGACAGGGGGCTGAGCCGGCATCATCTGCAACACAAACAGGAAGCTCATCATGAAGCGTTTTCAGCCGGATATCACAATTTACTTGTCTCAGATGGAAAATGTTGGCCTCTTAAAGCTGCAGTAGGTCAATTTCATTAAAATAACTTTGTCATATTTGCTGAAACTTTCATTATATCCTGACAGTAGAACATGAGACAGATAATCTGTGAAAAAATCCTCCTAGGGCTAATGATATTTGCAAGAATCCACCGGGCCTGAACAATAACAACCAATCAGAGCTGAGAAAGATAGAAAGACACTTTGGGTTGTTGGCTTGAAAATAGTTGATTGTTGAGTCTTATGTGTAATGAGCAATGAACAATCAACTATCTTTCTTGGCTCTGACTGGTTGCTTTCTTTCAGGTGCAGTAGATTCCATTAGGAGTGGCTTACCTTTTCAACTTTATGACAGTGAATGAGTCCATCCGGTCCAATGTAAAAAGTAGAGAATGCATCATATGACCTGCAACAGATGACATATGGATTCATTATTTAAATCGTTGTGACAAAACCCTCACTCTTAAAAAAATATTTAACACCTAAAATCAAAAATTCCATGTACTGCATATTCAATCATTTGGACCTATGTGTGTAGTGGAGGGAAAAAAGAATTTCTGCAGCGGATGTTAAAGCTGCAGTAGGTACCTTCAATAAAAACATCTTTTTGTCATATTTGCTGAAACTTTCACTATATCCTGAAGTAGTACACAAGACAAATAATCTAAATATAAAAAGTAAATCCTCTTATTCTTCAAAGGCTTTTAATTAAAATTGGATGTACTGTGCATTACCTGTACAGATGAGATTTGTCTTTGCGGTAGAAGCGCAGCAGCAGAGAGAAGAAGGGAAGGCCCCTGATCCTCCAACGAGCCTTAATGGTCCCATCCTCCATGTGCTTGGTGAGCTTCAGCACCTCCAGCCGAACGTTGGCGTAGTAACACAGACACAGGAGGCGCCACAAGGAGAGGGTGAGCTGGTACAGCACGCGGCCTCTACACACAAACAGCAACCGTCAGGTCTCACAGAAAGTGACACAACAAGACAGTTGTCTGCAATAATGTATCGCCACTAGCCCAAACTGATCACCTGGTCTTGGTATTAATGAGGCCGTTGATGAACTCCATATCATGTGAGTACATGCTGTAATCGTGGCTCTTCATGAAGAAATTTGGAAGCTGCAAAACAAAATAAAAAAAGTTTTATATATTGCCTCATATTGAAGTATAGCTTTAGAATGACTTACTAGTTCAGTACTGCAAGCACAAATACAGTCTAAATGATAAATTTGTGTTGACAAAGTGCCGAAACTGCGGAATGTGCACTACCTATCGACCAGAACTACAAAGAATGTCGTGGCAACTTCCAAGAGCTCTGTAACTCTCGGTGAAATGCGGATTGGGACATTTAGAAGTCCTATGGGCCGATCTCAGCAGCTGAGGTGAGGGGGAACCTAACCAAGATGAAAAATTGTCCAGCACTGGCCTAGTCGGGATTAGCAAAAAGGCACTGCTAACCAGGACTCTGAACAACTCACACGACCATACATGGCATGGCTGTTCCACTGAGCCCTCCCTATGTCCCTATGTTGTTGATGAATCACATGTAATATTATTATTATTATTATGCACAGATTTATTCAGCTGCTAATACATGGCTGCAGGGATTCAATGAACTAGAGGAGAATCTTTTCATACAGTATAAAGCAGCTGTGGACAACAGATTGTAAATATCACTCAGTAATTTATAGATCAATACCGACTGCTTTCCTTTGCTATTATAATCACATTAATCATTTCTGATGCTTTAAAAAGGTACACTGTGTAGGATTTAATGGCATCTTGCAGTGAAGTTGCAGATTGCAACCAACTGAATACAGCTCACTGTCCAAGAGAGTAGGAGAAACAACAGCAGCCACAAAACTTGCAGAAAAAGTCAAGAGCATTATCTAGAGCCAGTGTTTGTTCTGGACTACTGTAGAAACACGGCGGCCTGCTTAGAAAAGGACCCGCTAACTACAGATAAAAACGACTCATTCTTAGGTAACAACAACACAGAGGACAGAGGAAGTTCAGAAGAACAAAAGAGAGTGACCGAGCAAAAAGCCTCCAGAAAAAGAGTTTTAGTGGTTGGCTAAAGAGAGCTTAGTGAAATAAAAGGCTGCAGACAGACGATGAGCTGGCCTTCTTGCTGTTGGACTAGTCAGTAATACTAGCTGCTTGCTATGTCTTGTGTTGATGCACTTGCTTGATGTCTGGATGTGTTAGCAAAGTTGTCAACTCGCTAGTTTTTGATCATAAGTAATGGAATCCTAACAAATTACAGCTGTCCATATTTACCAAAGTGGGGACGCCAAATCGCAACAAATACTAAATCTTATATAGTGTTGATTTAAACTGAAGCATACGGTCCTACAACTGACTGTTAGGGCCACTGTTAAAAGCATCTGAGATTTCTAGAATGAAAAATAGGACTTCTACAACATTTCCATTTTATTCCTCATAAAGTTAGTCTCTCAAATATAAAAACAATGTTAATAGTGGCCCAAAAGCTCAGTCCTACAATGCAATGCCCCTATAAATCAGATTCATACAGAAATTGGAATTGATGGAAAACATTTAAATACCTGTTAAGTTACAAAACAGAATCTACCATAGTTTGTTATGTGCTCTTAAAAATATAAAGCTTATAGTTAGGGCTGGATCAGGTGAGTCCTGAACCATCCCTTAGTTATGCTGCTATAGGCCTAGACTATCGGGGGATTTCCCATGATGCACTGAGCTCCTCTCTTCCTCTCTCTTTCTGCACTCATTCATGTCCCATTAATGCATGTTACTAACTTCACTTCTTCCCCGGAGTTCTTGTGCTTTGTCGTCTCGCAGGTTCTCATGGATCCTGGTGGAGCCTCCTGCCATGGTCCTGCTAGATTGCCATTACCAATACTGTTGTTGCTGTGCACCTGTCTGTCAGTTTGTCTCTCTGTCTCTCTCTCTCTCTCTAGAGCCGAAGGATCTGTCCTAGGTTTCTGCCTTTTAACAGGCAGTTTTTCCTTGCCCCCGTCACCAAGGTCTTGCTCATGGTGGTACTGTTGGGTCTCTGTAAATAATGTTATAAGGAGTTCGGTCTAGACCTGCTCTATTTGAAAAGTGTCCTGAGATAACTTCTGTTATGAATTGGCGCTATACAAATAAAACTGAATTGCTCTTCACTGATAACATGTTACAGCAGTAAATGACCCTGTGCAACTTTACTTTACTGATCCAGACAATGTGCAACAATGTTCTTACCTCTATCCTCAGTCTTTCATACATCATGGCCACTTTCTCCTCCCCTTCATTGTGTCCCCCCCCTGCTCTCTTTGCATAGCTACACAGAGAGATTGGATGCAGCAGAGGCAGCTCCACAGGCTTGCTGTTAAGTCCAATATCCTGCCTAGATTTCAGCCCACTGCCAGGCACCGGCTCTGTGCCCGGGCAATGAAAACAATAAAAGTGAGAGCCGTACATGAACGGTGCGGGGCACCTCTCTGCTTCAAACAGGCTTCTGAAACAGCCATGTTCTCTCTTCCCAGCATCACCAGTGTTCTTCTTGCAGCTGTCAACGCTGATGTCATCCTCTCTGCTGCCGTCCACAGTGGTCAACGGGAAGGAGAACTCAGAGGACTTGTGAGGCCCCAGAGTGAGGAGCTCTCCTAGTTTACTGTGGCTGGACAGGGGGATCTCCAGCAGGGTGTGGAGGCCATCTGACTCGCCCTGTCGCACTAGCACACACACACTGAGAGACTCCTCCCAGTCCTCCTCTTGGTAACCTCCTCCGTGAGGCTGGCTGGCATGGTGGAACGGGTGGGACAGCACTGGTTGCTTAACGTTCTGATATCTCAGGCTGTTGGGGGGTGCCAGGGCCCATGATGCACTGCTCAGGGGGCGTGTCTGACGGATCCACTGCCAGTCAACTACCTGAAGGAGCAATAAGGACTCGATAAGATTATTACATACAGTACACACTTCATTACAGGGCGGTTAACAATAATAACCAATATCACATTCTGCCAGTGTCGATATCTGCCTCAAAAATCCAGTATGGGTTGGGTTCTACTTTTAACACAAGTAGTTGTATTTGTAATCTTGTCTATACTTTGTTTAAAACAGCTAAGTGTAAAATGTGTTTCTGCAATATATATTAAGTATTTTAAGTAAAACACCAAGCTTCTCTGTTTCATGGCATCAGTTCAAAGTAAAAAAAAGCTGGTGACTTTCTGGGAGAACTTGCACTGCTGTGAACATTCTCCCACTGCCAAGCAGCCAAATCACTCTTTATAAGTATTTGGTTAAAGCTGATGTGGGTAATTTTTATTAAAATATTTTGTGTCATATTTGCTGAAACTTTCACGATATCATGTATAGTGAAAGTATATCCACAGATAATCTGTGATAAAATCAGGTTCCTCTGGCTCCTCCTAGTGCTCCGAATGGTGTTTGCAAGAATCCCTCGGGCCTGAAAGAAAACAACAAAATGTGTAATGAGAGAGAGGATTACCTGACTGAGACTCCAGCTCTGGTTTTTGATGGGTTGCCTTCTGCCATGGCTTCGGACACAACCCACCCAAAAGGCAACGCCCCCTCTGCTCACAGCCATTGACCACAGGGGCCGGGAAACCCCAGTCACCAGCTGACCATCACCCACAACACGGAGGACACCGCAAAGACACACAGACTGTATCTTTGGGACCTTATGACTCTAGATGATTCCTGGCTACAGCAGCAGGGTCTCTACCTTGACAGGCCTGAAGGCAGAGAGGGGCCTGAGATAGGAGGGTGTTCAAATCAAGAAACAAAAAAACAAAAAAAACAATAAGCCTATTAACTATGTGTGATTGTTAAAAATTATGAAAAATACAGAGAAACATGGAATTATCTGCTCAAAATGTACTCAAGTGACTCGTCTGAAACTTTTTGCTGTTACAGAGTTCCCTATTTGGGTTAATTGTACAGTTTTGAATATATATGCAATATCCATAAAATATATCACCTAGGAGTTGGCAGATTACTAAATGACAAAAGGGTTGGGAACTACTGATTTAAGTAATTTATCAAGCAACAATTGCGGGTCCCAACCACTGAAATGAGACTGCTGCTATCTTGTATGTTTTATTTGACTGGAATTTGCTTTTGTTTTCTCTCAGAAACACTCAAAAAAATACTATCCAATAAAGATATATATTTTTACATTAACAGTCTTAATTCAGATTAGGGATATGTGCAAGTAGTCGGCTAGTCAATTAAACCTTGCTACCCTCCAGCAGAGTCTGGTTTCAAGAGTCTTCTTCCATACAGCATGATCTTCATTCAATTCAATTCAATTCAATTTTATTTGTATAGTGCCAATTCATAACAGAAGTTATCTCAGGACACTTTTCAAATAGAGCAGGTCTAGACCGAACTCCTTATAAAATTAGTAAATGATGATCCCATTTAGAGTAAAATAGAGCTTTAGGGCAGTGCTACCTTATGATTGACAGGTCATTCTCAGTGAGTCTGTCCAGCTCAACGCACCAAACTCAGATCAAACTGTCAAACTAGGCAGTGCAGATTAGATATGGATCCAGATTCTGTTTGTTTCAGAAACATATTTCAGTGTACTGTTTATCTGGAATACGAGATTGTGTGTGACCAGGCGAGCAACCCTGGTTTCCTGCTATGGATGAGTCAAAATGGTAAATGGTAATGGTAAATGGACCAAACACCCTTTCACGCACATTCACTCAGTGATAACTCATTCATACACATTCACACACAGATGCACAGCATCGGGAGCAATTCGGGGTTCAGTATCTTGCTCAAGGATACTTCGACATGCAGCGGGGATCGAACCAACAACCTTCTGATTAGTGGACGATCCGCTCTGCCTCTGAGCCACAGCAAAACTATGTAGCCAATGACAGCCGCCCAACTTGCAGTAGGTCACCTCTGCTGGCTCAGACAAACTGTCATGGCGACGACCATAATGCTGAACTAGAGGGTTCAAAACAGTTTTTCACAAACCAATGGGTGACGTCACAATAGGCTCATACTTAAACATATTGTAGAAACAGGCACCGAGTGGGAATTACAGAGGCATTATTTACCCTACTACTCAGTGAAGCATCAAAGTGATGGTAAATGTGTTATTTTAAGGTAGAAAAGTTAGGGAATGAAAAGTCAAGCAAATTCTAGTTGAAAGCACTGATGGACACTGACTTGGGTATTCCACCAAGGTTTTCAGAGACTATGCCAGGAGCACATGACCTGCAGCAGACCACAAGTTTATAATCAGAGACTCCATAGTGACAGCTGAGACTGAACACATAAGCATACTATAAAATCAATGTTTCACAGGACTGTATTCAAACAGACTGGAATGTACACAAGTGAAAAGGAACTGGAAATGTAATAGTCTCTTAAAATCTCTAACTTAAATAACGTTAATGACAGTGTTTTGTCTTCCTTCTGTCATCTTGTTGTCCTTATTAGAAATGATATTTTCGGGTGGATAACAGCTCTTTAGGCAAGGTTGTTTAAAGATACCAACTTGGCAATTTGTGATGGACATGTCGAGGTTTTTGACATTTCACAAAACAAATAACTGATCAATAATCATAATAAGAACCTACCAAAATGTGTGACGTACAACAGATGACATTACTATATATTCCCTGATTAAAAGCTACTGCTGGTCATTTCTAATAAGGACAACAAGATGACAGAAGGAAGACAAAACACTGTTATTATTTAAGTTAGAGATAATTTGTACCAATTAGGAAAGATTCACGCCTTTTTATGTCATTAGCCTCATTGATTTTGTAATGCCAATCACCATTCAATACGTTATATTGGAAACAGTTGCATTTTCAGTTGATACTGATCAATATTTAGTAACACTTGTGTTGACAGTTTTCTCTACAAATAACTAGAACATGGGACTCGAGATATCTTCCCTTAAACATTACCTTTCATGCTGTTAGCTAGCGTTGCTACGGTAGGCAGCCAATGATAGATGCTAGCTTGCTAAGCTAACTAGCTACCAGCTGGTACAGAGCTAGCCACCGGCTTGACAAACGACCCTCTGAAATGTTACCTTTTACAGACGAAAGGCGACTGAAGTCAGTGTACATGCAGTGGTCCTCCAGGTCAGGTTGTACACAGTGGTCACAGACAGTCCAACGCTGCTAACAGGCTAAGTTAGCATTACTTGTTTCACTTACACAAATGTCATTAGAGCACTGTGTGTCCTTGCCCGGCCAAACACGCCTCACGCAGCCAGTCGTAATGGTGCTTTCACTTGCCGCTGGAAATAGTGGTACTGCCCATGTACCGCAAACGGCCCGTCAATGTGATATTTATGTATGGAGTGCACATAAAAATCTTGAAAGAGGCATCTACTCCTTTTACCGCATTACAACTATGAATATGCAGTTTTTAGGGTTTATGGGTTTTTTTTAGAGTTAATGTGCACTGCCCCTTTTTAAATAAATGAACTTCAGTTATTACACACACCAACAATTCTTACATCCTACATATGGTATATGACAGTGGCGGACAGTTTGAGGGCATATTGTGAAACAGTTTATTCAGGACCCTGGGGGGCACTTTATCACATTTTGGCCACTGGAAGGGCACCACAGAGCAATAGTTCCCAACCTGGGGGTCATGGCCACCACTTGGCATTGCCAAAGCTGAATAAATTAAATTGCTATTTTTAAAGTTTAGGTTATTATTTAAGACCAGACCTTGAAGACCTGAACACGTCAGTTTACTCAATGATAGAAAAGGGCTCCATTATGGAAAAAGCTTGGGAACTAGTGCCTTGGGGGGCACATTATTGTGGTTTCTCCACTGGAAGGGCACCATACAGATCACTTTTCATCTACCATAAGGGCACCAAGGGGATCTACAGAAACATTGATGGGGTGTCCAGACAGTGACTTTAAGGGGTGGCAGAGAATAAAATAAAATATGCTGATTTAATTACAAACAGTCCCATATATCAATATTTGCTTGGAAAAGACCAGACAACCAACATTATTGTGGTACATTAGTAAAGCACTGAATAGAAATATCTAAAGGTGGCATTAGAAATCAATACACTTGTATCATTAAACCTAAGCCTATCACTTATCACTCTAGAATGTGGCCATAACAGATAATTACATTAAATTCTGTTAAGACCTTTTTTAAAAATGAATCTAAATCAATGTGTTAAATATGACAGCATTTTACACCAAACTGGGGTGGCCAGACATTCTATATTATGTAATTTACAATGTTTTGTCCACTGGAAGGACACCCTAAAGGGCACTTTATCATATTTTATATACCCTAGGGGCATCCAAGAGGGCACTTCTGCAGTGTTTTTTTAAAAAAAACTATGCGTCCACCAGAAGAGGGCAACGGCGTAGTGTAGCGTTAACTCCAGAAGATGGCAGTAATGCTACACAAGGGACGTAAGCTGCAGAAGAAGAAGAAGAAGAAGAAGAATGAAACTTTGGTGGTGACCCGGCATGTGCATCATCACGTCGTAGGGCCGCAGGACATGTGTGTGGCTGGTAAACCCTACTAGATATAAAAAAGGATATAGTTTTAGCTAGATTATTTCCAGGAAGTCGCAGATAAAGAAACAAAATGCCCAAGAAAACGAAGGAAGAAGCAGAGTGGGTGGGCGAGGAAGAGGCCCCGGCAGCCGGTAAGATATGTGAACGTTGACTGAGAAGCTAGCCAGTAGCGACAAAGCTAGATCATCTAGCGGTAGTCTGGGTAAGGTGCCAGTTGCGCCAAACTCCATTGAAAATCTTGTATTTTTCACTCCAAAATGCTTATTGGCAACAACGTGTATCTGGTCATAAACGACTTTAGCTCTTTCATGAATCGTTAGAATCTTGTCATCAATTCGGATTTACGACCAGTAACCTAAAGGCGTTGATTTTAGTAGAATCTAAACTTTGACAACTGATGTCAATTGCTCATCAAGCTAGCTAATGTTAATGTTAATGGTAAATAGAGCCTTTAACGCTGTTATAACCGCTATAATGGCCAACGTGTTATGAAGAGGCGAACCTACGGTTGATGAGCATCTAATCTAAACATGCTGTAGAGTTTAACGTTGTATACAAACAAAATAAAGTCTATCTATATCATATATAATTGTGTTATTTACTAATTAAGTTTGGTGTGACAATACATACACTGGGGCGTTTGGTTCTCAAATGTGAGTGTGTTAGCACTGACCATTATAGCTAATATCCTTACATTTCAGTGATAAATGGAACAGTGAATGGCGCGTCCGTCTATTCATGAAGGTGATGCAATACTATTGTAGGCAGTGACATACGTGAAATAATGTGACACTTTAGTCTCATTTGGACAGTACACATCTGCTACTGTTCTGACTCCAGCATTTACTTTATAGCTTTGACTTTCTGTAACTGTATTAAACAGATAAAGTGAAAAAAAGAAATGAAACAGTGACTGTGGATTTAAAAAGTGCTGACTCTCGGTGTTTGGGGGTGGACAGTGAAAAGCCACTAGCTCTTTATACAGATGGCTGACAAATGACTGGCATAGGTCAATGTGTCAGTAAGATGTTGTTCCTCCATGAGCCTCCAGAACATTTTCAGTGCTCCTCGTCATCATATAATAGTAATAGTAGGGTTGCAAAATTCCGGAATTTTTCAAAGTTGGAAACTTTCCATGGGAATAAACAGGAATTAATGGGAATAAACTGTATATTTTTAATATTGCTTGCTCTAATACTGTTAGTCTATCACAGGGAACTTACGTGTAGTTGAAAAGAAACATCTTGCAGGATAATCTTGCTTAAAACAACCTGATTTAATGCAGCTTCAGTTGAATGTCCTCCCTATATTCGTCAATGACATGCACACACGCAGTAATCTGCATAGGCTACTACATACCTCAACATTTAATTTTTAAAATTTTTTTTGGGGGGGGGGTTAATACATAACCCATTGCTATTAACCTATTTGGGTTAATTGTATTGTACGCATATAACCATAACCATAACCATAGCCATAGTAAATCAAAGGCAGCATGCTAGCTACCATCATATGTTAAGCTAAAGGTCAGTGGTTTGGGCTACTACTTATGGTGCTATCCATTTGTCTCGTAAATCCCCCGACCAAGTTGCTCTGACGCGAGACGGCTAGTGTTATTGTTAGCTACATTAGCCTATTTAGCAAACAAGCTTGAAAACAAAACTTTACATTGTATTGCACGCAACCTGTCTGCTTATTACAAAACAAAATGTTTATATTTATGTTTGTATAAGATGGAGTTTGTATGAATTACCCAACTTTTCCAGTTAATTCTCCTAAATTCCCATTAATTCCCATAATTTCCATTAATTCCCATGACAGTTTCCAAATTGGAATGTTTCCAAAATTCCCCAGCTTATCTTTCCATGGAAAGTTTCCGGAAATGTACCGGAAAATGTCCACCCCTTTGCAACCCTAAGTAGTAGTAGTAATAATAATGATTCATTTTGCATTCTGCAACTAATTTGACACCAATATTAAAAATGGTATAATTTTTTTTGGTGTATTTTAATGCGTACAGTTACTTTCTGTCCCATAATGAGAGACTATGGCTAGAAGTCCTACAGTTTTTATTTCAACGTCTTCAAATTAAAGGAATGTAAAGGTCCAGTGTGTAACATTTAGGAGGCTCTATTGGCAGAAATGGAATATAATATTCATTGGTATTTTTTATTAGTGTATAATCACCTGAAAAGAGGAATCATTATCTTTGTGTTACCTTAGAATGAGCCATTTATATTTACAGACACTGCATGTCGCTTTCCATGGAGTTGAACTGTCATGTTTCTAAAGTTAGGCAGAAGAGAAAGACCAAACACTGGCTCTAGATAGGGGCATTCATGTTTTTTCATGAGTTTCCCAGCTGCAGTAGGTTTTCATTTGTGCTTAGAAGGGGAGGGTGAAACCAGTAAGTTACAATTTACAATTAGACTGCTAATTCCTACACAGTGGACCTTAAAGCTGCAGTAGGTAGCATAGCAGAGGGAAAACCAGAAAATGTGTAACATTGGCCTCTCCTTCGTGGGCATGCTGTCTGATGACCAGTCACAGTCCTAATAATGTCAGACAACCTTTATCTGTATATGTCGCGTAACCCCTGATCTCATTGATGTTTTTGTGAAATTAAAAAACTTTTTTTCTTCCAGCAGAAAAAACTGTGAAAAAGGGGAAGAAAGATAAAAAGGGGAAAAAGAGTGTAAGTATTTACAGTGGATCATTGTTTAGTTTCTAAGCACTGAAATGCTTCATAAGTTGATGTTTCCTCTTTGCCTCTGTGGCATTATAATGCAGATTTGTTGTGTGATTTGTTTTTCTTCAGTTCTTTGAGGAACTCTCCACAGATAGCAAACCTGAAAAGGCAGATGATGTGGCTGTGAAAGACACACAAGGAAAACAGGTAATCTTCACAAGATGACACTGTCAATGCAAATACAATTTCCAGCCTAATGTGACTTTCTAGGCTTGCAGCAAGTGAGAGGTCCAGTTCTGTGCTATTAATGGCAAGTATGGGTTTGAATATGAAATAAACAATGCTTTTCAGCCTCAAAAAAAGAAGAAAGACCGGCGGAAAGGAAAAGGTGGCGATGCAGATGACGGTGATGATGAGGATGTCATGCTGAAGTTGAAAAAGCTTTCAGTGCAAGCAAGTGATGAGGAAGAGGAACCAGGTCTGATCTTTTTAATACAGATAATTCTTATTCTCACATATTTACAGTAATTATTAAGTGCTTTCTTTTCCTTTCCACAGTCATCGCCCCCAATAGAGGGAACAAGAAGAATAAGGTTTGTCATTGGTCTATAGTGGCACGATGTGCTCGACCGCCACCTTCCTAAATCTCAACATGTTGGCAGTGTTAAGCATCTTTGGTGTCCTTTAGGGTGGAAACATCTTTGCTGCTCTCAGCCAGGGCCAGAGTGATGAGGAAGAGGACACTGATGAGGATGAAGAAGATAAACCAGTAAAAAAGGTAGAGTGCTGTATTTCATATTTCTTCAAAGTACCACAAAACAAATGCAGCATTAGCGTGTGGTGTTCAGTGATCGCATCTCTGGATGTTGTACTTGAAATGAGGCTACCTTTTGGTGCTGCTAACATAAAATATTTGTTGGAAAGTGTTTGCACTCATTTATGTCATTTGCTGAAATCTGCACAAAACCCTGATTCACCTTTGTGTTCGCATGGACAGAATATGGCCCAAAGGTCCCCTCATATAGAAAGTTTAA